CATCAGCTCGTGCGCGGCCCTTTGGACGGTAGCATATCGCGCATGGTGCCTGGTCCGTAATTTTATCATCCGAATCATTATTTTGGTCAAGATGTTGAATTCTTCCTGTGCTCATTTTAGGCTGTCGCTTCTGTGCTCATTATAGGCCGAGCGACAGCCGGAACAAGGCTATTGCTCTCTTTAGAGGTTTCTTTTAGCATACACGACAGAAGAAGTCTAGCCGTTGGTTGCGCAACTCTCTTATAAAGCGGCCCGCCCGCCCCAAGTATAGCTAAACCCCCAGTCTGGTCAGCGGCCAACACTTTCATTCGTTTACTTCCTAAACAGTCGCTCCCTACTCTCTACAAAAAAGTAGCACTTTGCAATATGAAACCTTCAGTGGTGCTCGCTACTACGCTTCTGGGGCTGGCTTCAGCCGGTCCGACCCCAGCGGCCGAGCCTCAAGTCCAGCTCAAGGCGCCTTGGAACCTGCGGACCATTTCGCATCGCGAAAAGCCCAAGTATGCCATTGTGAATATACTCCGCAACTTCAAACACTACTATCAATCCTGGACCAGCAGCGAGTCATACTACGCATATATTGTTGATTCGGGGATCCGAATTACACACAAGGAGTTTGAGGGTCGTGCTGAGAATTTTTGGACTGCCTACCAGACCAGCGACGGCAAGGACGACTTTACAGACTCGACTGGCCATGGCACCCATGTTGCTGGCATTGTTGCTTCAAAGACGTATGGCGTGGCCAAGTCTGCCAAGGTGGTCGCCGTCAAGGTCACAAACGACAAAGGACTGACGTCGACGGCGACAATTATCAAGGGCCTGGAGCAGGCCATTGCCGATATTGCCAAAAAGGATCGACACAATAATGCCGTCATCAACATATCACTCGGAGTGGAATGCTCCCAGGCCATGAACACCATCATTGACAGGGCGTATTCTCGCCGTGATGCGAGCTACAGAAATCCAGCCGGTATTCTAGTCGTTGTTGCCTCCGGCAACGAAGCCATGAATGCCAAGGAATGCTCGCCCGCTTCAGCCCGTCAGGCCCTCACCGTTGGAGCGATTGGGCCTAACTGGAACGTTGTGAGCTGGTCCAACTTTGGAAGCAGTGTTGATATCTTGGCTCCTGGAGACGATATAACCTCGCTTTCCAGCAAGAGCGACACTGGGACCATAACCCACTCGGGTACTTCCATGGCTTCGCCTCATGTTGCCGCCCTGGCTTTGAACGCCATGTCCGTCTTCTCCAAGATAAGCACCCAAGTCCGTTGGTTCCTGGTGGAAGAAACCGCCACCAAGGACAAGGTTCAGGGGAACCTTCGTGGCGCGCCTAATCGAATCGCCAACAACAACAACAGCAAGCAGGACAGTTGCGCGCTCAAGGATCCCAAGAATGAAAAGGAGGACGATGAATGTTGAGCGGTTAAGATTGCCGAGATAATATGGCCGACCCCCGAATTGCAACACTGCATGTCAGCGTCTTGATGAACTTGAACAACATTCCCAAGACTCGCTGCATCTTGGACAGGGTTAGGCTGGACAGACAGCTCCGTGATGTGTGGATATGTTGCATCTCAACTGCACAAAATCACGTTGCACGTCGAAATATTCTCATTAATACGAGTTCAGTGTCATTGTTGTTTGCACTCAGTCTTTGTGACTCGCTTGATGAATCGGTCGACTTTTCATACGGCTCCGTACCAGCCTAGCTATCCTCTCTTTTGCTCGAGTAGCTCGACACTACCCCTTTATTAGAGTTCTCACAGGTCCTCGTGGTATTATAACAGCTTGAATAGATGCTCAAAGACTATACAGTCGTTTCTAGCGAGTGTGTTCCCCTCTATCTGAGAATTGGCTTGGCTTTCAGGAAAAGCTTGTGCCATCTTTAAATATCTAGACTTCAAGACTTGAGCGTACTTGTATTTTGTTCTCGGTGGTGCACAACTTGTGCCAGCCGGAGCGGACACAATCCGTCGTTGGCCATCCATCTCACATTCTTTTTCAGTTGATTCGAGACAGCGAGAAAGGCGACTTGTGTGTTTGGCATTCTTGAATTTTACCACCTTCACTGACATGGACCCAATTTGACTTCGCCGTTCTCCGTACTTTTCACTACGATGACCCAAACTTGACCGAGATGCTCCCCGAGCTCGCGCCAACTTCCGTGTGGTGCATCGGCGTGCCCTTGACGCCCGTCACTCGATTGCGAACCTTGTCTGTCTCGACGCCCTCTCCTACGACCGCCACGCCCCCCGAATTACTGTACGCCTCCACCGTGCCCTGCCAGCTGTCTGGGTAGGCGACGCGGACGCTGCCGCTACTGGACTTGTGCTTGCACACGAACCCCGTCTCGTCTGCCTTTTCCGCGCCCGCCGATTTTTCTTCTGGTGCGGCGGCTGCGGCGGCGGCAGCTGCGACAATGGTGATATTCTGCGATCCGCTGTTGGTGGTGCTCGCAAAATCGGACCGCCGATCAGGGCTGTGGTCCGCGAGAAGCGCCGTGAGATGCTGCGAGCCACTATTGGACTTGGTCGTAGTGAACCGGGTCATGCCGAGGACGCTGCGGATGGCGCCCGAGGAGGTCTGCAGCACGATGCTGGAATCGCGGCTAGGAAAGTGCGTGCGCGCGCTGACGGCGTCGAGGGCTGCATTGATGCGGAGACTGCCCGAGTTGGTCTTGATGGACAGCTTGCTCGCGTGAGACGGCTTGTCGAATAACGGGACAAGGGTCAGGTTCGCAGAGCCAGAGTTGGTGGATACGTCGAGGACGTCCTCCATGGGAAATAGGCCACTGACGTTGCCGCTATTGCTGCTCACGATAAACTCTCGCGCTGGCACGAAATCGACATCGGCAAGCGACAAGTGCGTGGCCGTGGCCGGGACGCTGGGCGCATCGAGCTCCAGATTGATGTTGTAGTCGCCCGACTGTAGATGCAGCCGCCCTAAGCCGACCTCCTTGGACCCCTTGGGCCAGCGCAGATATATCTGCACAGGCTCTGCGCTGACCGTGTTGATCACAATCGTCTGCGTCTTGTCGGAGCATTTATTCGTCACGTTGTGCGACATCTTTTCATATGCGCAGACGTCCAGCACGGCAGGTGTGCTGGCGGACACATGCTGAACGTGAATGGCGCCGGAGCGCGAGATACTGCTGGCGAGAGATTGAAGAGTGGCTAGCAGTCCGCCGCCGCTGTTTTTCGGTTTCTGCCAGATGTGAAGGGTTTGCTCGCGCCCAAGGACAAGGGGTATCGAGATGAGTGTCTCCATGGTGATGGAATGCGGTCTTTCTTGTTGGGTTGAACTTGAATAGCTGACGCCAAGTAGATGGTTATTTGGAACTTGTGATATAATCCTTCTGGATGGTTAGCAGGCTCGGTGCGTGGCTCCGCGTCATCAGCTGAGGACGCTCCGCAGCCTTGTGTGTAGGGCTGTGCAGAATCGGAAAGGTACTGAAAAGGAGCTGCGTAATGCGACAGATAGCAACGGTGCGGCAACGAAAGAACTAATTCTTTCTCCTGCAACGCGGCACCGAATGTTTTCGAAGGGGATCTCGGCGAAATTGAGAAGAAGAGGGGACTTGGGCGAGTGGAGAGATCAATGGCGGTCGTTTGTGAAAAAGCTGCCGGCTGGCGGCGACGGCCGGCATAAAATCATGGGAAACACTGTGAATGGCATGACTGGGAAATAATGGATATATGAGTACCTTTCAATCCTGCATCAAATTCGATGGCGTGCAGTTCCACGTCAGCAGAGTACGAGAGCTGAAATTAAATGGCGGTTGACACTCGTGAACGTGTACGTCAACCCTCTGCTTCCGCCACTCAGCCTGCTCGCGATATTTGGGGCCCGATACTGGACTCCCATCTATGCGGGTATTTTGGCTGATCTCAAAGGACCGATGGAAATCTTATGAGAGGTCTCGGAACTCATACCTATTCCCCACGTAGCAGGTCAATACCAGATTATCATGGCTTGATCGAGTAGCCTCACCTGCTTGTTTGTTGTGCATCAAGCCAACAAAACCGACAGGGAGAAGCATGACTCCTAGACAAGACAGCAAAGACGCAAGAGCTCGAAAGACTGAATCACAGTTTTACCTGCCGACATGATTGGCAGTGATCTGCAGATTGTGGCATGAGCGGCGAGCCGCATCACTGCCGAAACGGCTCCAGCCGAATTCGGAGATGCCCCTCCGATCCCAACGGTCTCGCCAAGACTTATTCGTCTCAGATCACGAAAGAAGCCAAAAGGCTGGAAGTCATGACAGAACAGCTTGCTGTGAGCCATCACAAGAGAAAGGAAAAAGGCCGACACATTTAGTTTCGGAGCCTTTCTGCCTCACGTCTCCGTAATTGTGGCAAGCTTTTGCAAAGCTAGTGCGACGATGAGTCCAATGTGGGATCATGTGCCGATGAAGACACATCAACTCATGCGACGCAGAGTAGGGGGCAGGGAGAAGAAAGAGAAGCTCAATTCGCCATGACCCGCCCTACGATCTCATGCCTCTATGTCTCGGAATCCTTTGGATACCACAGGCTCTGCTATGGGCCGAGCGAGTCTGAGATACTCTCCGAGGGACAGCAAGACAGCTTCACTTTGAGAATGAATTCGCCGTGGACCGCGCATAGGAATGCTGGCTCTCACATTCCTGTTCACCCGCCACCAAGATACATTGTGCTGCATCTGCCTCACCCGCACTGCTCCAGATGGGTAATGCGATCGACAACCAAGGTCGATCTCTTTCCTGAGCCAAATATTTGATTGTCGAATGATTTCGACTAGAAGCACTCAATTGCCCAATGCGTTACTTTTGCAATTGTTTGGCTTTCGACTTGAATTTTTTTGCCAGCGCGGGTGCAAAGTCGCGCAGGACGGCCCTCATGACGGGTTGCACCAACGGTCGGCGCCATGTCGAAGGTTTCGTTCCCGTGCTCTGTCTGTGATTTGCGGGTACGAACCGATCATGGAACCTAAGTGGCTCCTACACCTTGTCATGCCAAATGAATGCATTTCCGCGTATGAAGCTGGCTCTGTTGGCCGAGCTCGGCGAACTCACTAAGCTCGCGGCGAGATGGCTGCATATTTCTGCAACAGATGCATATGATGACGCCACGGAGCGTGCGGTAGTTATTTATGTCTTATTTATGGCTGCATAGTGCATGCCGGGGTGGGCGGTGATGGGACGTCCAATTTTGCACGTCAGGGGCAATACCACTCTGTACCTGCATGGATTCATGGGTGTGGCTAATTTAGCCCAAACGCCCCTCGACACGAGACCTTTTAGTTTATCTCTTCTCAAGGCTGTTGGCAACTTGTAACGGGCTAGTCAACTGACTAACTTGGGTAGTTAGTTGGTTGCTGTCGGAATCACGCTTATATCTGGCAGCGCCTACTTGTCTGTCGTTTCGTGTATAGACTAGTCAAATCACCTCTTCTTCTGCCTCCCCCCCTGGCGTTTCCCTCCATCATCATCATCAAGACAATTCGCCAATTCACATTGCCGCCCCGCGAACATCGGGCCGCGCCTCCATTTGCTCCATTATAGACCGGCCTGCATATATCGTTCGCCCTGCGACCCAGCACCGGCATCCCTGCTTTGATAGCCAGACAGCGTCCGAGCTCAGGAGCAGCCCGCAATCCGGCAATCCAGGCACCGCACAGACTTTGGCTTGCTAGGCTTCGCATTTTGGACAATTTCTGCTCTTGGAGGCAAGGACAAAAAAAATCCAAGACCGTCTCTCGTGCCGCTGTTTACTTCCCCTCTGTCGCGCAGTAGTCTGACATGCACGCAACGCTGCCGGCGACGTTGCCAGCGCATCGCCACTCGCCCTGCTTTATTCGTCGACTATAACTGTCCATCCGCTCTTAACCCGCTCCGTCCGCCTAAGAGACACCAGCCCGTGTCGTCTCCATTGTGGCTCCTTTGCGGCGCGCATGCCTAGCGAAACGCCTCCCTCCTGACCTCCCTCCTCCTTGCATCATGGAGCGCGATCCGTCTGACGGTCCCCCTATCGCCGTCCCGACCCGAACTCACTCTCATCGCCACGCTCTTCAGCGCTCCAATAGCACTCGATCCAAAGTTTCCGTGTCTGCTACCCAGCCGAACCCTGGCGGCAGCCCAGAAATCATCTCCGACCTCATCTCCAGCCTCAGTACCTCCCACTTCGATTCGCTCCCCCTTGCCGGCCTGCCCAGTCCCTCTCGATTCGACACTCGAACAGCCGCCTCTTCCGACACAACTGACCTCATACACGACGTTGCCACATCCCCCGTTGTCCGCACCTCGAAGCCACCCTCCGGCTACTCTTCCGTGACCAGTCCCAAGAGCCCCCGAGCCTCCTCTACCGACGGCTTCCGGTCCTATCTTCGTGGGAGCAGCCTCTCTCGCGCCTCGTCCTCTGCTTCCCTGACCTCTCGGAATGATGATACTAGAAGTATCGGCAACCTCTCCATAGAGCCCGGATCTGCCCCCGATCTTGAGCTGCGTCCGCGTCGCTCCCACGACAGCTGGGGTAAGAAGACCGGTCGTCGCCAAAAGGAGATGTTGTATATGAGCTCCAAAGAGCGCCTTCGAGAAAAGGACATTGACCGCAAGTGGCCCGGTGCTACAATGCCTTCAGCCAGTGTTGCGAGCAGCATCCATAGCGGCGGACGAGCCGATCCCTTTCTCGCCGAGACGGCCATCCGCGAAGAGCCCGGTCACACCAACGTTCGCTGCTCGAGCGACTCCTTCAGCGGCATCCAAGCGATTCCCAACCGTGAATCTAGCCTGCGAAAGCCGGGACACAAGAAACGCAACAGCGCTCGCCGGTCAAGGCAGAATAGCGAGTCAGGCCCCATACCCGAGGGTGCAGAGTACAGCCGCGGTGGTGTCATACCACGGATAAACCATAAGCGCGGCGAGTCCGACGCCGGACGCTCCTTTTTGTTCGACGTGGATGAGTATGCCGCCGTTACACAAGCCCTCGACGATCAGTACGAGCGTGAGAATGGCCGCCCGGAGCCGTCCCCCGACTACCGACAAAAGTCTTTTCTCGACGACATTGACCACGAAGGAGCCCCCGCGCCCGCCATCTCCAACGGCCGCCGAGCGTATGCGCGAGAGCACAATACAAACGGCCGCTTGAGCCCGTTTCCTTCCGTCGACCTGCGCCAAAAAGGGAGCGGTTCCAAATTGAAGCGTCTGTCTGGTGTTGCTCCCATGGCTCCCTCGCGCACGAGTGAACACTCCGAGCGAACAACTCATTCCATTGCGTATGAGCGACCTCTGTCAGCAGACTCCATCGACGACAATGTCGAGTCGTACCTATGCTCGCCGAGGCTATCACAAAAGATCAAGCACCCGCAGACTGGAAGGGTGATTTCATTTTCCGAAGTCGGTGACGCCGAAGGCTCCGCCGTCTTTTGCTGCGTCGGCATGGGACTGACACGGTACATAACCACATTTTACGACGAGCTGGCTTTGACGTTGAAGCTGCGTCTCATTACTCCTGACCGTCCAGGCGTCGGTGACAGCGAACCCTACGCCGACGGTACCACGACACCACTGAGCTGGCCAGGTATTATGCCTTGCTCCCAATTGTGATTTTCGCTAACATGTCTAGATGACGTCTATGCCATCTGCCAGGCTCTTAAGATAACAAAGTTTTCCATACTTGCTCACTCTGCCGGGGCCATCTACGCCCTGGCGACCGCCCTCCGCATGCCGCAACACATTCGAGGCAAAATCCATCTTCTTGCGCCATGGATCCCTCCTTCGCAGATGAACGTTTTTGGTTCGTCGCAAGAACCGCCCACCCACGCCCTTCCCACATCCCAGCGAATCCTCCGCGCGCTGCCCACGCCGATCCTCAAAGCCGCCAACAGCAGCTTCATGAGCGCTACAAGCTCGTCCATTACCAGCTCTTTGCCCAAGACGAGCCGACGCACTAAGCGCAAAGGTAGTGGAAAAGAAGGCCGTAGCGTCACGCCCTCTGAGCGAGAACACGCCGAGCTGGCGACGTTGGATGGGGGTGATGGCGCCGGCCTCGTCCCTACGCCTGACGCCACGGAGAATATGGACCGCATGCACCCACCACAAAGCAGCATGTATGCGAGCGCGGATCCGGAAGAGGCCGCGGACAAGGAACGCCAAGTTACGTATGACACGCGTCTGACACACGCCATCTGGGATCTCGCCACGACGGGTGCTAACCCGGCCGTCGACCTGCTGGTGTGTCTGGAGCGCCGACAGACGATTGGCTTTCGGTACGTGGACATAACGCGGCCTGTTGTGATTCATCACGGCAGCAAGGATAATCGCGTGCCGGTCGACAATGTCAAGTGGCTGGGCAAGAGCATGCGGCGGTGTGAGGTGCGCGTTCTTGAGGGCGAGGGACACGGGCTCATGGCGAGCGCAACCGTCATGGGCTCGGTGCTCATGGAGATGAGCAAAGAGTGGGAGGATTGGATGCGTGTGACGGGAGATGATTCCCGGCAGCGAGAGCGTGGACGGCGGACATTGCAGCGGTAGCTGACGGGTTTTTTTGTAACCTACCTTTTTTTTTCTTTGCCATTGTCGCTTTGGATCTGTTATGGTATTATGTGTTGGATATCCCCAAGATTAGAGTACTTTTTTTATCACGGACGGCACTGATGTTGTCATTTCTTTTTTTAATTTTTTACCCCGGGCGGTTCTATCTCACTTGTTTAATGTCGTCGCTTGGATGCTTGCTTGGGAAAGCCGGAGCATGTCATGATTGTTATCTGTTATTATAGGCATTATAACGACCAGCCGCATCATTATGGTTCTAATCATATACCCCAACTCTTGCTTCACCGTGGCCATCAAGGCCAACTCTGCCCGCTTACTCTCGTAGAATAACTCGCCTTGTTCGCTCTCTCTCTCGCCTCCCCAACAATTTTTTTTTTTTTTTAGCTTCTACGCATCTTCAGTCAACACCCGCGTCCAGTCATATTTCCGCCACTCCTTCTTGAACCCTTCCACCCTCGGATCCGCTCTCTGCCACCGGCCCTGCTTCCTAACCACGTGCGGCTCCGCGCCGACGATGCCGCCAATGACCTCTCGCGCAAACACGTCCCCGCGCGGCCAGCGCCCTGCATCTTCCACAATGTGGCCGAGCCCGCCGTCCAGCGTAAACCACACGTGAAAGTAGGGCATCTCCTTTGCAATGGATTTTCGAAACGCCATGCGTCCGAGTCCTTGCCGCGTCGCCGCCGCCCCGGTATCGATAATCTTCTTGTGCTGCGCCCACTCTTCATCCGCCGACAGAAACGCTTCTTTAAAGTACGCCGGCGCCGTGGCGCCCTCGGCATACGGAATCGGCACGGCGCTCATGGCCGCGTGGCGGTGTCGTCCCGGCGCCGCGGCATTTTCGTAAAACAGCACCTCGCGCCCCTGAGCGTGGTACATGCGCGTCAGGCTCTTCATAAAGTTGCGCAGCTCCTCCCACTCGTCGTCGTCGCACTCGAGCAGGTTGCGGCGGTGCGTCGTGGGCACAATCACGGCGCCGCCAGACGACACTTCGGGCTCCGTCGCGAGCGTCAAGAACACGCGCGTGCCGAGCGCGAGCACGGGCGCGAGCGGCGGCGTCTGCGTGTCGTCGCGGTGGCACAGCGGACACGTCTCGAGGATGCGGTTCAGCTTTTGAAACTCGTGGACGGCCATGTTTTTCAGATTCATCTCGCTCTTGTGCACGCGCTGGGCGAGCTTCTCGGCGTTTTCGTCCATGTACTCGAGGTCGTCGTCAAACTTGCCGTCCTTGGCGATGCGCTCCGCCAGACGCATGCCCTCGCCGCCGGCCTGGCCCTTGGTGCGCCGCTCCTCGCGCAGCATGTCGTCAATCGTCATGTCGTCGTTGGCGACGACGGTGCCGCGCTCGCGCCCGCGCCGCGTGTTGTCGACCGTCTTGACCTCGTTGCGGATGTGGCCCGCCAGCAGCCGGCTGTCCTGGCCGCCGAGCACGACGGACTGCTGCGCGGCGGCCGAGGATGCAGACGCGGCAAAGCCCGCAGCGACGCGGTTGTACTCTTCTTCGAGCTGCGCGGCGTTGGGCGCCCGTCGGAGCTTGGCCCTCATCAGCTGCGCGCGGAGGCGGTTTAACGCAGTCTGGTCCATTGGCGCGACGACGGTCGCGGCGGCCGTGGCTGCGGGTGGTGAAGGGGAAGGTTGTCGTGGAGGGGGTGACGATGGCTTCTGTTTAGCGAGACGCTCTTTGTAAAAATCGCCAGTCGGCTTTTCCTTCATGCTGTAGCCCTTGCCGTAGCTCTTGGCCCGATCTAGCTCCTGCTTTTCTTCTCTGGCGTCGTCAAACTCCTGCAAGCTGCCGAAGCGCTCAATCGCAATGTCCTCGACCGGTCGCCCCGTCTCTTCCGCCATGGTATGCACGCCGCGCAGCTTGGTCATGCGCCAGCTGGACCCCGAGTCGCCAAATGTGTAGTCGACCACGCGCTCTTTTGGCTCGGTCGATGGTTCTGCTGCGGCAGTCTGTTGGCTGAGACCACGATTAATTTCGCGCACCGAGATGACACGCTCTGGCTCTTTTGGTGGCGTCTTTTCCTTGGCTGCCGGCCGGTTGATGTGCTCAATATCGAGGGCGGACGGCGCCGTCATCCATGCATCTCGAACGAGCTCGCTGCCAGCATCTTTCGATGTCTTGTCATCTGCCTCCTTGTGTCTTTCGCTGCGATCTCGGTCCCGGTGTCTGTCGCCGTCTCTGTGCCTGTGTCGTGAGCCATCGTCGTCGTCGCGCGACCGCCGCCGCCGTTTGTGTCTGTGGTCGTCGTCCTCGTCGCGGTGGCGCCGGCGGTGACGATCGTCGTCGTGATGTCGGTGATGATGCTTCTTGCGATCGTCGCGGCGGTCGCGCTTGGCTTTGTCGGCGGCAAGCTGCTTCTCAAACTCGTCGAGGCCGTCCATGGTAGTGTGCAAGGATGAAGTTGTATTTGCTGAAGCTACAGACAGCTAAAAGTTTGCCCCACTGGCACTGGAACGGTGATGGCATGCATTGCTATTTATCAACGAATTAATCGATAAGATCTCACATTAATTTAAGGCGCTTTATTTTCAATATTGGTACTTTGACAATCACTGTCCTCTTTTATGAGTCTAAAAGTTGACACGGCGATATCGCACAACCTCATCGCAATCAAAGGATCGTTCTACCTCTATTCGATAGCCTCTTACGCGAGGCACCATCTTTATCCATATTGCCCAATAAAGAATCCCAGACACCAACACTACAAGGCACGAAAGAGGCACAATAAAGAAAGTCTCTCGACTGAGGGAGGACGCAGAAGGCGAAATGAAGGGCCCTACGATCAATACGCCGTTGACCAGCAGATATAAAATCGAAATGGGCAGATATGTATGCCACGGCGACTTCCAACGCTCCGTTTTGTTCCATTGCAGGTAAATCAATCCAGCCGTCAGCAGAATATTGATCCATGCTCGGGGATACACAGACCTGTCCTGTTAGCTCGTCGTCGACGGTCGTCAAAAGTAGCACTTACAGTTCTATAATTGCATCGTATGAGGAGCCTAAAGGCGGCGCAACGATTACAATGACGGTGACTGCCCAGTGAAGTAAGAGCTTATCAGTTAGCAATGGTCGTGGTCGGTCACTGCTGTACGTACCGACGCCGCCGGAGCGTGATGAGGCTTATTTGACGCCCAGAACCTGCCAAACGGCAGTATTCTCTCCTTTCCCAGCTCCTGATTCAGCCGCGAGTGGGCAAAACTCGTCGCCAAGACACTTCCAAGACTGCTGACTGCCACAAACACAGGCAGCGCCTTGGCCGCCGCGCTCTTCCCAAACATGTTCTTGAAGAAGAGCGCAGCGACCAGCAGCTCCGACGTTGCCAGATCCAGCTTGCTCACGGCGGCAAAGTAGGCAATGTTTGCCAGCATGTACAGCACGGTGACGATTCCAACCGCCAGCGGCGCCGCAATCGCCAGCGTCCGGCGCGGGTTCCGCACCTCGCTCAGCACATAGTTGGCGCTCTCCCACCCGCTAAAGGTGTATGTGATGCTCAGCAGCGCGTTGACATATGCGTGGAAGCCTCCGCCGCCGGCACCGCCGTACCGCGCCATGTCCGCCCGGGAAAAGGAGTGCTCAAAGTTGTGCGGGTCGTCGGTGCCGCGGTAGCCCGCCAGCGCGGCCACGCCCGAAAAGGCGACGACGAGCATCACGACCACCTTGAACATGCCGACGGCATTCATCAGGCGGACGCCCCATTGCGGGAGGAGACTGTGCAGCAACACGGCAAAGGTCACGCAGCCAATGCCGATGGCGCGCGCGGCCCACGTCTCGCCGCTGACGGTCGAGCTGCACGCGTCCACGATGAGCTGCCCAAAGGCAATGGCGTTGCCCGAGGAGAAGCCGAGGAGCACCATTTGCGCGGCGAGGATGCACGTCGTGAGGTGTTTGGGGCGGCGGTAGATGCGTTCGAGGTAGTTTTTGTCGCCGCCGGAGCGCGGAATGGCGAGACCGAGCTCGAGGTAGACCGACAGGCCACAAAAGGCCAGGATGCCGCCGACGAACCACAGAATCAGGGAAACGCCGACCGAGCCTGTCGCTCTGAAGACGGTCGCCGGCGCGGAAAATACTGCTCCCCCGGTCGTTGGTTAGCATCGTCGCCCAAGGTCTGGGTTGACAGGAAACCACGTACTTCCAGTTCCAATCATTTTATTGATGATGAGAAAAGACACGCTCACGACTCCCAGCTTACGCTCGTCACTGTAGGCGAAAAGCTGGGCTTCGGTATCGGCCTCGTGCCCCCTGCTAACTTCCGACTTGACCGACCCATGACTGTCATTGCGATCAGAGCGCATGTCGATATCCCAAAAAAAAAAAAAAAAAAAAAATCAAAGGAAAATGAGCATCGCCTCGTCTCTCTCTCTCCCCTCTCCTCCGGAGAAAATCAGGGTGCAGCGATCGCCCCCTATATGTAGACCGTCTTCTTGGGAGCCAAGTCGTCAGCAAACGCAGAGCCAAGCTTTGCTGCTTGGCCCAGCGGCTTGGCCAAGGTTGGCGCCGAGGTCTCGCTAGCTTTTCATTAATTATAGCGGCCGCTGATGCTGGGCGGCGCAAGAACGGGCTTTTCAGCGAAGAAGCAGGCGCCAAGAACAAATGGGCAGAGGCCGTTGCGAAATGGTCAATTCTTCGGGCTTCACGCCAAGAAATTGGCGTTGCAAATAAGCTTGGGTCTAGGTCTTGGCCAAGTAACGACTTGTGACAGCAAACAATGCACAATCAAAAGACTTTTGTCACGAGTCAAATCATGTTGTATTCAAAGTTGGTTTATATTATGCTGATACCCATCTCTATAATTTTGTGTTGTCTCGAGTTCTTACATCTCAATATTTCATGCCATCTTATGCGTGTCTAATCTGCAACCACCATCAAATCCCAAGCGCCATGTGCCCAAAACGCCAAGAAAGCACCTTTACTCTCGGCATCACCTCATGTGACAAGAAGAAAAATAAAGCAACACAACAATAAAAGAAAAAAAAAAGAAAGAAAGAAAGAAAAAAACAAAAAAACAAAAAAGAAAAAAAGAAGAAAAAAGAAGAAAAAAACTGTCGCTCAAACCCCAAAACAGACTTGGACCCCAGCCTTTCCCCCCTCCCCCTTGTGTTCATCAAGATTTGTCCTTGCCCGAGTCAATGAATTCAAACGTCGTCACCGGCGCCCGGTGATCCGACGGCCACATATTCTTCCAGTGATTAGGAAACATCTTTGGCTTTGGAATGTCCGAGGCCCACTGCTCCGAGTCGACCATGCGCAACCCCGCGCCCGCATAATACACAAAGTCGATGCGGTCCTGCGGCTCCGGCCTACCCCCATGCTCCGTGTTATTCTTCTTGATAATCGACCAGGTGAATCCCGGATGCGTCACCGGGTCCGGATGCGCCTCGCGATACACGTCCTTTAGCCCCGCCTCGGCCATGATCCGCGACGCCGGCCAATCCACCGCCCCGGCACCGCAGTGCATGCCCGCGCTCGCCTCAGTGTAATCAAGATGCGACGGCGAGTGAAAGTCGCCCGCGAGCAGCACGGGCACCTTGTCCGCGTTGGCGAGATATGGCTTCATCGCGGCGGCCAGCTCCCGCGCCTCGGCGACGCGGCCCGAGTCGTGCTCGGCCTGCAGCACGGCGGCGCCGTCTTTGCCCTCGAAGCAGAAGCCGTACGGGCCGTAGCTGCTGTGCCGCTCACTCAGATGCGCGGCCCAGACGATGACGTCCTGGCGGTCGCCGTCCAGCGCGATGCGCACCGCCGCCGCCTTGCTCGTCGTCGCGTTGATCGTCTCGACAATGGGGTACCGCGAGATGATGGCCACGTCGGCCGTCTGGTGCGCATACCAGCCGAGGCCGCGCGCCAGCCGCAGCGCGTGCGTGCCCTCCGTCTCCTGCAAGCTGACGACGTCGACGTCGGCCTTGCTGATCTGGTGAATCTGCCTGGCGTGAAAGTCGTCCACGTTCTTGCCGCCTTGCCACAGATTCAGGCTCATGACGCGGATCCGCGGCGCCAGCGGCTCGTGGGCCTTGCGCAAGGGAATCACCACCTCAATGTAGTGGTGCAAGCCGCGACGCGTCTTGACCTTGACGGCCAGGTTCGTCGGCCGCCGGGAGTGCTTCGTCGGCCTGCCGAACAGGATGCCGCCCCTGGTCGAGTGCGCCCAGTGGTCGCCGTTGCAGTAGATGAGAAAGTAAAAGTTCTTGACGTCGCTGGCAATGTTGACCATGCCGCTCATGTCGTAGGTCCAGTACTCGCCGATGCGCGCGGGCCGAATCGTCTGAATGAGGGTGTAAAAGCGCACATTGTCCTGCTTGCCCGTGTGAAAGTCGACGGGCGGCACAATGGGCACGTAGCTGTCGTTTGCCATGAGATAGGCCTTGTAGGGACCTGGAGGGATCTTTTCCGTCTCGAGGCGCACAGTGCCTTTTTCGCCTGGAGCGTATACCCAGAGGGCAGGGTCCATGCCTTTGGTGCCGTTGACGGGCAAGCCGCCATAGTCGTGGAAGACGCCGAGCCAGTTTGTGTCGGAAGCGGTGTCCGATGTCAGGTTGTAGTAGAATGTGGTGGGTTTCTTGTAGTACTTCCATGTCAGCATATTTTTGAGCGGATATGGCTTTTCTTCTTCCACAGTCGCAGGTGTGTAGTTCCAGATGGGCCCTTCGGCAGCGATGGCGGCCAAGGGCATCACAAAGGCGGTCACAGCCGCGGGGAGCCAAATTGACAAGCGCATCGTGGCGATCTGTAGCTGGTATCTGAGAAGAATCAAGGGCTGTCGTGTGAGTTGAATAAATTGCTACAAGAGCTTGCGCTATGCAGTCGTAGAATTGTAGTCGTAGAAATCTAGTCGTAGAAATCTAGTCGTAGAAGAGGAACAGTTCGAGATTAGCCGGTACGCAACCTGCAATAACACGGCGGGATGCTTGTGGTTTTAAAAGAATTATCAAGGTTTCAGATTATTTTGCAAAGTTTACCGTCTTCTACTTCGACAAGACATAATACCACCCGCAGACGCCATCTAACCTTGCGCACGCCACTATCCAAACTCTGAATTTTGCCATCACCTAGACGGCATCACGACCCGAAGGATCGTCTTCGTGCAAAGTCCTGGTTTCAAGATTTTACAGGAAGGAACCCCACCGGAGGATAGATTCTCTTCTTTGGGCAAAGGATACCATCAACAAGCCACGAATTTGGCTCGCCAAGGATGAGTGAATCTACCCAGAGCATTGCGAAATTTAAAGTAAGCCAAAGGTCATTTAAGCCGCAATTTCGAGACACTATTATGCCACAAACCATGGATAGTGGAGCTTTGCCAGTTTATTATAAAGATTAACTTTGGACGTGGCAGATGGCGGCTAATATGCGCCATGGCTGTCAAATCTTGCACGCCACACCTGATTAAAGACCGAAACTTTTTATGCGCACTCCACAATCGCAAATTTCTCCTTCTGTTCGTTTAAATGTCGTATTATTAGGTCAAATGTGCATTGTCCCCAGTGTCGCTCCTCGCCTATGCCCTCTCTCGTCGACTCCATTGGTGCACTAGCCCTTTGTCTTTTCGTTGCACCTCATCCCACAGTCGGGCCGTCAAGAATCTATATAGATAGGTGCTCGCTTGATTATAGCTAATGCTATGCGTGCTATCGGTAAAAGGCACCACCTTGAGTTTGGAAGGCGACAGCTTAGATCCCACCAGTAGGTCGACGAGCGCCGCCGTGTTCTGGTAATGAACATTGTCGTCGCCGGTGCCATGCATGATGGCGACACCGCCCGCAATGCTTTTGAAGCCATCGACATTACGGACCGCCGTCTGGTTGTAGCTTGATTCGTTGTCTTCCAATCTCTTCATGTAACGCTCCGTATACACAGAATCGTACAGACGCCAATCCGTGGGCGCCGTGATGAGGCCAAACGTAAAAGCACCAGAGTCGGCCTCAACAACTTTGGACGTGAGGTAACCGCCAAACGACCACCCCCACATGCCAAACTTGTCGATGTTGATGTAAGAAAATCGAGAGGCAAGCTCGCGCGCGGCCCAAATCTGGTCTTCAGCCTCCAGGGTACCAAGCTGCTTGACTACGGAGCACCGAAATTTGCGGCCTTTGCTAGACGTTCCACGATTATCAACAACGTAGGTGATGTATTCGAGCTCAGGGTCGGATCCAATATACGCGGCCCAGTTGAGACCGGCATAGCTCTTCTTGACGGATTGCGAGTTGGGCCCTCCGTAGGGATTGAACAGCACCGGGTACTTTCTGCCGGGGTCAAAGTTGGCGGGCAGTCTCTGCTGAACGTTCAGTGAGAACCCATCCGGATGCTGTAGCTCAAACCAAGTCGTGTTGGGAAGTTTGTACTGCTGTGTCTTGTTGTAGTACGCTTCGTTGCTCTCGAGCGTACGCAGAGGCGTGGTGCTGTTGATTGACACAAGCTGTTGGTACGGTATCTCAGGCCCTTGGTATGAAAGGATATAATATCCACCACCTTTCGAAAAGGAAGCGCCGTAATAGGCGGGTTTTGAGTCGTCAACAAGTGGTGTCGTCTTCCATGTTTCCCACGATACGCTGTAGAGGTGCGCCTCGGTACTATGACGCTTGGATGCCACGAACGCAACCGTCTTTCGCTTTGTGTCGACCTTGTTAATGCTTCGAACTTCCCAGTCCCCAGAGGTCAGCTGGATAGACTGACCGCCCTCGACAGGGTAGAGGTAAAGATGCGTCCACCCAGACTCGTCAGAGGTGTCCACGTAGTAGGTAGAGTTCGAATTGGCCCTCAAGCTACCAGCAAAGCGAACATTCTTCTCATTTTCGAACCAACCATCGGTACCGTTTCGCTCGCGGACAACTTTGGACTCGCCAGTGCTGGTGTCAACGGTAATGTGCTTGTCAAGGTCCTGTACTCGATTGAAGGCACGGTAGATGAACTTCTCGTGCGTCTTGGTGACCCATGCCACCTCGCCAATAATGGTCTCATCTCCAAAGGCATCGATGGGAATATTCTTGCTCTCCCTCGATTTCACGTCCAACAGGTGAAGGCTCACGCGGGGATTCGTGGTGCCGACCTTGGGGTATCGCAGTTTCAGCTCTTTGGGATAAACGGGTGCATACTCTTTCCCATTCATAAAATATGGTATCGTGTATGTGCCGACACCCGTCTCATTTAGGCTGAGATATGCAATAAACTTGCCGTCGGGTGAGTACCAGAGTGCCGAAGCGGCGGAAAGAACCTCTTCCTGGTACACCCAGTCAGGCACGCCGTTGAATTGATCCGGGCCGCCATTTGTGGTGATGCGATGCACGGTGCCGTTGCTGTCGCGCACGTGCAAATCATTTCCGCGGATAAACGCAATCGAGTCTCCCGTGGGCGAAAATTGGGCAAACTGAATGTCGCCAGCCTGGTTCTCGACCAAGGCGCGCGTCTTGCCCGTCGAGGTATCGAGAATAAGATAGTCAGCCAATGATGAAGACCGGTACTCCTTTGTGGCATTGACGGCGAATAAGACTGCGTGACCATTGGCGCTGATCCAGTAGTCGTCCATGTCATCGGGAATCTGGCTCTTTTCGACAAAGACTGTCGAGTTGCCCGTAACAATGTCCTCTCGAACCAGGTCGCCGTCAGCGTTGCGAGAAATGTATTGCCCATCTTCGCCGCCGGTCGACGTCCACGTAACCTGCGTCGTCTTGGGTCGCAGGCGAGGGGTTGGCGTCGTCTCGTTGTAGCTAAGAAGACGCTCACCGCTCGACTTGGCAGGGAAAGGTAACTGAGCTGCCTGGATGCCATGGGCAGCAGCCACGGACACAACGAATGCGATGCACACCTTCGTTTTCATCGCTTCCTGTAAGGATGATGCTAAAAATGATCCGAGTAACGATGATGAGAGGGAGATTCAGACCGCAGCCCCGACGACGGCTGTGCACTTATAGGCACTCCGTTGCGTGACACATCATCCACCGACTGCTTGATTACCTGCCCTCAATGGTACCATTGCCAGCCCGGTTCACGGCTTGGGCTGTCTTGGCCGAGACGATGTCCATGTTACCTGCCCGTTTGGGAATGGAACAGTTTCCGCCGCCATCCGCCAAGGTGATGGTCAATAGAGCCGGGTCCTTGCGTCATTGATGTTTGCTTCATTTATTCGGCCATTTTCGATTTTGGTTGTATGTCTCGGGTATTGAGACTGATAAATTTCGAGAGGTATTTGCTACGAGTCAGTGCGGGGATATGATGTGCATTCCGCCTTTATATTTCCTGCCTAGCAAGACGCTGCCAACTCGTCACTAGTCACTAGTAAATCAGAATCAGCACTAGTAATGCTTACCTGCAGTGTGGCTACTGATTTCATAAATGGGCATATTCCTTTTTGTTTTGATGATCTTGTCTGCTTTTTGCAACATTCTCCTTATGCTTGACCAACTCATCAATTCAAATAACATACGGGATGGCAGTTGTCTTCTCTTGTCGAGTCTAACTTGACCTTTGCAACTCACTGTCACCGTTTTGCCTATGGTTCCCTGGTCAACCCAAAGCGCTACAGCTGATGGAATCGCGAGCTTTGTTGAGGAATATCCGGCAGTTGATGACTTTGCCAGATTTTGAGCCACATAAACATTAGCTTGCCACAACAAGGTGGCTTCGGCATCGAGCCGAGATTGCATGCAAGGGCGACTTGAATGCAAGGGGGCGCGTTGACTCGACAAACGTCGGTGTTGTTGGAGTAACATGACAATGCGCGTCAAGATAAAGCCGGCATACATGGCCGATCATTCAATGGCTGATAGAAAATATGAAACATTCAAGTCAAGGACCTGGCACCGTATACTGTGCTGTGTCAGCCGTCCATGATGTCGAAGTTGGCGCAGCCTACACTATCAATCACCCAGCGTGACCAATGTCTGGCGCTAACATGTCCAAACGACGCTCTATAATTACAAGTCCCGTATATGTATCGTTACATTCAACAAGAAAATACATACAATACCATAAAAGAGAATATACCACGTGGTAACCACGGTCGTCATTGTCCCAAAACGGCAACTCCGCTTCTTGTATCAGCCTCACTCCACGATGAAGCGGCGCCGCACGCCAACAAGAACAAACTCACCACGTCTATAAAGGACAGATATAATCCGTTTATTAAGCCAGAAACTTTCAAAAGCCATTCCCGACATCATGGCGACCCCAAAAGTGGCCGACCTGCGCATCGCCACCGTGCAGTTTGAGAGCATCTCCGGCGACAAAGCCGCCAACCTCGCCACCATTGCGCGCTTCGCCGCCTCTGCCGCCTCTCATCACTGCCACGTCGTCGCCTTTCACGAGTGCTGCATCCCCGGGTACACCTTTGCCGCCCGCCTCTCCTTCCCCGCGCTCCTCGCCGTCGCCGAGCCCGTGCCCTCTGGCGCCAGTACGCAAGCGCTCATTAGCATCGCGCGCCACCACAACATTCTCCTCCTCGCGGGACTCTACGAGCGTGACGAAGATGAAGGCGATAGCGGCAGTAGCGTCATCTACAACACGTACGTCTGCGTGTCCGGCGACGGTCTGCTTGCGCGCTTCCGGAAGCTGCATCCGTTCATTAGTCCCCACCTGCGCGGCGGCCGCGAGCTCGTCGTGTTCGATTTGCTCGGATGGAAAGCTGGCATCCTCATCTGCTACGACAACAACGTCGTCGAGAATGTGCGCGCGACGGCGCTGCTCGGCGCCGAGATTCTGTTCGCACCTCACGTCACCATGTGCACTCCGTCGGCTCGGCCCGGCGCCGGCTTCGTCGACAAGACCCTGTGGCAGGCGCGGGACGCAGACCCGGCGCCGCTGCGCGCCGAGTTTGACGGAAACAAGGGACGCGCGTGGCTGATGAGGTGGCTGCCGGCGCGGGCGTACGACAATGGTATTTACGTCGTATTCAGTAACCCGATTGGCATGGACGACGACCAGCTCAAGAATGGGTGCAGCATGGTGCTGGATCCCTTTGGCGACGTTCTGGCCGAGTGTCGAGTCCTGGGCGAGGACATGGCTGTCGCGGTGTGCACGCGTGACAAGCTGCAAAAGGCTGGTGGGTTTCGTTATCGTCAGGCGAGAAGACCAGAGATTTACGGGGAAGTTCTTGCGCGGGAGCACGATTCACAGCTCAAAGTTGCGTGGATGTAGCGCTGGCGTGGATAAAATTGAAACTGCCAAGGGGGTATATCTATTCAAATGATCATCGTCACATCTTTATGCGTGGTCCGCTGTATTATGCGCGCCAAAATACTTGTCCAGCTCGCTATCCAGCTCACTGCCTTCAATGTGACGCATCTCCTTGGCGCGCTGCACCGGGCTGACCTTGTCCACGTAGGCGCTGGCAAAGATGACGTCGAGCTCCTCGAGACTGCGGCCCTTAGGCTCCGGGAAAAAGAACCATACCATGGGGATAATAGCAGCGTTGAAAACAGCAAACATGATGTATGTGCGGTAGCCGAGGTTGGCAAAAGCCGGCGGAGTAATCATGACAATCAGGAAATTGGACAGCCAGTTGGAGCAGGTTGACAATGCGTTGGCCTGGATGCGGATGCGGAGGTTGGTGATTTCGGCGGGGTAAAGCCAAGTCATGCCAAGCCAGCCTAGACAAAAGTTAGATTGGGTTGCGAGTTAGTAGGAGGTTGTAGACTTGCCAATGGCGAAGAACGTGTTGAAAACGAAGAGGAAAACAGTCGCCGTCACTCCGTAGGTGGTGTTGAGCTTGGGCGCACCGTTGGGGAGGGTCGTTCCAGTAGACACAGTGCCGGCAAGGATTGTCATGGATGCCATCATACCGAAAGCACCGAATAGCATCAAGGTACGGCGACCAGTTCTTTCGATGAGTGGTAGGGCGACTAAGGAGGCAAGAAAGTACTCGGTGCCGTTGGCGGCGGCCAAGAGGCGTGACATTTCTGCACTGAAACCCAGGGAATTTTCAAACAAGAACGTCGCGTAGTAGGTGATTAGATTGATTCCACAAATTTGTTGACCAAATTGGGCAGCTACACCGATGAGCGTGCGGCGCAAATTCTGCGACGCTCCCCCAGTGAGTAGTTCCTTGTTGTTGAACTTGCCCTGCGCTCCTTGGGCCTCGATGCCGTCGATAATGGTTTGCATTTCCTGTCGAGTCTCCTCATGGTCGATCGGCTTGCCAAGGAGACGCCCAGTTACCGCGGCGGCTTCGTCCATTCGTCCGTGCATGGCCAGCCAGCGAGGAGACTCGGGCAAGTACATCAGACCCCACATGACGATGAGGGTAAAGAAGCTCTGAAAAGCAATGGGAAATCGCCAGCGAACGGAGCCTTGCAAGAAATAGAAGCCAAAGTCAACCCAGTAAGCAATCATGATGCCGCCCGAAATGAGCGCACCGGAAAGCATAATCAGAAAGCCTCGTTTGTGGGGACGGGCGCATTCCGACTGCCAGGTTGGAATGGCTGTGAGGATTAGGGCGTGACACTCAAAGAACATATAAGTTACTCACTGGAAGTCACCATGCCATTGCCGATGCCACCAACGACGCGTCCGGCGACAAAGAGGCCGTACTCGAAGCACGCAGCCTGCATAACGGTACCGATAATCATGATCAGACTGCCCCAGAACGTCGACGACTTGCGTCCCCAAGATTCACCATAGAAAAATACCAAGACGGCGCCAAGGAAGCAGCCAACTTGATAAATGGCCACGCCAGCAGCCTGTGTATTCGCATCCCCAGTGCACATATTAGGGTCAGGGACTGTCGCAGCGTCATCGAGCCAGCAGATGGGGTTGGCCTTGTCACGGGGCGTCATTAGAGGAAGATTCTTCTGAAAGTCGTCCAGCGTCAGCAGCGCGCTCAGCACACCCTGATCGTAGCCGAACATGAGAAAGCCGCAGGATGCGATGATGCCAATGCAATTATTCAGCATCCTCCCTTCGAGCAGCTTGCCGCCAACCGTCCATTGCGGAAGGACAAACATGTCGAGAAAACTGCTCTTCGTCCCAGTCTTTTCAATCGATGGCTCTTTGCGTGCAGAGCTTGTGTTGTAGCCTTCAGTCATATTGATGCGGCTATCATCCGAATCGCCAGACCGTTCGTGCTTCTCGGTGTCTGCTATGGTAAGTTAAGCCGCGGAGGTAGTGCGATTTACAGGCTGACAGTGATCAGTAAACCCGAAGACCTCGATTTGGGATTGTTGGCATTTTGTATTCGGTCACAATCTCATTCATTATTAAAAGTGCCAAGCCATGCTGTGGAGGAAAATTGTAGCGCATTGGGTCTTGGCTGAGGTCACAAAGGCATCTGTGCTGGAGTATGACCCACGATCCGATGCGCCAGTAGTCTCGTTAGAATATGCAATGGCCCATATTTAGAAGCGGACTGTGTTATTCTTTTCTGGGTGGCTTTCGGCCGGTCAATTTGTGTGCTCGCAAGCTGGTCGTGGACGGCGAGCCCAAGCAGGCTGATAACCAAAGGTGTTTCGAGAGGGTCGTATTTTGTGACGCAGTCGACCACCGTGTGCCTAGGTAGCACCACTTATACCTGCCGTTATAGCCGTATTCCGATTCGAGATATAAACTTCTCTCGACTTTTATCGTAGCGTTGCCAATTCTGACTTCAAGTTGACCGACATGGGTGGATTAGGACGCCGGTTGGTCCTCGCATCGCATAGAGATTTTGCAAACTAGAATCTTAGCGTCAGCCGCGGGATGCCGTACAGGGCAAGCCGGGATCGGATAAGGCTTTTTCGCGCTCATGACAGCCAGCCCGTGGTTGGATTCGATTCGGCATCATCGAATGAGCGTGCTGGGGCCCAGTTTAATGACGTTGTGAACGGCCCTGCCAGGCCCGCGGCCAAGCCATTCACGAGGCGTTTTAAAGTTAAATGGTTCGTTCGGCACTCACGGTAGGTACGGGCTTTACGCGGATCTAGCAAAAAGAAAAACTCGTAATGAAGCGTCCGGCGTCTGAGCGACTCGGGCGAGGTGCCTGCTCTTTGCAGTAGTGGTTTATAGCCAAATAATTCATGTAGCGACTTTGTCCCGTATTCAATATGACATTGCCAAGGCACCGAGAAACATGGCATATGTGGGTCACAAAAATTGTGTGGCTCTAGTCCAGCTCTTTGTAATAATCACTTTGCCGTATCTTCGGATAGATCCATAGAGTATGGAGCTTCACAGAGAGTGGCTGATGCCGGGTCAATGGCGAACAAATGCTGTTCATCGTCTGCCGGGCCGACATGGAATCCCGCTGCCATGCCCGTTCCCATGTGGACCATCATGTGGCAATGAAGCATCCATAGTCCAGGATTGTCCGCCAAAACTCGCAGTACAACGTGGCCACGCCTGGGAACATTGACGGTATCCTTGAACAGAGGGCTCTGCAAGTTCAACGGCTGCTGCAGCACGCTAGCTGGGTCGTAAGGGTTGTAGCTCCCCCAGCCTGCGCGGCCCTCGGCTCTAAAGGACGACAGGACGTAGAATGAATGGCCATGCAGATGGATCGGATGCGACCCGTCATCCAAATTGTTGATGACGAGGTCTACATAGACAGGGTCAGATGCGGTTGGCACGTGTGGGAAGAACTGGTTTTCATCCCAGTCTCGCCGACTCTGTGAGAGAAGTGGCCTAGATTGCGGCTCCCACGCGGTGTGATTTACGTAACCGTGTGGCCGGTTACCGAGGTGTGACTTGATCATTGTCTTGAGATAGAACAAGATTGTTTGCTGTGCGGGAGGGAGAGATGTCTTGGTAGGAACCTCGCGAGTGAGCTTCGAAAGATCGATTCGTGTTTCGATCGCGGCAAGATCTCGAGGACGTTGAAATTTGGTAACCTTGACCGTCTCTGGCAGGGCTGGGAAAGCCTGTTCTTCAATAAGGGCGGGATTAGGTCGAGAGTAGTTTCTATAGTCGGCGTTAGCTGACAAAGTCTAGATTGAACATATTGAGTTGTACAGACTCATCGTCCAGGTATACGTTGAGCCATGGCTCGCTAACAAAGTCGTCTTTCCACAAGAGCATCAAGTCAGTACGTTCACCGGGGTACAGTATGCCGATGGCATCTGCAACAGGTGATTGTACAGAGCATCCGCCGTCCATCTCGATTGGCTGTAAAGTGGCGCCATCCACCATTAGGGTGACACCGGATATGGTACCGACATTAACTATTCGCAGTCTCGTTTGTGCAGTCCTGCGAGGAAAGATAGGTATCATTTCTGCGACGGACCTTTCTGTACAGTTGAGGGGAAAGGCGGGCATTTCCATAGCGCAATCAAATCGGCCAAGGCCATTGATTTGCAAGGAGTCTGGCACTGGCTCATCGCCGAGGCTTGTCCATCCTGCATACCACTCGAGTACATCTGCTTGTGGCTGGTGGAACCAGTCACCTATCATGAGAAGGACGTCGTCGTAGTCGTCTTGGGGGAGTGCTTGATGCCGTGGGGGGTGAATTATCAGTCCACCAAATAGACCGTCACCACGCTGAACCTTGTGATGGCTATGCCACCAGAATGTACCATGCTCTTCGGCTCCAATTTTGAAGTCATAGACAAAGTCTTCCCCGCTAGGAATGGGGCACTGCGTAATGCCAACGGCTCCGTCCATGGTATTGTTGCCTCTCAGTCGCAAACCATGCCAGTGAAGTGAGAGTGCTTCATCTGGGAGGCGGTTGCGAACAGTCACAGTGATCCTGTCCCCTGAGCGTGCCTCAATTGTAGGTCCAGGAAATTCCCCTGAAGTCGCTTCAGTACGAGCCATCACGAGCTATCCTTTGACGTAGTTGACGTACCATTGACAAGATAGACTCTTTTTTGGACACCGTCTGGGCTTCGTATTCCGGTGGTGATTACCCAGTCTAAATAAAGTGTTTCTGCGTCTCGGTTCATATGTAGCTGAGGGTGTAATGGAATGGCGACCTGCTCGCTTGTAGGAGGCTGTTTATAGACCAGGTGTTGTCTGTGCAGACCGATGTATGGCCCAACAAGCAGCGCCGCCACGAGGAGGAAAACAATCGAGATGAGCCATAACGGCATACGAATTTTCCAAGAACGTTTTGCAGACTTAGTTGGCATGTTCTCTGGCCGTTTCACTTGGATATCCGAGTCGTAGATCTCGATGGTCTGTTGGCGACTGGAAGAATTCGCCGACGAATTGAGCCTTGAGTAAGGCCGGTGAGAGTCAATTCGATCCCCCATCTCATATCCGCCGATGAGCTAAAAGTAATGATTGAGTGTTGACCGCGGCTACCCAAAATGGAAGTTGAGTTTGAGGCTAGGGCAGCGGAGAAGGTCGGCGCAGATCGAGCGGGCTCGTAGGCTTGTGCATGTCGTAGGTTACGCCAGAAACCTCCAGGTGACGGAGTGGTGACACAGATATCATCGGTATTCCTTTGAAGAAGGTTGCATTGGATGCGTTGAAGGAAGGCGAGTCACTGGAATCGAATATATTATAGGTGGTGTTTGTCATAGTTGAGGGGTGGACAGTTCTAGGTAGGTAGATTGAAAGCCAGCCAAGACTGGCACCTGGGGCACGTGTGCCAGGAACCCCACCATCTGGGCTTGCTTCTGGGCACTAAAGAACGCTAAATGACCGCCGAAAGAGCCGGCTTCGGGGCGGGTTTAGAAGTGGCCCCTGGAGAGCCCCGCTGCGGTCAACAATCAGGTACCCAGGCGTGCCAGGCACGCCAGGTACGCTGTGGCGGAGATCTGTAGCTACTGCCGGACGGCGGGCTTTTCCAACACGTACGAGAGGTGGTTTACGCAGACCTCGAACAGATTCACGAGCAATGCCAAACAGGAAGACAAATCACTCACCAGAATCGGGACTTTCCCCTCTCAACTCCCAAATAGCATCCAAACGTCTAGGTGGCCCAGGAACACGCCCTCTGTGCTAGGTAGGTACCTAGGTATAGAGGTATAGAGTGGGGGTACAAAAGTCCCGTACGGTTTGCCCATGCGCCCCGTAGCGAGCGACGCCGTAGCATCAACACTGCATTTTACAGCTGTGGTAGTTCCACCAATGATACCTTGATTAGCACGAAAAAGCATTATACGGCGTGTTATTAGGAAAAGGGGTATAATAAATATGTATAAATAAACGGTTCGGCCTAATTGTCAATCAATTCGGGGTTAGGGGTGACTGACGAAGCCATTAGACGCCGAAGCGAGCTCCTCCATCGTAAGTTGCACGAAAAAACACGTCCTTTGTCTCACTAGTAATACTAATGTCAGTACAGTGACTATAGTAGCGATGATAATGATAACAACGACATTGAATGCTTGATGACTTCTGATTCCTGTGTTGATGCAGGTTTCCAGCCGTGTGGAGCCGCGCTGTGTTAGTAATGTCTGCCAAAATCCTCCGAAGCAGCACCCAACCGTGACAATACCTACATCGTCAGCTACCGCGGAATCATCACACCAACGTCAACCAGCGAATGGCATATGAAAAACGCGTGGCAAAGATCGTGATGCATAGCTGCTTGCTCTCATGAGCTCTCTATGTGCACGAGATCGTGCTCCCTAGACAAACAGCACCAAAGGCACCCAAATTCTTCCGCGTTCGCACCAATCACGAGAATGAGCGACTTTGACTCCGGGGACGACCTATTTGATGGTGTAGATGCTGACATGCTAGCATCTACCCAGTATTCCTCCGCTGCGGTAAAGCGAAAGCGAGAGCCGGAGAGCAGCCAAGATGTTGACCTGCTAAAGAAGCAGCGCGATGTGTCCGGAGAAGTAAACCTTGCCGACGCATCAGAGCTGATGCACGTTGCGCAGAACCTGCTTACCGAAACTTTCGGGTACAAAGCGTTTCGCCATGAGCAAGCAGGCGCAATTCAAAGGCTTCTCGCTGGCGAAAACGCCCTAACTGTGTTTCCCACTGGCGCCGGAAAGTCGCTTTGCTATCAGGTTGGCTACCATGGCAGACACGATCTCGTTCAATTAAATGACACGTATACAGATACCCGCCTTTTCTTTCGAGCAGCTGGACGTTAAGAGCGGCTCGAAGGCACCCGGCGAGCATGGCATCAGCATTGTCGTCTCACCACTCATTGCCCTGATGAAGGATCAAGTCGACGCGCTGCAACGGCGAAACCTACCCGCTGAATGTCTCGACTCGACTAAAACCTGGGAGCAAGAGCAGAAAATCTACGCGGGTCTCCGAGAAGGCAAACTACGCCTTTTGTACTGCGCCCCGGAGCGACTCAATAACGAAGGCTTCGTCGAAAACATGCGCAATGTCCGGGGCGGTGTCCGCCTCTTAGCTGTTGACGAGGCACACTGCGTCTCCGAATGGGGCCATTCCTTTCGTCCCGAGTACCTCAAAGTTTCTCGCTTTGCCAACGAGATCAAGGCGGAGCGGGTAGTCTGCCTCACGGCAACTGCAACGCCAAAAGTTATCGAGGACATCTGCGATGCCTTCCAGATCCAGCCAGAAGGCGTCTTTCGCACTACCCTCTACCGGCCGAACCTCAACCTCCATGTAAAGGCAGCAAAAGCTAAAGAGGACAAGGTTCCTCTCCTCTTTGACTTTCTCAACAAAAATGCAGGACCGACTCTCGTCTACGTCACCCTCCAACAGCAAGCAGAGATGATGGCGGCTGACCTGCGAAAGCATGGCTATGATGCGGAGGCATTTCATGCCGGGCTGAATGTGGAACTCAAGACGCAAATCCAGGACAAGTTTCTGGCTAACAAAGTGCGAATCATTGTCGCTACCATTGCATTCGGCATGGGCATCGATAAGCCAGACATCCGCAGCATTATCCACTTCGACCTTTCGTCTACGGTGGAAGAGTACTGCCAGCAGATTGGGCGCGCCGGACGTGACGGGAAAACAAGCAATTGCATGTACTATGTCTGCCCTGACGACTGGTACCTCCGCGAAAACTTTGCCCGAGGCGACTTGCCATCTCTCCGGTCCCTGAAAGCATTCTTGAGCGACATTTTCAATCGGGAGAACGTAGCCAAGCCCGTCGGAGACAGTTTCAAAACAAGTCACTATGTCCAATCGCGCGAATTTGACATTCGTACGGGTACACTAGGGACCATCTACGCAGCACTGGAGTTGCAATTCGAACTGATTCGAGCGATCACGCCGGAGTACAGCGAATACAAGTTTGTGCCAACAAATGTGTACTTTGCACGCATGAGCAAGGAGAATTCTCCCTCAAGCAAGGCAATATACGCCCGGGCTGTTAAAAAGTCAAAGTTTTATTACGTAGATGTTAACAGCATCGTCTCGCAAACGGGGATCCGCCGCGCCGACATTGTCAGCAAACTTACAGACCTGAACAACGCTGGCGTCATTGAGCTCAAGGCCGGCGGCCTCGAGCAGCGATACCGCATTATGCAGCCGCTGCCCTCTTCTGCCGCAGAGATTGATGTGCTAGCCGAGCGCCTGCACGTAGATCTCTCGCGGCGCGAGGAGGACTCCCTGCAGCGCACGAAAAAGGTGGAGGATCTCATCACGGGCGACAAGTGCCTCGCGCTCGCCCTAGCGCAGCACTTTGGCATGGGCTTGCCAGATGGCAAGTCCAAGTGCGGCCACTGCACGCACTGCCTGACCGGACGGCGGACCGCCATGCCCCCGCGGCCAAAGAAGGTGACTGACATGGCGGGCATTAAGCGAATACTTGTTGCGTGCGATGTGCGCGACGATCCACGATTTCTTGCTCGCATTGCCTTTGGCATCAAGAGCCCGCGGGTAACCAAGTTGAAGATGGACAAGCACAAGGTGTTCATGTCTCTCGCTGATCATGACTTCAAGGTATGTGTTCGAGGCTCTTGATATTCTGTCGGCACACCTATTCCTGAAAGGTTGCTAATATTAGTTGATGATAGTCCCTTCTAAAGGAGTTTACAAAGGCTTGCGAGATGAGCGAAGTGGGAAGAAAGTGACGACTCCGCGATGTCTAGTATCACGCAACTTGTCAAATCTAGCATCTGAATCTTCTCGAACATGTATAGACTTGATCAAACTTGATTAAACGTCAAGGTGGCCTGGAGACAAACTTTCGACGGAAGACAGATCTAGTTATTTGCAGGTACCGATGCGCCATGGCCCGCAGATAACACGCCCCTGCCGCTACCCCACTGCGCTTCCAGGGGCTACAGGACCACATCCACCCGATTACAGCGCTAGTCACAGGGCTATATCCACTGTATCCCCCTCTTTATGCAAATACAGCGCCTCTCATTCGCCCATTGGTTTACTGGCTTCACTCACCACCATCACCATCACACCACCAAGCCGCCTCTACCCTTCCTCGTGTTCCTTGCCTTCAGTCCCTCGCACCTCGCACACCCCACACGCCCACATCCATTGTCCACATGCATGGCCGTGGTGATGGGATTGGATCAAACTACGTTGCATGACCGGAACACACTCCCCCGCCCACCCGACAAATACACAATGTCCTGGGACCTGGCCCTCGGCCGCGCTCTCGCCGTCTGGCGTGGCACTCGTCCGCGCTCCGGCCGCTGTGTCCGGCGAAGAATTAGGCTAAAGTAGCATTCGCTGGTCATACTGAGTAGTTATATGAGCCACCCCCATTGCGGCGTGACCTTGTACGTGCTGTTCCAACTCACGAATGGATGCCACTCCGCCATCATGACTACCATTCGCATCGCTTCCTTGGCTGCCGGTGCCTTTTTATACTGGTCCCGGCCTGTCAAGGCCGATAGCCTCGCCGACATTGACCATGTCGTCCTCTTTATGCAGGGTGAGTCCGTTTCGCTATCTACTGTAATGCCTAGCCAACACCATGCAGAAAATCGTGCGTTTGACCACTACTTTGGTACTATGCCTGGTGTCCGTGGCTTCGCCGATGCCAATTTGCAGATGAATGGCGACAAGCCCGTTTGGAACCAAGTGGTCGACGCCAAGATGACCACCAAAGCTAATCACATCAACCCTTGGTACCTCAACTACCTTGGCGGCGAGTGGAACGACATTACCCAGTGCATGTATGCTGGTAGCAATGGCTGGTTCGAGAACCATGCCGCTTGGAACCATGGCACCAACGATCATTGGGCCATGAACAATACCGTCTACAGCATCGGCTACTTTCAACAAAAGGATATTCCTATCCAATGGGCTCTTGCTGACGGTTGGGTCATCGGTGACATGTACCAGGTATATAACGCACAGCTATCAAGGTAATACTCGCTAACATGATTCAGGAGGGTGTTGTTGCCTCTACGAGCCCGAATCGAGTAACTTGGGTCTCTGGCTCCATCAACTCCCCAGGCGGGCCTCAGAAGCCCGATCAGGGCGGCAACCCTTACATTGACAACCACGAGACCCCGGGCTGTGAAGCCGGTGGCATCAACTGCTACCCGCTCAAGTGGAAGACGACTGGTGAAATGTTCGAAAAGGCCAATGTCTCGTGGACTGTCTTCCAGGACACCGACGACAACTTTGATGATAACCCCTATGCCTGGTTTGGCCAGTTCCAGGATGCCCCCGAATCATCTCCGCTCTACAAGAAGGGCATGGTGGGCTCATCTATGGACTCTTTCTACGAGCGTGCTGCCAACGGGACCCTTCCTGAGCTCTCATACATTATCGGCCCCATGGTGCTATCAGAGCATACCCCTTATATGCCCAAGGACGGCGGCTGGCTGCAGCGCAAGATTGCCGACGCCGTCATCAAGTCGCCCAAGTACAACAGAACGGCCCTCATCTACTCGTACGATGAAACTGGCGGTTGGGCCGACCATGTTGACCCGTTTCGCTCTCCTAAGGGTACTGCTGGCGAGTGGCTCGAAGATCCTTACGGCAAAGTCGGTTATACCTTTACTGGTCCAGGCTACCGCGTGCCTTTTTACATAATCTCGCCCTGGACACGCAACGGTGGCGTCTACACTGAGCACACCGACCACAACTCACAAATTCTCTTCCTCGAGAAGTGGCAGGAGGCCAAGGGTCGCGACGTCAAGACGGATGAGATGGTACATTGGCGCCGTGAAAATATGGGCGACCTTGTCAATGCCTTTGACTTTGATACGCCCAACTACGAGGTCGTGGAGCTGCCCGACACGCCCGAGCCGCACAAGAACTCCAAGGGTAAGTGGGACGGCGCCTCGTACTGTCGGGCGATGCACAAGGAGCACCAGCCTCCTGCACCATACACGGGGCCCGGTGCTATTCAGGACATGACCACTGTTGTCGGCAATGGCTTCAAGTCAGTCCGCGGTAAGCTCACCGAGGGTCGCTACCTTACATTCGAAAGCAACGGTCAGGCCCTCACGGCCACGAAGTGCGGCGGCAACGAGAAGCCAATTCTGCAGGAGGCCACGGCCAAACATGAGAAGAAGGCCCAGCGCTGGGTTGTTCACGTTGTCGAGCTTGGCGGCAGCGACTTTACAATTAGCAACGTGGCCTGCGACGATTACATTTGCACGGACGGCGTCCTCTGCGACAGCAAGGACAAGGCGGCCGTCTTTACCGTTGACTACGTCGCTGGCAAGGGATACAGTCTGCTTGAAAAGGAGACGAGCGAGTACTGGGGCGTCGGCAAGGGCAGTGGCTCGCCGTCGTCCAGCAAGGACCCTAGTTACTGGCAGCTGTTTAGTGTCAAGTATTAGAGGCCTCGAGTACAGACGTGACGAGCGATACATATTCTCTGCAGATAGTATCCTGTACGTAGTACGCGTGAACCCGACTTTTCTGCAATCGTCCACCCGAATCTGCATGGTGTCGACGATGTCTCTTCACATTCCCACTGCGTTTCCGTACTGGTGGGAAGCACGGCATTATGTCGCCGAATTCATGCACCCTCTTGCAGCCCATGTGGGGAGACGAAACGCGGAGCGAATGCAGGTTGGCGAATCCTTCGCGGTCCGTATAACGTGCATATTCTCACCAGGAACCGCTCTCGAGAGGTCTGAGATACATGAGCTTCCTATTATGGACAAGAGTCTCGTCACAAGAGAGTGAGAGCCAGCTGTGGTGCGGTCGGCGTTTTGGGTGTTCTGATAGGCTCCAGCACTACTTGGTGCGTCGATCGACGTTGGCCTTTCTACGCCTTTGTTTTCGATTCGCAGAGTATAAGGTGCAACGTCTTGGCAATATTATTAATAGTCACAGAGTATTGAATTGCCAGTGTATATACAAATTAGGATGGTGGTGTGAATAGCGGAGAGTGGTGGTGACCCTGCGGTCCACAAGGGTAGGTTCGCCGTAGTGGGGAGATGGGGTGATGAGAACGAGTTTCTAGGAGGCCGAGCCGTGCCTAAATAGCTAGTGTGATTATTTGGTCGTAAATTGATCGGTGCACGCGGCGGAGGAGGAGGCGGGAGGTGGACAGGAGGATGGGCTTTACGATTGAGGAGCAGAAGGGGCTGCATATCTTGATTACGACGGCGCAAAGTTGGTCATAAAGACGTGAAGAAGTAGTTTATTTAGCTGCTGAGAAGAGAGCAGTGCTCCCAGCCGCAATTGAGACCAGTAGCAATCTCGATTGCATACTATCCGTACTATTTTACTTTTTTTCGCCGCCCCCATAATCTCTTTGTCGTCGATCCCCCAGATGATCCCTAGTTAGTAAGGGCTGGAGAATAGCCGTCGGCTTTTCCACCGTCACCCCGATTCGGCCATGACATACGAGCATGCACGCATGCTCATAAATATTCCATGCATAAGTGCTTGATATATAGACGTGACGAGTCCGGAAACTCCTTACATAAACTACTGCCCCGTCAAACCCCCATAAAGTCGCGTCGTCACCCCGCACAGACTGCCTCGGTGCGCGCGCCCCTCCGGCATGCTCACCACCATCGCCGAGGCCCTCGCCAACCTCCTCGACCCTTTGGCGACTGCACACCCACCCCACTACACGATGAAGGCCCTCCTCACCACCGTCCGTCTCGCGCTCCCGCGCATCCTCGCCCTCACTTCGCTAGCCTCCGCCGTCGCCAGCAGCCCCCACCGCTGCGCCACCGACGAAGACTGCAGCCTCAACGGCCTCTGCAACATCGTCTCCGGCAGCTGCGCCTGCGACGCCGGCTGGACGGGCCCGGACTGCGGGGTGCTGGATCTGCGCCCGGCCAAGCGCCGCTCCGGGTACAACCGCACCGCGGAGGGCACGTCGTCGTGGGGCGCGCGCATCGTTCGCGACCCGTTCGACGACGGGCTGCACCACCTCTTTGCGGCCGAGTTTGCGCACGGCTGCGGGCTGGACTACTGGGCGCCGTACTCGCGCATCGTGCGCGCCGAGTCGCGCGAGGGCGCGGCCGGGCCGTACGTGTTTGCCGACGAGGTCGCGGGCACGTTTGCGCACAACCCGACCGTGGTGCGCAGCCCGGCGGACCAGGCGTACTTGATGTACTATATAGGCTGCCCGACCGAGGTGGACGCGTCGCGGTGCACAGGCAGGAAGTTTTCGTGCGGCCCGGGAAACGCAAACAATGGTGAGAGCGGCATCTCGGTCATGACGAGCAGCGACCTGCGGACGTGGACGAGCGCGGGACAGGTGTTTTCGGGCACCAACAGCAGCACAGACTGGGACGCCGACGTGACGAATCCGTCGGCGTTTCCGCTGTACGCGGCCGGCAAAGACGAGACGCCCGCGATTCTGCTGGCGTATCGCGGATGCCCGTACGACTGCCTCGGCCGCGAGCAAATCAACCTCGCCGTCGCCGCGACCGGGTACCGAGGCCCGTATCACCGCGTACAGCCGGATCCCGTGTTCGAGGCCGACAACGAGGACCCGTTTGTGTGGCGCGACAAGCGCGGGCACTGGCACATGCTGACGCACTCGCTCGAGGCCGAGGGCGGGTTCGGCAACGGGCCCAAGGTCGGGCGGCACGCGTACGCGAGAGACTACGCGGGGCCGTGGACGCTGTCGACACAGCGCTCACTCGCGTTTGACACGACGGTGAGGTGGGATGATGGGGGCGAGGTGCGGTTCTACAGGAGGGAGAGGCCGCAGCTCATGTTCTCAGAGGACGGGGAGATGACGCCGCTGCTGCTGACGACGGGGGTGCAGCCGCGGGGGAGTGCAATGAGCTATACGGTGATTGCGCCGGTGGGTGATGCGGGAGTCGAGGCTCAGTAGTGTCCATGACATGTATCTACGTGAAGAATGCATCAACTCTTGAGGAAAGGTGAAATCAAGTATATTGCCATGACTGCAGAGTTGAATGTTTGTTACTGCTTCCGCGCTACCCAAAACTGCGCCTTGTACGCACTGGTGGTGAGCGCCTTGTCGTTGAAGCTGTACACGGCGCGCATGCCGCGGACCGTGCGCCCCGGAATCGTCAGACTGCCGTACTTTTCCTCCGTCTCGACGTAGTCGTAGCCCATCGTCTCCGTGACGGAGAGAATCTCCTCGAGCGAGAGCTGCACCAGCGGGCCGGTGCCGTACAGCAGCGGGCCGAGGTTGATCCAGTAGCCGCCGGGCTTGAGCAGCTTGGTGATTGTGTCAAAGTACATCATGAGGTTGCGCGCCGTGTCGATGAAAAAATACGTCAGCAGCACGTCGTACGAGCCGGGCTCGTGGTTGAAGACGGTGGTGAAGTCGCCCTCTACGAGCAGCACCGCCGCGCGGTCCACGTCGACCTCTGGAAACCGAATGGTGCGGACCATGTCGTCCTCGGTGATGTGGTGCGACCACGTGTCGGCGAATGGATGAAACGACGACGCGTTTGTGTCTGGAAACGTCTCGAGAAAGCGGTACGCGACATTCATGTACGCGGACCACTCGTTGGCCGTGACCTCGAAGCCGCCCAACTTGGCCACCTCGTGCGCGAGGCGGTTCACGCCCGACCCGGGCAGCAGCACCCGCAGCGGCGGCGCGTCTTGTTCCCGTTCCTTTCGGTTGGGAAACAGCGCCTCTAGCGTGCCGAGGAGCGCGGGAAACGTCTCCTCGGACTCGGTGTGGCCTGACGAGGACCAGTCGCGGACATAGTGCTTGAGCGCCTGCGAGACGGACGTCCTGTCGGCGCGCTTCCCGGCGGAGAGGGTCTCGGCGGCGTGCTTTTTGAGCTCCGCGGGCGGGATCTGGTAGTAGGCGAGCGCAGTCTGGACAATCTTGTCGCAGAGCCGCTGGTTGAGGAGGAGGTGCTCATCGACACGGTCAAACTTGGACGAGTACTGGATGTGGAGGTCAAGCAGCTGTGATTGTCAGCCAGCATTACTTTTTTTAAAAAAAAAAAAAAAAAAAAGAAGAAAAAGGGTCCGAGATCGTACCGTCTTGTGCTTCTTGCTTAGGTGCTTGTAGAGGCCGCGAAAGCGCTCGAGCTCGACCTGCTGTCTCTCGTAGTAGCTCTGGAAGCCAAAGAGCGCGTCCAGCAGGCGGTGCCGCGGGTGCGTGGACGACCAATTGCGGTCGCGCCGCAGACTTTGCAGCAGCCTCTCCTTTTCAGTCTCGTGGCGCGAGCCCTTGATTGGTTCCTGCGCGCGCCTAAAGCTCTCGAGCATATCAATCGCGTCCTCCGAATCGTGCATTGTCTGCGACTATGTCGTTTTCCTCAAGGTTAGCGCCAAAACGAGAATTTCTTTCGAGTTCGTCCGTCACACAAAAGCGTGGTGGATAAAGAAAGAAGGAGAAAGAAGAAAAAAAAACACGCACCGGAATCTGCTCGGCGAAAATTTCCGTCGAGGTGACTGCCGACTTGACCTTGCCCATGGCATCGCCGCTGTAGAAGCTGCCCAGGATGCCGAGCAGAAACGTGGCCAGCGCGCCGACGACGAGCAGGTTAAAGGGCATGGCGAGCATCATGACGAGCGAAATGAGCACCCCGCCAAAGGCCACAGGTAGTAGATTGTCGCGCTGCACCATGGCAAGTAATGAAGAAAGGGGAGAAGGAGGCTTCCTTCAGGAGTTATCTGGAAGCCCGTTTCTTTTGATCCGTGCCAAGAGGTGCCGTGGCGCTGCGGAAGAGGACCTTGATGGTGGGAGAAAATTTGGTAGTGAGGCTGGAGGGCTGGTTTGTCTAGGCGGGGTCTGCAACATACAAACTGCAAGCATATGCCTGGGGAAGGTGATGCTGCTGAAAATCATTCAATAAATAGGAGAAGATGGCGAGTTTTGAATTATGCTAGTCGGTCGCTTTTTTGAGCAGGAATCAATACAGCGACGCTGCTAGATGGTCCCATTCTATACAGCGTCTCGTCTAGTTTACGACAGCTCCGCGGCATCTGAAAGGAACTGATGATATCAAGGCGTTTGCTTTTGCAAAGGTGCAAGGGGTTGCAACTTGGGAAACAACATCAAATTGTGAGCAGGTTGACTCAGGCCTTAGATCTAAGCTTTGCCAAAAAAACCCACGCTTGTCAAGATGGTGATGCTAAGGAAGTGAGTTGAGCATTGAAAACCAGCTTCAATATAAATAGCAAAAGACTAAACTATACACAACGAGAAAAATACAATCTGATTCTTGCGAATGTCAAATCTAACCTCATCATCCCTTCATTCCCATCGCCCTTCATCCACACCCCACACCAACACCACAACTACTCACCGCGACGGGGATACTGAAAGGCTGAGCGCAGCCAGCGCGGTAGCGACGCAAAAGCCGCTGCACCCCCGCCCCGCGCCGTCTTGCTCTCAGCCCCGAGTTCCTAGGCGCTGCTGGCATTCTTCTGTTCCCCGTCCTCGCCGCCCTTGCCGCGGCCTTTTATGGTCCCCCACGGAGGCTGGCCCTCGGGTCCGCCGCCGTCCGAGGCCGCCAGGTTCTTGACACCCCACGGCGGCTGTCCCTCGGGACCTGCGACGCCCTTGGCGTTGACGGCCGCACCGAGGTTCTTGACGCCCCAGGGAGGCTGGCCCTCGGGGCCTTCGAGACTGGTGGCGTTGGCGCCGGCGGTGGTGGCCGCGAGGTTCTTGACGCCCCAGGGAGGCTGGCCCTCGGGACCTTCAAGACTGGTGGCGTTGGCGGCGCCGGCGGCGGTGGCCGCGAGGTTCTTGACGCCCCAGGGAGGCTGGCCCTCGGGGCCGAAAGTGCCGGATTTGCGTCGTTTGGGGCCGGCAGTCTCGGGCTGGGTCTGGTCGTTGCCGTCGTTGCCGTCGTCGTCTGGCAGGATCTTTGCGGGGTCTGGCTTGGACGAATCCCCAGGTGTAGGCACAAGATCGGACCCATTGTCAGGCACACCGTGATTCTTGGCAGCAGCCCAATCTTTATTAGGACCGTCGAAATGTGGCCAGCCAGATTCGTTCTTGAAAGGGGCATCAGTGTCGTCGTCGGTCTCGCCGCCAGCAGCACCGTTGCCTCTCTGGCCCTGCCTGCCGCGCTTCGCGGGGTCTGGCTTGGAGTCGTTGCCGTTGGGCCAGCCGTTGGCGGGGTCTGGCTTGGAGAAATCCCCAGGCGTGGGCACAAGATCGGACGCATTGTCAGGGACACTGGGATTCTTGGCAGCAGCAGCCCGCAGAACAGAGGCGGAGGAGCCATCCTGGGAAGAAGTGGAATCAGCGCCGTCATTGCTAGTGTCGTTCAAGGTGTGCAGCTTCGCAGGGTCTGGCTTGTCAGAGTTTCCCTTGGGCCAGCCCTTTGCGGGATCGTCCTTGGAGGAATCCCCAGGATCAGGCTTGTCAGATGAACCCAGGGAAGTCAGTCCCTCGGCGTACTTGGCAGCCGGGTGTTTGGGGTCGTCGACATGTGGCCATCCAGAGTCCTTTGTCACTTGGCCTCCAGATTTGCCGTTGGGGCCGCCAGCATGTGGCCAGCCGCACAGCACAGAGACGGAGTCGTCCTTGGAAGCGGCATCAGTGGTGCCGTCATTGGTAGTGCTTTTCAGTGTGTGCCACTTTGCGGGGTCTGGCTTGTCGGAATCCCCAGGATGAGGCCACCAGCCAGACCCATCGTCAGGCGTGGTGCCCCCGGGAGGCCGTCCCTTGGGTTTCTCGGCAGCCGGGTCTTTGGGATCATCCTCATGGGGCCAGCCCGATTCCTTTGTCACTTCGTGTCCGGGTTTGCCGTCGGGGCCGCCAGTGTGTGGCCAGCCGCACAGGACAGAGACGGGGACGTCTGCAAGAGGTTCTGGCGTAGACGGCTCCTCGTCGCTGACGGTGCCGGAGCTGATGGCAGTAGAGGCATTGGTGGGAGTGCTGAGAAGGTCCTTGACCTGGAGGTGGTCGTCGGGGGCGACGAGAGTTGCGGTACTCTCGTCGAGTGGTCTGTTGGTAGAAGTCATCTGTGCTGTGTGTTTACAATTGTCCTGCCACAATGTTGCTTCTTGCTGTTGCTGTTGCTGTTGTTTTTGTTGTTGTTGTTGTTGTTGTTGTTGTTGTTGTCGTTGCTCTTATAGTAGCTGGTCTGATCTCTTTGTTTCTTGGTGTCTGAAGAAATCCAAGAGACCAAAACTTGGGATCAAGCATCGCTTATATATCCACGACCCTCGCGCTTCATAGCCTCACCGCGTCTGCTAGCCTTCCCAGCCAGCCCCGGGGCACAGCCCGTGTGACGAGACGAGACTGCATTGAGGTTAGCCGGAGCGCCGAGGAGGAAAAATCTCCCACGCCCACCCTTACTAGAATGGGCAGAAATTCTTCTTACGCAAATGTGCCTGCTAGGCTCCAGACACGGCAGAGACGGAGCCAAAAAAAAAAAAAATTGGCCTCGCAGTCGCTGGTGCTGGTTGGTTGGCGGCCAGGCCGAATAAGCCCCCTCTCCCCCGGTGGCCTCTTTGCAGCAAAGAACCAATGACATGTTGTACTAGCCGGCGAATTGGGCCAATTCTCGAGGCACAATTGTTGCCTGGGCGTTTGCAAGAAAAGCTGCATTCGTAAGACAGCCTCGCATCCCCTTGGTGGACACTGGGCGTTGACTGGTCCAGGGGCATTGGTAGCCAATGGGAGAGTTAAGAAGTACCGTCTATACGGGACGGGAGAGAATAGATGGCGTCAGACCGGAGCACCATATCTGTTTAAGCATGGTAAATTTAGGGGTCATTCAGCTTATTAGCGTGGGCGTTGCGCAGCCTCGCATGACCGCCGAAAGCCTGCTCAGAACCGGTAAGTTTGGGCGCGGATCGGCGGGGTTCTAGATTGGGGCATGTTTTCTTTGCTTTTCTTTCCCTCCCCCCCCAAGGAGAATGACAGGCTGCCATTGAAGAATGCGAATTCCGCCTTGGTGAAGTAGTTTTGTTTTCCTTCTTCACACCCTCTTCGGCGACATTCTTCATCCCCTTTTTGCATACGAGCGCATGGCGACGTTGCAGGAACCAGAACAGGGGTCAGGACATTTGCAGCCTGGAAGTGGTGATTGGCACGTTGCGGTGCAGCCGCGGCTGATTGCCTTCTTCTGCAGGCAAGCCAATTAAAAAAAAAGAAAAAAAAAAGTTCAATTCGGGGCAGCCGTTGTGGTGGGAATTTAAACTGTTTAGTTGCACCAGGAACAATAGCAAGATGCTTCGACCTGTGCCACCTCGTAACGGCTTCAAGTTTCACAATACGACTAAAAAAGGGTTTTTATAAAAATAGGAGATCTCAAATTCAGTGGGTGACGGCGGATTCGATTTCAAAATTTCGTATACGTTACATTCTAGAGCAATGCGTGGATCCGGGATTGACAAGAGGGCCCCGGGCTTCAGCTAGATGCTCGCCCGATCTTGGCGGATGCCTGAGCTGGGCATTCACCGACGGTAGGCTTCGCGGTCGAAGCCGTGTGTAGCATGTTCGAAGTGGCGGTGCTCCGGCACGGCATGACTGAATTCGGAGCCACGGCCGGACAACTAACTAGTTAGTGTGGCAGGGCTGGTTAGTTTGGTTGGCTCTGCAGATTCGTGCACGGAGTATCGAGTTGAACTGTTACACCGAGTACTGATGAAGCTCCGGTCGGAAAAGAGTGAGTCAGCGTCGTCATGTTGACGAAAACCAAGACTGAATTCATCGTAGTCTCGATCCTGCCAAGTGCCACGTGCTGGGGACCTCTTGGAGATGACGACGGAGTAGACGCCGGACGTGCTTGAGAAGGGGTCTGCTGATCATGGTTCACTTGATTGGTGCCTGTGCCTTGTGCCTGGGAAGCAGATGGTTGACCTCCTCCTCCTCCTCAGTTCTCAACAGATTTTGCACAAATTCTCCATCGAATATCTTGCTACGAACTGCTCCTATGCCGCGTATTTGTTCCCCTCGTCATCGTTTTGTGACCACGTGCTGATTCTATGAAACGAATCATGGTCGCGCGCAGCATCAGAGAAAATGTAAGTAGTGGTTTGAAGCGCTCTTGTGCAACTGCAACCCACACAGGTTGACTGGTCTCAATCTGCGGCTAGACGAGATCTACTAACATCCTTGATTCAACTACTAATATCTGGGCAGTTATTATCTTGATGCGTCGTTTTTATACCGTTCGACGGCATAGCCGGCGTTTTTGCTGCATCTCGTCGACGCCACGCGCTCTAATTAATTATTAAGAAGCAAACATGTTCGCCTGCAGTATGCGCCAAGCCAATCAAAGCACTCTGCTTCCAATAGTATTACACAAGGAAAAACTTTTAATCTCAAGGGTCTACTCTGAATTTAGCTGGCCATTTTCCTTTCAGCCAGCCCACAGAGCCAGCATTGATTAATTACTTCCTGCATTCTCATCTAGATTTGTACTCGTCGCGTGGAAATGGCCTTGGCGTCTAGCATGCTCTCACTTTGCTAGCCTTGAGGTCGGCTTTGCCGATCATCATCGATTTAGAAGCATTGGAATTTTCTACAGAAATTCTACAAAAGTACCAAAGGTAATAGAGAAAAGTTTCAGCTCGGTTTCCTCCGTAGGAGGAACTGCATGTCTGCGTGTGGCTTGAGCACCTCGCTCCATCAACCTCGTCACTGTCATCACCTGGGGCACGACAGCTCACAGAGCGCAATTCACGGAAATGCACGACTATAGTTCTCTTGCCCTACCATAGACGAGTGCGAGACAAGTTGAACAGTTATGTAGCGCAGTCTTCCCAAATAAGCCAGACGGGCGGACAGAGAGGAGGTACTATTTATCATTGACCCAAAATACGTACGGGTCGTATTTGTCGCAGGCATCAATAGAAGGAACCCCGATATCTACCTGTTCGAGCACTGGAAGACTGAAGATCACATAGTCACTTACGACATTGGCCAGAGTTTTCTGGGGGATATGCAGTGTCGTGTACCCGGTCGCTAGGGCGGGCAACAGTGTCCAATGGTGCATATTATTATCGCTACAAGCATCATCCAAGCTCAGTGCGATACCAATGTTCTCAACGTCATCGTTGGACTCTGGAAAGGCGATTATGCCGGTCGGTGATTAATAAGTTGCGTGGAAAGATTGACATTATCACAGTGCGCTGGGCTAAGGCTGTTTTGGCTACTCTTCTCATTCGGGGGTTTATTGTCATGTGTTTTCAACAAAGTATTATTCAATTATCCGGCCCTTGCCGTTCACATGTCAAAACTGTTGCGGCGAAATTAGGACCCATCGTGCCACTCCAACAGTATATGCTCGATAAAGGCACGAGCTAGATACCAAATCGCTTTATTTCTAATAGATATGCCATCATTGGCTAGTAATGGCCTGATCTTCGTACATCCCACTGCGATGCATCATCGCATACGCAACTGTGACTGGTTGGCTTGCTAAGTCTGCGACTTTAGATGAACGGATCTGCCCGTTGCAGCCGCCAGTGTATTATTCCGCATTGTAATATTTCCATGTGTTAATGCCTACATTGTCTACAGACACGCGACGATGATGATGAAATGACGTTGGGGTTCTCAGGACTATATGATGGTGAGTCCATGTCGCAGTCTTTGCATAGCATTGACTGAACGAATTTCTTCCGGCACGCAGCTGTGTTGCATCTATACCCTGAGCGAAACCATTTTTTACAACGCGTTATTCGGACCGCTCCTCAGTCAATCTTGGAACAAGCTTATTGTTCAGACGTTTCAATCAAGCTACGCGATGCCATCACTCAAAACAAATGAGGGCGACAGGAGTCCTTATGACGACGCTTCTTCCGAGAATGTCGTGACGTCTGTGCCTTCAGTCCCAGTGACGGTCGAAAGACGGCCATTCATAGAGGCCGACGACGACGAACGGCTGCCACATCCAGGTAAGTGCCGCAAGTACTAGCAGCTACTGATTTGCCAGACGTTGAACAAAAAATATCAAAATAGGAACTACTAGAGCCAACACTGCACCATCATACGAACAACCTCACGGTACTACTATTGACAACTGGAGCGAGCAGCACAAGAATTCAACTGTGCGTATTTAGCTGGGCAAAAACCGAGCCTAAGTCGGCTCACATTTTTGGTGCAATGTACTCTGACGCATGGTCCTTTTTCTTTTTTTTTAGGTCCTGCAACAGCACCTCGACTTCTTTGACCGAGTAAGCCAGATAGATTACCTTGCCGCGACAAGTTGGCACTCCACTGACCGGTGTTGCAACAATCAGGACAAGGACGGAATCATTTGGCCTTCCGACACCTACATTGGCTTTCGCAGACTAGGATTCAGCATTTGGTTCTCCTTGCTCTCCGTCTTCATCATCCACGTCAACATGTCGTATGCGACGCTCAAGAGCTACATCCCGGATCCCTTTTTTCGCATCAACCTGGACAATATCCACAAGGCCAAGCATGGCAGCGACAGCAATACATATGACACCGAGGGACGGTTTAGCCCGCAAAAGTTTGAAGACATTTTTTCGAAATACTCGACTGACAAGGAGAGCTTGACAGTGGGGGATATCAGCAACCTGCTCAAAGGCCAGCGGCTGCTGTCCGATCCTATCGGGTGGTTTGGTGCATTTTTCGAGTGTGAGTATGGACCTGTCTTTTCCTTTAAGAATTACAAAGGCTGCTTTTGGGAATGGGAAAGGTTGGAGACCAATTATGAATGAAGTGCTAACAGCGATAAGGGGGCGTCACATATCTCATGATCTGGCCCGAGGACGGAAGGCTGAAGAAGGAAGATGTCCGTAGGGTATTTGACGGGAGCTTGTTCTACCACATTGCCGCAAAGCGCCAAAGGGCGTCTCGCTCATGAGCGCGCCGCACTATCATGGCGGACAGGCTGGAAAGGTGCTACAACACACTGGTCAGACAAGAGGTTTCTTGTAGGCTGAGCGCCTCATCGACCATCGCGCGCATATGTTGCAGTAGCATCAAGTCCGCAAAGGATGAATGGAGGAGAAAACAAAGGGGCATTCAACACGGCTTGCATTTGCAGGGAAAACATTGTACATGAAAGAAGAAAAAAATTCAACATTTGAGTACATTTTCACATTTATAGGGTGAGTGCATGATTTCTCTGCTCCTCCGTAGTTGCGGCGGCGAGGTCCGATTTGCGTATTTGTAACTATTCCACCATAACAGCGCTACCAGTTCTAACTAATTTGTCCACCCATCATTCGGTCCAATTTGCAGCCCACCATCGCGCTCAATTAAAAGCGTTGCATCGAATTCAAGGCAACTGCCTCGGGTGTACTAAAAGTCGCCAGATGTATGGGGTGATTTGGCCAATCAAGACGTCAATGACATCACGAGCTATTTAACCTTCTCCCTGTTGCATGAAGAAGCGCAGCACCTGCATTTATTCTTACTTCCTCTCGTAGCAGCCTTTTGCTAAATTCAAAAAAATCCGACTATTGCATTTCTCTGCTGCCTACCAAAACTGCATCTCTGTCCAGCGGCTTCTGCCATCGCCCATCATCATCATCATCATGCCTACAGAGAAGCAATCCTCAAGGTTCAACCACCTGCCTCGCGCAGCAGCCGATGCCCTAAAATGTCCATTCACTGGACAGATTTTGCTTTCGCTGGCTCAGTATAACAAGGGATCCGCGTTTCCAAACAATGAGCGAAGAGAATTCAAGCTGCACGGATTATTACCGCCCAAGATCCAGACGCTCGAGGAGCAAGTCGATCGAGCGTACCAGCAGTACTCTAGCTGTGGCGATGACTTGGCCAAAAACACATTCATGGCTAGCATGAAGGCGCAAAACGAGGTTCTATATTACAAGGTCCGTCGCATGCTTTTTTTTCTTTTTTTTTTTTGTCTTCTTCTTCTCCATGGCATGGAATGGTATACGCTCACACAGGTGCGCGCTAGCTGCTCGAAACGCACCTCAAGGAAATGTTTAGCATCATTTACACACCTACAGAAGGGGACGCCATTCAAAACTATTCTCGGCTTTTTCGAAAACCAGAGGGATGCTTTCTCAATATTCGCGACCAGGATTCGATTGAGCAGAGCTTGGCTGCCAATGACAATGTAGAGGATATCGATTACATTGTCGTCAGTGACGGCGAAGAGGTAATACACGCAAAAAGTCAAGACGATTCAACGAACCTACTAAGGCATATCCTAGATCTTAGGTATCGGGGATCAAGGTGTCGGTGCAATTCTCATTTCGGCCGCGAAGCTGGCCATTACAACATTGTGTGCCGGCATTCACCCCTCCCGTCAGCTGCCCGTCGTCCTGGACTGCGGTACGAATGTAAAGTTCCGCTCACCCTCTCTTGAAAGAGAGCATTTGGGTCTAACAAAGGTTTCTAGAATGAGGAGTTGCTGAAGAATGAACTATATCTCGGTTTGCAGGAGCGTCGTGTACGTGGCAAAGAATACGACGACTTTGTGGATAAATTCGTCCAATCCGCTCGCAAACTTTATCCAAATGCCTATATTCACTTGTAAGTCGCTTGAGAATTTACAGCATTTGCATCAATGTTTTATCGTCAACATTTGCTAATTTGTCAAGTGAGGATTTTGGCCTCCAAAATGCCCGGAGAATCCTCGACAGATACCAGTCCGAGATTGCATGTTTCAATGATGATATCCAGGGCACTGGGTGCGTGACCTTGGCTGCCATGCTAGCTGCAATTCAAATCAGCAACGTCGGCATCAACGACGTGCGCGTTGTTATATTTGGCTCGGGGACTGCCGGGATGGGAATAGCGGACCAGCTCGCCGATGCCATTGTCACACAGGCAGACAAGTCTAAGGAAGACGCACGCAAGCAAATCTGGTGAGTCGTGCTGATTCTGCTTCGAAGTCCTCTCTTCTTTTCTTCCATCGCCAGACTCCTCTCTGCATGCGCCTGTACCACGATCCAAAAAAACAATCGGAGACGATTTGCAGCTAACCAGGGCTAATAATTTGCGGCAAGGTGCATTGATAAATCTGGACTTTTGCTCAAATCACAGAGCAATGATTTAAATCCGGCCCAAGTTCCATTTGCCAGGGACAATGACGAGTGGCCAGCAGCAGCCGACAAGAAACACGACTTGCTTTCCGTAATCACGCAAGCCAAGCCGCACGTCTTGATTGGCACATCGACCAAGCCAAACGCCTTTACCAAAGAAATTGTTTGCGAAATGGCAAAGCATGTCGAGCGGCCCATCATCTTTCCCTTGAGCAACCCGACGCGTCTGCATGAAGCCAAGCCCAGCGACCTCTTGCAATGGACCGACGGCAAGGCTCTCGTGGCGACGGGCAGTCCGTTTCCTCCAGTCGAGCACGGGGGCAGGAAATATGACATTGGCAAGTCAAAATCTTGTAGAGAAAAGAAGAAAAAAAAAACACAAACATGATACTAATATCCAACTTTTTGGTTTTTGTTTTTTAGCTGAATGCAATAATGCAACTTGTTTTCCTGGCATCGGCCTCGGCGCCGTCTTGTCCCGCAGCCGGCTCGTTTCCAAAAAGATGCTGGTCGCGGCCGTCGAAGCCCTCAAGGCCAAGTCGCCCGCTCTCGAGGATCCGACACGTGCTCTGCTGCCCGACCTTGAAGACGCGCGCGACGTCAGCGTGGAGATTGCGGCTGGGGTGATTTGCTGCGCGGTGGAGGAGGGTCTCGCGCAGGAAGAGGGCATTCCGAGCGACGGTGAGGAACTCAGGGAGTGGATTCGTGCACAAATGTGGGATGCTGTTTACCGGCCTCTGGCGAAAGCAGTGAGATGATGTACAAGATTGGGGCTACATTACTACGTGCGTCTTGATTAGATGGCAGGAATTCATTCGGTATTCAGCAGACGCTTTCTGTGCTTGGCCAGCTACTAGCATATCAGCAAGAAACTAGCCATCAACCCGATACAAAACACCAAGATAGTGTCCGGCTATAAAACATCGTGTCATCCGGCCTGTGGATTCTACCATAATTGCCACATCTGGTCGCCCATGGCAATGAGCCGATTAAAGACCTCGTCTCGAGTCAAAACCGCCGTCAAGTGATACTCACTCCCATCCTCCGTCTCAATAACCAGGCCATCCACAATCTGCTTCTTCAGCGACCACCCAATGACCATTTTACTCGGCCAAGCAAAGCCGCCGACCTTTTTAATCGCCCTTATGTCCGAAATCAAAATAGTCCAAGCCGGCGCGGCGCTGTTGTCGTCCTGCGACCAGCTCAGCGCGGGCGTCGTCGACGTCTCCGTCACGTACGCAAAGCCCTTTTTGCCCTTGTACCGGGCTTCGAAGCGGACAGGGCCGACATTGGGGGACTTTGCGCTTTGCTTAACCACGCCGACCCTCTCCTTTGCGTGGTGGTCTCCGGCGAATGCCTTTACCCGATCGGCCGCCAGCGCTGTCGAGACGCCGCCTTTGACTGTGCCTTTCAGCATGTCCAAGGCTCTACGGCCCTTGCCGGGTCGTTTGGTAACCTTCTGCTCACCATCCGATGCGGCTTCTTCTTGGGGTGTGAGGGCATTTTCGCTGGAAGGGCCTACATCATTTCACCAGTGTTAGCTCTTTCTACCGTCAGAAAGCTCTGCTCAGCATCTGCACTTACCAATATGCTCTTCCCCTTGTTTTATATGAGGCTTCTTCTTGCCAGCTACCGCGTCTGGGTCTGGTGGCGCGGGAATCGGAGCCTTGTTCTTCTCCCCAATACGCAAAAGGGTAATGGTGAGCTGAGCATTCGTTGGCACGCCTCTGAGGATCGAGTTGCGCAGCTCGACAAAGTGCTGCCATCGTGGATAAGTGTCCTCAAGCATCTGGATCAGACGATCCAGCAACGGCTTGCCGAAAAGAACGAATCCAAGCGCAAATCCAGACATTTTTGTCAGCATATAGGGAGTGGTGTAGAGTGAGGCTAGGACAATGGGCAGTAGAGGCGCCGCGAGTCTGAATTTCGGACGAGACTTGTGGAACGGGGGTGTTGGGTTCAGGGCATTTGCAAAGCGTTCCCACGTATCGACGAGGTCTGTAAGTGCATGCATAAAAGGACGAGTGCGCTGCCATACCATCTTTGAGGCAGGCTGCCGCGTCTCGTTGTGGGCTTTGGTAGGGTCCCCTTCCGCAGCGCTCGCTTTCGCTTCCGAGACTTTTCCTATCAGCTCCTCTGCGCCTGGTGCGAAATTGTCGTCGTTTTTCTCGTCATGGGTCGGGTCCCCGATTGTGGTGCTGAGAGCGACCTGTCCGTAATGTCAGTCTGCCAACATGGTGAGTCGATTCCATGTTGCTGCTTACCGATCCGATTGTGTTGACAAAACTGTGAGCTTCTTGCTCAACTGCCTCACCCGCCACATTTTCTGGCGCACCTGTCAAGGTGTCATCGGTCGCGGCGAACCCTGCGGCAGGCGTCTGCAGATGTCCGGTGCTGGAATCAATGACAGCGACGGGCGCGGGCGGGAACGCTACATTTCGCACACGGGGCGCCAGTATCAAAGCAATGATGAATAGTACCGTAGTAGGCACTAGCAGGTCCAGAATCCATGCGCACACGTAAAAGAGAAAAAAGGCCAGGGTGCGATTACGCTCATTCCACGAACGCAGGCGGGCGACATGGTTCCAAGCAGAGCATAGTGGTACCACGACTGAGACGTAGCATCGCTCCAATTGAGCACGTAATTTTTCGGGAGAGAACTCTTCTTCATCCGCAATGTTCATATCTAGGTTCGCGAGTGGCGGCTGCTCGATTCGTCGGACTCGGAAGGCTTGCTTGTTGAAACGGCGCAAAAGAGCCCACAGATGCTCATTCTCAAGACCCTGCACGATGGGTTGAAGCTTGCTCTTGTCGTCTTCATTCCATCCCAGGTCCAGCACCTCACTGTACTCGGCTTCGCGGTGATTGAGGCCATATTGCTTGGCGTTGACGGATGTTTGGTTTGCGAACGCGTGGCTCTGGGTAGGTTCGCATTCATCAGTAGCGGAACTTGTGGCCGTTTGCTGGTTGAGTGGGTTTTGGTCTCGAGGTGGCAGCTCATCGTGAACCACTAGAGCCGGGGCTCGTGGTACATCTGGATTTGAGGTTTCCATGACTGGTATTAGACGTCGAAGTTTTCAGCATGTAGAATTCGACTATGGAATTATTTTGTAGTTGCAACACGAAATCGTCATGATCCAACGTCATGGATTTACGCCACCCCACTCCCTCCGTGTAGCTCAGGTTCCTGCTCGTTGCGATGCAAGACATCGAATAAGAACCTGTTTATTGGAATTTAAAATGGGGCCGTAACGGTTCCTGTATCCGTACCTAGTATTATCCCGTCATATGTACTCTGCCTTATTACCCTTTGAGGCAAGGCTTACGCAACAAGCGCAGAGATCTACTCGTCCATGTTTAGTCGGCTGATGCCTAGACGTCTGGGCAGACGCGCGGCTGCTCGGACTCCTGATCAAGCAGACCTGCCTTTAATCCTAAGTAGAACGCCGAGTAAATCATGCCTGGACAAACATTTACAGCGAGTTTAACACCTTACAGCGGAAAAGCATCTTCAAAGCAACTTGGCCGAGTATAGGGTGGGTGGTATAGACGCGCACTTGGCGCTAGCTGCTAGCATTCCGTAGCACTCAGGGGATAAAGTTTGTCTATGCTTAAAAAGCAGCACATTATCAAATGTAGATAAAAGAGCATTCTCGCATACGCAGCAACAACTGACACTCATTGTATTACCGTGTAGCTCAATTAGGCGGTTTGGATCTTTGCCAGTAGCGATTAGGACAGTGTTGAAAATAAGTGGAGATGAAGAACTTTGAGCCTCATTGGCGTCGCGGTTTCACAGCCATCACGGCTTCACGACACGACACGACATAAATGTGGGTTTGGGGAGAAAAATCCGGCCCTTGCATCATCGAGGAAATTCTCCAAGCACGGCGAACATAGGGAGGCTATCTGGATTACGCTTCGCGCATCTTGGACTCGACCTCTAGACGTTTACTGAATCGCGGCCAGCGAATACGGCAACCACCCTACTACCTGCTTACTTTTTTTCCCAGCTCAGCCAAAGCCCATCAGCTCTTGGCGATGTGGTGACATTCTTTTTTTTTTTTGCTGGCGAATCAACGTCTGAGACAACTCCCCAGAGTGCTCGGCTCAGACAGACCAGGTGATGGGGGATAAATAGACGGCGAGGCCGGCGCGTTCGGCTGCGACGGGACAATGAATCGAGCAGGTGACGGCATGAAAAAAACTTGGTAACAATACCAAGCATCATCTTGTCGATCTTGCGTCAACCGGAAGCTCAGTTGACGGACGGCGCCGCTAGCACACAGTTGCCTGCTATGTAGGATCATCATCTCAGAAACTGATTCGTGCTGCCGCTGTCCGCGTTGCCTCGTCACAGGCAACAACTATCCCCGGTCTGTCATGTACGGCCATCATGTCAATATCCTGCGCATCGCGCCGTCTGAGAAAGAGACAGGGTTGGCATCATAACCATGAGCGGACAGCCGCACTAGAACAAGGGGGCACCCCGCGCCGGGGAGACGCTGCCGACTTTTTTCATTGACTAACAGAAACCTAGCTGGTTCATGTAAAATATTTAAAAAGCCTCTGCTGAGTTTTGGGGGCTGAGACACAGCCTGAGCATGGCATTGATGAGCACGCAAGTCATGAAGTGGTGGCCCACAGGAAACTCAAAAAAAGTTTCCATGCTCTGCAGATTTCAACAGCCGTCAAGGTCACGGGCCATTCATTACCCTCTTTTCCCCAGTAACTTGGGCAGCGCCACCTGTTTTTCGGCAGCTACCGGTGGGCAAGGTATCCAAATACTGAAATACACCAGAAAAGGCAGTATTTTTTTTAAGCTTTTCAGTATCCGCAGCTTCCAGAACAAAAACCGAGTTGCTCCGAAAAGTACTGATACAGCGCCTGAATTCGCGAGCTGAGGAAAATTATCTCATCATGAGGGCCCTTACCACCCCACTCAGGGTCCTAGCAGCAATAAGATGTGCTAGTTAAGATGGCAGAATCACTGAAAAAAAAAATCAAGACGAAACCCGGCCGTCCGCCGGGACCGGAGCGCGGCGTTGGCGGGGACTTTTCTACGGACCCAGGGACAACTTGAACCAACCCGACCTAGCCCGTTCGCTACACGGACAAGCAGACACACACTTCACGCGGTGGAGAGAGAGAAAGAGAGCTTGACAGAGACCCAGGGATCCAATCAGGAGGTGCAAGGCGTGGACATGGGGTTTCCATCAGGTCACAGATATGTACGTCGCCGTTATGGAGGAGGGAAAATTCTCTGCCCATCAAGGACCACCAAAAACCAACCCCGCCCCTTCTTCCTCCTTCTCCTCCCGTGCTCCCCTCGTAGCTCCGCAGAACCAAGGAGGTATCGGGAGAGGGCAGCGCGTAGCCGCAGGCGGGCAGAGTGAGATTACGACCACGGAGAAGAACATGGGTCCTGGGTCATGGGATCCCACACGTTGACGTAGTGAGGCATTGTTGGAGAAGAAAAGAGACCCTGTAGCCCCAGAAAGGGGAGTCGAGAGGAGAGAGGGGGCAGGAGGAACGGGCAGCGGAGAGCTCGCGTGGGTTGGCTGGTGGTGCTTTTTTTCTTTTCGTTCCCTTCCCTTCTTTCTTTCTCGCTCTCGATTCTTGTTGTGGGAGAGTGATTTTCCCCCTCTTTGTTTCCATCCGGGCAGAACTTTTTTTTGTTTCAAGTATTCTTTCCTGTAACGCCTCGCTCTGCGCTTGACCGTTTTTGCTCCCACATGCAGAAAACTTTTTGGCCGCAGAGAGAATAACGAAACACACACACACACACACACGCACGCAGACCTACATTTTGACCCGTTGCCAAAACCTAGTATTGCTTGCCATGGCCAACAACAAGTTTCGTCTCGCCGTGCTCGAGTGCGATGTCCCCTTCCCGGGCGTAGTCGAACTCCGGGGCTCCTACGGGGACATGTTCCGCGACCTGCTCGCCGAGGGCATGCGCGGGCTGCCCGGCGCCGACGCGCAGACGGAGCTCGTGGTGAGCAAGTGGGATGTCGTCAGCGCGCATGTGTACCCAGTGTTTGAAGATTTTGACGGGTTGATGATTTCCGGAAGCAGTTGAGTCGGCCCTTGTTCCCCTTACCCCCCCTGTTGGCCCTCCCCTCCGCCTTGACGGGTTGACAAGAGGCAAAACGAGCTGACCGGACAGAGCACACGGCGTTTGAGAATAAGCCATGGATCGTGGCGCTCATCGACTACCTCTCAGACTTTTTTAAAAACTCGCGCAAGCCCGTCGTGGGCATCTGCTTCGGACACCAGATTATCGCGCGCACGCTCGGCGGTCGCGTCGAGGTCAGCCCAGGCGGGTGGGAGAATTCGGTGACGCGAATCGACCTAAACGCCACGGGCCAACAGTTTTTCGGCGTACCGTCTATTGTAAGCATTCTCATTTTTCTTCTTTCTTTACCCAAGTCTTGCGCTGACAATGCCCCCTCTCCTAGCACATGCATCAGACACACCGCGACGCCGTCACGGTGTTGTCGCCTGGCGTCGATAGCATCGGCGGCTCCGCGCGCTGCGGCGTCCACGGCATGTACAGGCCCGGCCGCATCCTGTCGTTCCAGGGCCATCCCGAGTTTGACGAAGAGACCATGACGCTCATCCTCAAGGGGCGGTACTCGATTGGCGTCTTCTCCGAGGACATGTACCGCGATGGCATGAGCCGCGTGGCATGGCCGCACTGCGGCAAGATGCTGGCGACTAAAGTCTGCGGATTCCTGCTTGATGCGAAGCGTGCTGCGTCGTAGAGGAAGGGAGGGCAAAATAGTTTTCCCGCGCGCGGGGGGGGGGGGATATGATGATGGTTGATATTTTGATATTTGTTGTGTTATTGCATGAAAGCGATGAGTTTACTAGCATTCAAGAAGAACAGAAAAAAAAGGGCCTAGGCGTCTTTAAAACAATTAAAAAAAAAGACAATAAAACACATGTACAAGTTACCTTTCGTTACTTCCGCCGGACCTTTTCTTCCCCATGAAAAAAGATAAGAAACGCCGCCCAACCTTGCTGCTTCCGCCGCGCATGAGTGGGCGGACGGGGTCTGCCCTAGCGAAGCCCGAGATAAGTAAAAAGCGTCTGATTGGTAGCTGAGAATGCGTTACGAAATGAGATGAAAAAGCACCAAGTAAAAGCCGGGGAAAGAAAGCTGGAGTAATGGGGTAAAATTTGGGGGTAAACAAATATTTAATTAATGCCTGGCCCAAAGTTTTGCGTCACTCCGTATTTAAATACCGCGCGGTCTTGCAGACTGTGCGGTGATGGGTGGCAGCGAGGACGAGAGGGTACGCTGTGAGTATCTGGAGCATGAATAAACCACAGAAACAGGCGTTGTCAACACAAAACGGCCGTTTAACTATACATAAAAGGATGTTTGTGACTAAAAAAGGCCATTTGTTCCCTAAAAAGAAATGTTCTACTATAGAGTCTAAAGTGCACATGCCCTGGTGCTGCTTTGCCTGCATCCGTGTCAAACTGGATTTGAACATGAATCTCAGAACTTGAATTAGCCTGGCTTTGGGGGAGAGACAAACCAACTGCGCCAAAACGATGCCCCGTACCAAGTATACACCACCAACAAGAAGAATGTCTGCGGGTTCTCTACCTGCTTCCACGTTGGAGAAGGGAATAGCAAACATGCTCATAAGAGCAACTCGTAGATTCATCACGTGGAAAAAAAAAAAAACTAAATATAGTCTCACATCATAACCAAGGTAGCAGCCCGTATAGTCGTACCGCCAGCGCGGTTCCAAAAAAACGTGGAGAAGAAGCCCTTCCCGCCGTCCGTCCGCCGTCCGTCCCACAGCGGCGGCTCGCGGCACCGGTGCGCCTGCCGACCATTGCTCACCTAAACCAACCTACACCAAATTATATATTCCTCTCTTCCTTTTACTCTTCCCTCTCTTTCTCCTTCTCTCTCTCTCTCTCCCTCTTTCTCTCATCCTCCCCCATTTACATCCTTTAATTTTTCCGCCATCCCCACTACACAGCCCCCCCGCCCCCCCAAAACATGTCCATCACCACCATCTCGCCCTCCACGGGCCTCCCCATCTTCACCCATCCCGGCATCTCCTCCCCTGCCGCCCTCCTCTCCGCCGCGTCCGCCTCCTTCGCCAGCTACCGCAGAACCACGCTCGCCCAGCGCAAAACCTGGATCGTCGCCGCGCTCGACTACCTCGCGGGCATCAAGGCGACGCTGGAGGAGGAGCTCACGGCGCAGATGGGACGGCCCGCGGCGTTTGCGGGCACCGAGATTGAGACGATGCGGAAGCGGGCTGATTATATGCTGGAGAGGGCCGAGGAGGCGCTGGGGGACATAAGAGGGCAGGAGGAAGAGGGTTTCAAGAGGTGGACGAGCCAGGAGCCGGTAGGACCGGTCCTGATTGTTTCGGCGTGGAATGTAAGTATATGGACGTCAGAACACTGTCAATATGCACGGGACTGGGGATTGAGTCATGAATCATATTGCTCAGATGCATGGAAGTAAAACTCGACAAATTATCAACGCTAACAAAAAAAAAAGTTTCCATATCTCATCACAATCAACACCATCGTTCCCGCCCTCCTCGCTGGCTGCCCCGTGCTCCTCAAGCCCTCGCCGCAGACGCCACTCGTTGGTGAACGCTTCCTCGAGGCCTTTACCGCCGCCGGCCTGCCCGCAGGCGTCTTCCAGGTCCTCCACACCGGCAGCGCCGACATCGTGCAGCAGGCCGCGCGGCACCCTGCCGTGGCGCAGGTCTGCTTTACGGGGTCCACGGCCGGCGGCCTGGCGATGAAGAGGGCCACCGTCGACCGCGTCGTCGGGCTGAACCTGGAGCTCGGCGGCAAAGACCCCGCGTACGTCCGCGCAGATGCACATCTCAAGTGGACGGCGGCCAACATTGTTGACGGCGCCGTCTTTAACTCGGGACAGAGCTGCTGCGCGGTGGAGAGGGTGTACGTGCACGAGGACGTGCATGATGCGTTTGTGGCGGAGCTGCAGAAAGAGTTGCAAGGGTGAGTCTCTACTAGATGGTGACGGAGCTAACCAAGGCTGATGGGGATTAGATATAAACTCGGAGACCCGGCGGACAAGGCTACGACTGTTGGCCCTGTGATTTCCGCGGCAGCAGTCAAGGCCATCACCGCACAAGTCGATGACGCCCTAAGCAAGGGCGCTGTAGACGCGACGCCTGCCAACGCCTCGTTCCAGACTCTGCCGTCTCGCGGCAGCTACATCGCCCCTCGAATTCTCACCAATGTCAACCACTCCATGGACGTCATGACAGTCGAGACATTTGGGCCCATCATCCCCGTCATGAAGGTAAGCAGTGACGACGAGGCGGTGGCGCTGATGAATGACAGTGAGTACGGCCTGACGGCGAGCATCTGGACGAGGGACGTGGCGCAGGGCGAGGAGATTGGCGAGCAGGTCGAGGCGGGCACCTTGTTCGTGAATCGCTGCGACTGCCCAAATCCGGTACGTTGAAGCGTGCAGAGTCGCAGCACGCACATGCTAACTTGCTGACAGGATCTTGCGTGGGTGGGTTGGAAGAATTCAGGCCTGGGCTGCACCCTGGGGCCTCGTGGGTTTGATGCATTCGTCAAGCTGCGCAGCCACCATGTACGCCTCACACACTGATAGTTCCATACGTGTAGACATGCCCGTATTCCCTCGTAGGCTCCAGCTTCATTGCAGTCACCGTGCTCCGCTAGATTGTGCTCATGGCGTATTACGGCCATGGCACTTGTCCCTCTGCCCTGCGACTACGTTGTAAGATGAGCAGTAATCATGCTAAATGAATCAATCGCCTCGTCAGGCAAAAGAGATCCACACTTGGCGCTCTTGCATCACCTCAGAGAGTTTCCAGGGGCTCACGTCCTCTGGGGCCTTGGTCCAGATGTGCTCCAGCAGGATCAGCGTCTCCTTCATGTTGCCGAGGCCAATGGTGCCGTGCATGGCCTGCAGGCGCTCCCTCAGGACCCGCTGGGCATCGGCATCGGTGGTGCAGGACCCAATGACGATGAGAGGCCAGCACAGGCTGGTGTTGATGCGCAGCGTCGCGGGGAACTGACCCAGCAGGGACAGGGCGTCGGCGACAGCGCCGGCCACGAGGTTTCGGTGGGCCGTGTTGCCGCCGCAGTGCTGGTGCGTGGTTCCGAGGATACTCCAGAGGTAGAGCAACACGCCCTGCTTGAAGACGAGGCCGGCCAGGCGCGAGTATGGGTTGACGGACATGTCGGGGAAAAAGGCCATGATTTGCGACTGGAGCATGCCAAAGGTGATGATGTCGTCGGCTTGCGGCGTCGGCTTCCCGTCCACACGGCTGGCAAGGATGCGGTGGCCGAGGTGGTAGACGTGAGGAATCAGCAAGAGGAGCTCGAGCCAGCAACCCGACAACTGACCGACGTAGCCTTTGGAGATGAGGCTGCGGGCAAGACCTTCGATTCGCGGGCTGAGCTCTGGGGGCGCGCGCTTGGGATCGGTGGACATGATGCTGGTGACGGTCATGTGGATGGCGAACTCGACAAGAAAGTCGGGCAGGTCATTTGGAATCTCCGACTTGGGTCGGGTCAGCAGCAGGTTGAGCATGGACTCGGAAGCACGCAGGTGGTCAAAGATGGTGCCATGGACATCGCCTCTGGCCACCTCTGTCAGACAGAGAACCAAGCTGCCGACGGTCAGAGCCAGCGTATTCTCCTCCTTGCCCGCGACGTACTCGCCGACAACGTTGCGAAACATGCGCAGTGAGTCGGTGTAGTAGTGGTGCGCGACCTCAGTGCCGAGGCAGCCGCCACCTCCCTCGGCAGACTGTCGATGAGAGGCGCTCTGAGCGAGGAGCAGCTGGAGGACGAGCGGATTGGCAAAGGCCAGGGGGACGAGCTTGGAGATGAAGGGATTGACGTCGGTGGAGCCGTTGCCCATGCTGTTGGCGGTGCGAGTGAGGTAGTAGCTGAGCAAGTCCGAAGATTCGCGTCCGTGGTCGGGGAGTAGCGAGAGCGGGGACAGCGTGAGGAGCGAGGACGGGTCGGCGGCGGCGGTTGCAGCGCTGAGGCTCATGGTGGAAATTGTGAGGGCCCTCGCGTCGGAGAACATGTCGGGAAAGAGTTCAGCGGCGTGGGAGGGGACCGGCGACACGGGCATGATTGGCGAGGAAGTGTCGCGGACGATTTCGGCGTCGACGGGCTCAGCAGCGATCATGTCCAGGTCGGTGTGAGCATGGCTGCTCCCCGAGGAGGAACGCGAATGCGCGCGGTCGCTCGCCGTCGAGTCCCGAAGGGCGGCGGCGGCGGCGGCCATGTCGAAATCCTTGTCCGTGAGAGAGCTGGCCCGTGGCTTGTTTGCAGCCGGCTTCGAGATGGCTGCCGAAGAGGGATTCTTGCCGCGCGTCTGCAGCGTATTGTTGTTCTCGGTCGGCCAGGTGCACTCAAGATGATTCCGTCGACAGCCGCTGCAAAGAGGCTTCTCCTCGTTGCACTTCTTCTTGCGACGGCGGCACGTGAAGCAGCCGGTGCGGCTGCGAATGATGGGCATGGCGCGCATGGTGGAAGCGGAGGCGGAAGGGCGGGAGTCGGGCGTGGTTTGGAGGGCAGCTCTACGGGTTGGGTATGACGCCGCAGCCAGAGGGGCATGTGTTAGCAACGCATTTCTTGGGAGATGTGTGTTGAAGAGCCGTTGATGGTTTTGAGTATAAAAAGTGTGTGACAGAGGAAAAAGGAAAAGAAGGAGTTATGGAAGCCTTGGAAGATGGGGGAAGATGGAGCTGGGCAGCGGGAGAAGGAAAAGAAGCGGGGAAGATTATGCCAGGTGCAGCGGCCACATCTTTTTTAGTGGTCAAGAGGCGTTTTTGGTCAAATTAGGCGATTAGTAGAAGACGTTTTTAATGCATTTTTAGACATATTTAAGGCCTCGCGCCAACAGTTTAGTGGGTTTCTAGGCAATTCTTCAGCGCCCCTGCCCCATATGGTCCCTTGTTAGGTAGCAGTGGCGTGTGTACTTGGCAGGGCGTGTGCGTTTGACACTGACTTGACTGACATGAGGCTGAGCTGCAGATGTAGATTGTAACAGGCAGAGAAAAAGGTTCAACGAGAAAGCCGAGTCACAAAGCAAGGTGTAGATGGAGAGAAGGTGACAAATAAATTGGTTCAGGTCATCAGTCCGAACGGTAATCAACGACGTCGACAACATCGCTCACGGGCCTATATCAAACCTCCAGCATCAATACCTAGGTAAATTACTGATAGTAGCAGGTAAGGCGAGCAGGGGTATTTAGTAGGTAGGCCGATGGTGCTGCAAAGGGCATCAAACAGGCGAGAAACAATCCGCCCCTGTAAACAGTTTACTTCCTCATTTGTTAATTTAGCCGTCACACCCAATAGAAACATGCCTATCCCACCTCTCATCAGCCGTTTCCTAATCATGGCAATAGAGTTCATCGAGGGGTTACCCTTCTCCGCCGCAGTGGTCGACCCGGTTGTCGGCATCGGTTCAATGGCGGCCGACGACAATGAATGGGGCTGCTCAAACCGGGCATTCCGATTAATAAACTGACATTACACAACCCCTAGATTCAGAGTTCGCATCTCAATCGCCGAATGCTTCAAGCATGCAAAGCTTATTTCCCCCGGGCTGCAGCATCTATAGTTACAAGCAAAAGCAATATTTCATCTTGCATCTGGTGAGTTGAATCTAGGGAAAAAATCATAGATCACGGGATGGACTCGAGATACCAAAAAAAAACGTGGCAGCGCGCACCGAAGTTTAGCGTCATCAGCCCCAGGTCCCCCAGTTTCCAGCGCGGTTCCATCTGTGATTGGGTCACGCTCGTTAGACTCAACTCCGAAGCCCCTCGGCATTTTACACCTGTCGCTGTCTAGCCATGCCTGATGGCAAGTTTCATCCCTACCATGCGGCCGCGCATCGTGGTCCAGATGCCTGATCAACTCGTTCAACTAGTCATGATCCCAGTCCCACGCATCGCATCGATCGTCTTGCCGAGACACGACAAGACTACCCGTTTGCCGTCCTCCCTGGACCCATCATCAGCTCCTGGGCAGGCAACAAGCAACATGACCCAGCGTGACAAGTCTGCTCAGCTGTACCTGACAAAAAAAGTATAAAACATGTATGCATGCTATGCTAATGCTATATATATATATATATATATATATATACACCGAATCTAATAATAAGAGGACGCCATGTACAGCTCATCCAGGTTGCGTTAAGCCTGGCAATGTGTGCAAAGTTCAGCCTGCTCCCCTCCAATAGCGCCCAGCAGTCTCGAAAATGAGACTCAAATTATACAATCATGTCATCCGTGCCGTCGCTGATTGCGTCTTCAAACTGGGACGTGGCATGAATAGCCAAGTTCGTGTATCCCGCCGCTCCGAAAAACGAGTCATCGCACTGCCCCAGGAGAGCCTCGTATTACGACTTGTACGAGACTGAGTATGCTGTAAACTGGGTACCATAGCCGCTCCAATCAACTTCACGCTTCACGTTTCTCTTCTGTGACCTCGCCTCGACCGTCACCGCGTTCTTTCCATCCCCAGCGTGTAGCGTGTATGCAATTGCGTCTGCATGGTAATTGATGGTAAAAGTCTGAGCTTCGCTCCTGTCTGACGTCAATCTGCCCTTCGATCCAATGTACTTTTTGTCCTTGGCCGACTGCAGATAAAATTCCTTGCCATAGTCGGCCAAGCTGTGCAGAATCCAGCGCTGCTCAATCTTGTCGTGCTTGCTGTTGCCAGGGCTGATGCCGACGCTTCTGTCCAGGTTGGCCAGCGCAAAGTCGCCAGCCTGAAACACAACGTACCGGCCCTCGGTCAGCTGACCACGCAGAGTCTTGAAGCCATCTTCCACCAGTGACGCCATTTCTTGCTTAGCATTGTCCTGGCCATACGGGATAGGAGGTCGATTGCCAATCGCGTGCTCCTGTAGGCACCTAGCTGGCCCAACCCATGGGCCCGACAACGAACCGAGGGTCAAATTACCGTCCCACGGCTTGTCCGGGTCTGTTTCGGGCATACGAACAGAGGCAATAGGTGGAACAGAGTAGTCGGTCTAAGGGGTTAGTCTAGTCCGTTGGCATATCAATAGCATCACTCACATGGCCAAAGTCAAACGCATTCACCAGGTTAGACATGTGCTTACGTCGCCAAGGTGTAATATTCGGCGTCTCCACGTCATATCCATTTGCTTGGGCCCAGGCTTCGATGAACATGATGTCCGACGTGTGGTCCGACGGCTCTGTAAATACGTTACCACCTCGCGTCCAGGGCGAGATAATGTAACGCGGTGCCCGCCAGCCCGGCCCAACGGGGCTCTCGCCACCGAGCGACTCAACATTGAGCCATTCGCCAGGGGTGTCCTTGGGTGCGACCATGGGCACGACATGGTCCATCCAGCCGCCTTGTTCTAGGGAGTGTTAGCGACAGTCGAAACAACTACAGATGGCGACGTACCGTCGTAGCTGACGATAAGAATCGTCTCATTGTAGGCAGGGCTGCCGGTGATGGCATCCACAACCCGCTTCTGAAGCCAGGCTCCGTCAACGGGCATATTGGGCGAGTGCTCAGCTAGTTCCTGCGGGCCAACAATGATGCTGACCTGGGGCAAGGTGCCGCGCGATGCGGCAGCATAAAATGCGTCGAGCCCAGGGTACGAGTTGCCCTTTTCTCGCAGGGCGGAGCCGTTAGCAGCCTTTTGATACTGTTCAAAGTACGCAAGCATGTTGTCCTCAAAGTTGTCAAAGTCTTGCCAGACTTGCCACGAGACGCCAGCATCCTCGAGGTATTCTGGAAACGTCTTCCAGACAAAAGGGAAGCAATTGATTTTAGGTTGTTCGCAACCTAGCAAGTTAGAGAGTTTGCTCTACACATAGTCGCACCCACTCTTGGGCTACCTAGATCCTCAATCCTAATGCACTTACCAGGGGTAGCAGAGTTATCGATGATAAGACCGCCCTCACCATCCGGATTGGTAGGCGACCCGGGGATGTTGATGGAGCCGCTCATCCACATGATGCGGTTGGGATCAGTAGCGGCCAAGACACTCTGGGTGTTCATGTCGAGCAAAGTCCAGCCCTCGGCGATGTCAAAATGGGTGGCCAGGTCCTGGCGTTTGAAGTAGCCCATGGCGTAACCACCATCATCAGTGTTCCATGCTTCGGCCTGTGTCCACTGGTTGCCGAGGCCACCATTGTAAGCCTTGTGCATGGCATACCAGCCATTGTCACCACCACCCATACACTGGGTCGAATCTTCCCACTCGCCGCCGAGATAGTTGATGTGCCAGGGCTTCAACGTGTGTGTGCCATTTTGAGCGTTTGTCATTTGTCTAGACGCAACACCGTAAGTCGGAGCTGTTTTCACAGATGTGAGGGTGGAGCTTTTTACGCCTAACACTTACTGCTCAAAGACTGTGTAGCCATCGTCATTGACCTGAACATTGGGATCGCCGAAGCCTCGGACCCCAGCCATTGTGCCAAAATACTACAGACAATTAGCGATACGCCGCTATGGACGAAACTTCATAGAGGCGCAGGAGAAATGACAAACGTGATCAAAGGCGCGATTCTCTTGCATGAAGAGAACAATGTGCTTGACATCGGTGAGCGAGGCGGCTCGAACAACTGCAACCGCTAGAGTTGCCCACAAGGGAGTGTTGGTTGGCTTCATAATGAGGAGCGTGTGCACGAATGAATGGACCAGTCGAGTGACTGCAGCGAAAAAAACACAAAGCAGACGTCGAAAGAATACAGTGACAGCCTAGACCGAGGAAACTGATACTGGGGAAAAGCGCGTTTATATCTGGGGCCTTTTGGCCTGCCTGCCTAATTCGGGTGTTCAGTAGACCGGGATCAGCTCCAGAGGAATGAGATCATGGGCGAAAGGGTTACTCGAAACGTTCCAGGCAGGCGAGAGACAGGAAACCAGCAACAAGCAACACGTAGGGCTAAGATGGCTCAATGGCGAGCGTGGCATTGGTTAGCTACCATGTGGAGTGCGAAACCGAGGGTCAGGGGCGTTAGTGTGGATCAGAGGTACTAGTTATTCAGCGACGAATGGAGAGCGAGGGAATGGGCGAGAGTCGCGAGGCCGGATAGATGTTGCCGTGAGAAAGCGGAGCGAGAATATCGAACCTGTTGTCTCTGTTCGCAGTCGTGAATAGTTAGTGTGGAATTGTCAAGCAGGGCCGTATCGCGTTGGACTAGGGGCGATATTGGATGGAGGGGCGGCCTAGAGCGAGTTGGATGGCGCCTTGGCAATGCTGCATGGAAAAACAGATCCTCTACTCCGTACCAGTATTTTGGATAGCTGGTAGGCGTGATTCGAGGGCGCCGCTATGTGGATGAGGGATGACGGACGGCAAAGCGAGCGTGGGGGTGTGGTAACTAGTTGGCTCGGTGTAATTTCCGTGTCTCGCCGCTTTGTCGTAGCGTGCAGCTGGAGGCGGCAGCAAAAAGAAAGCGATGCTGCAAGGGACTGAATATGATGGGTGCAGGAGGCGTTTGAAGTATAAAAAGAGAGTGACATATGATACTGCGGTTGATGCGGATGATGCAGGACAGCGATGGACATTATGCAATCGGAGAGGTGCGAGAAGTGGTTCACAGACAGTGCGAAGAATACAGTGACGAGGGGCAACCTGAGGACAATGCGATCGAGTAGTTGGAGGACTGATTGAAAGAAACCCCGCATAGTTCTTCTTGGCATCACGCCGCGAATCTTGGGTAATCTCTAATAAACAGAGGTAGAAGAAGTCTGCCAGATTTTCTTGTTAGACGAGATGCCTCTTTGCACAATTCGCCCTACTGCCAGGCACGATAAGCACAATGGTCCGCACCGTGGTCAGCAGAACGGGCTGGCCACGATTCCATACAACACTACAACAGAGACAAGTTGGCGGTAAACATAAAGTTGAAGGTTACAGTACGTATAATTCTTTGCGCCAGAAAGGACTCATTGCCCAGTTTGTGAGCTGTTTAACGCCTCCCTTTTGCCTTTGGCTCCACGCCGTATCCATACAGTCCAATGATGTTTACCAGCTGCCCGTTTGCCTGTTCAGGATATGACCGGCGCCAGAGCATAGTGCAGGTGGGCAGTAGGCCAATCGTCTGGGCGTTGCAGGAATTAATCTCATTTATACGAGAGGCTGCGACTCAGATAGCCGAGCACATCTGCTCGTGTAACTATGAAACATAGTTACTGTGAAAGTATGGCTGATACGGGTCGAATCCATTCCAGCCAGGCATGTGATGATCTAGGATGTAAGTCGCGTAAAGGAGTGTTGACGATCAAAGCTTGAAATGCCAGTTGAGTTGTCTCTGGTTCGAAAACTTTATTTACCCTCGCGAACTACCATAATTGGCGAGCCATGGCGAACCATGATACGTATACGGAGTTGATAGTATCGAGGACATGCCAAATTGGGTTAGCCCACTGACTGAGGTTGCCACTTCATTGATAATCACAAGATAACAAAACGACTCAGTCTTTTGAATTTTTCTATCAGCAGTCGGTGCCTTCGGATCTCTGCTCATCACTTGCTCAAAAGACCAAATGTCCATTTTGTCCTTGCCCCTGTGCCCCTGCATGGCCCGGCGCCGTCCCCCGTTAGCCGTGCGCCTCCCCGCATGACCCCGCTAGAGGACCGCTAGAGGCAATTCATTTAGCGTGTTGCAGCCCGCCCCGGCCACTGTAACCAATCATTTGATCACTGTAGTCACTAATTGCGTGCAACTTTCATCAACCACAGCACACGACTGGCTTCCCTTTTCGCCATTAGCTTCTAGTGAGCTAGGGGAACCTTTGAAGTTACATCACCGTTGCCTTGCTTCGTGCTAGTTGCTTCTCCCATCAAGTCCATCCTCATCAAACTTATCTGCCTTTGTCCGACCACGACTCGCCCCGTGCCGCCACTTTCCGTCTTCCGCCTTATCCAAAGTACAACCGATGCGCGCAGCCTTGGCCTCGCGCCCGAACTGAGCCCCTGGCCAGCTGCTGGCCTGATGATTGCCCACAGTCGCTTGCCCGCCTAGCAAGGTAGCTCGAACTTATAGAGGCACCGCCATCGTTGACGTGTTGATACAACGACGGCATGGCCTCCATTCAATCTGGACCTGAGCGAACGCGCGCTCGTCGATGGCTGCCATCTATCGCTCTCGGCAGCGGCCTGTTTACCATCGCGCTCTCGCTATCGATGCTTTACGTCTTTAGTCGCTACTCTTCCGACCATCGTGTTGCTGCCCCTACAGACCACCAGGAACCGGGCACAGCACCGACAACTACACACGTCGACAACTTTACTCCCATACCTACTCCGACACCGACCCCAGTCATCCTCCCCGACCCGGCCCAGGAAACAGGCTTTGTGCTAAATCCCCAAGATCACAATGCCAGAGCCCCCAAGACGCTTCGTATCACATGGAATGTCACTCGCGAGTTGCGACAACCAGATGGTGTTGAGAAGCAGGTATACCTCATAAATGGTGCGCAGCATATTTTCTGGCTTCAGTCCAAATAATGCTGACAAGACAATCTAGGCCAATTCCCAGGTCCCGTCATCGAAGCACGCCCCGGCGACGAACTCGAAATCAACGTATTTAACCACATCGACTCCAATGCCGATGGAGTTGCTGTTCACTGGCATGGCTTGTTAATGAATGGTAACTCACACCATCAGATGTCTATATCCTTTGCTAATCTGCTCAGGCGCAAACGCCATGGACGGTGTTGTCGGCGTCACTCAATGCGCCATTGCCCAGAATAACAACTACACATACCGCTTCACACTAGACGAGAAGCAGCACGGTACATATTGGTAAGTCTTGTCCCACAAACCATACTGCGTGTGTTCTGACCAGGCAGGTACCATGCCCATTCACACCTCCAGAGAGCCGACGGCCTCTACGGTGGCATCGTCATACACAGGCCGGCCGATGAAAAGACCGACCTAGTTAAATATAATTACCAACAAGAAAAGCTGCTCCTCGTTGGGGACTGGTATCACTGGCCGGCCACTAGAGTTCTTGAATGGTTTGACAAGGCAGACCACTTTGGATACGAGGTATGTCGCCGCACACGCTCATCAGAATTAAGCTAATTTGTAGCCTGCCCCCGATTCGCTCCTTGTCAACGGCATTGGAGCCTACAACTGCTCCAAGGCTGTCGCTGCCCGCGTCGTTAACTGCACCATGCTTCAGAAGCCCAATATTCGCCTGCCAGACGGCGATCGCGTGCGTCTCCGCGTAGTCAACACCGGGTAGGTTTGCACCTGGCTTATCTAGCAGCCCTCTAACATTTTCAGTGCTTCCGCCGGATTCTCCATGCGCTTTGATTATGGCACGGTGGAACCTCTTGCCGTCGATGGCCACGGTCTATTAGACAATTCCACCTCTGCCGCTGGCGGCTTTGGCATCTTGTACCCTGGCGAGCGTCTCGATGTAGTCCTAGACAAGACCACAACGCCAAAAGCTGACCGAGACGAGGCTTCAAGCAACATGTTAACAATTGAGCTTGACGATGGGTAAGAAGCATGCTAATCGTATGGGAGTCCACACTAATAGAAACAGCAACATGCCACTGAAAAATTACGCCCTCACCCGCATTCAGTCATTCCCTATGGACGACATGAAGGCGACGGCGAAGCGAACACTGAAACGGCGCAATGATGCGGTGGATATGCTGTCGCTAGCCGACGTCAACGGCATTGCGCTGTCAGACAAGGCCGCCGCCGCCACCGAGCCGGCCGAAACCGCCGTCTATTACACAACCATCAAGAACCGTGCCACCCACGAGAACAGACCTGCTGGCCTGTTTAATCATTCGTCCTGGATCGTCAAGGATGCCTTTGCGCCGCCTCTTCTAGCGGTCGACGAAGGTCGTTGGGCAGATCTGGCCAAGGAGCCTAGCCCACTGCAGAACTTTACAGTTTCGGCGTTTGAAACCAGCGCAGCGGGTGCCCCGACGCGATGGATGGATTTGGTTGTCAACAACTTGGACGACAAGGGGCACCCTTTTCACTTGGTAAGTCTAGAGTTTCATCTCATCGTTCTCAGGCCCCGGTACTCCACTGAGTCACATCACCTCGAAGTCCACAGCTTGAATCGCCGCTTACATTTCACAGCATGGGCACTCGTTCTACGTGCTAGTTACACACAAAGGCCGCAAAGGCGAGCAGGGCACCTACAATCCGTTTGATCCCGAGTCCAAGCACGACGACTACCCGCGTACGCCCTTTAACCACCTGCTCAAAGACACCGTGTATATTCCCCGCATGGGACACGTCGTTTTGCGGCTGCCTCTGGTCAACAGTGGCCTATGGCTAGCCCATTGTCATGTACTCTGGCACGAAGCCGTTGGTATGAGTATGGTAGTTCGCGTGGGTGATGTCGATCAGGACGCTAGGCGAGCGGCGGGCGCGTTTTGTGCCAGTCAAAACACGGCTGTGTAATTCGTAATACAGTGTCACATGGGAATAGGAGAGAGACAAGAATGTACATATCTGTATATATTACAAACTCATACAAAAATGCCGTTTCTTGATGCGATGGAGGGACTCAAGATTGGTTACGACGCTGCAAACAAGTTCATGGTTGACCATCGAAAGCGTTCACCGTACAGCCAATATGATTCAATATAGGCTAGTGGCGCTTGATATTAGTTGACTTGATGATAACAGTGAGCGAGATTGTTTGCTGTCTGGCCTCTGACGCTGTCAAGATGAGCTGCTCCCGTTGCGTGCTACTCGAACCCCGTATGAACGTAAACGCAGTTTTTCTCTCGGCCATGACCAATTTGGTGATGCTACTTTCGTGGCAAACTTGCTTAGACACAACGACCTCCATCTACCTCAATATTGGTACCAGTCAAAAACTCGGCCTCATCACTCGCCAAGAAGCAACACGCATTGGCAACGTCGGCGGGCATGGACGGCCTTCCCAGAGGAATCGTAGACACAAACGCAGCGCGATTCTCCGGCGTATTCGGTTTTCCCAAAAACAAATGCGTCCTACGCATCATTCGCACCAAGTTAGAAAAGAAAAGAACTCTTTTTTGCCGTCATATATCCCGGTGCAGGCCCGGGCAAAAAGTACTTACATGGCTGTGAGTCCGACGACGGGGGAGACTGCATTGAACCGGATCTGCTTTGGGCCGTATTCCACAGCCAGTGATTTCGTGGCCGTGATGGCGGCGCCTTTGGAGGCGTTGTACCACGTCAGTCCCGGTCGTGGCCTGATTCCTGCAGTGGACGCAACCTGGATGAAGCAGCCGGGTCGGTTCTCTCGTAAAAAGTACGGCACGATGACGGACGACGACAGGTAGATGGACTTTACGTTGACATTCATGACAAGGTCAAAATCCGCATCCGTGACTTGCTCAGCGGGCTTGTTGGAGTATGTCGCGCCGGCATTGTTGACGATGATGTCGAGGCGGCCGTAGGTGGCGAGGGCCGTGGCAAGCAGCTTTTCCCAGTCGGGTCGCTGTGTCACGTCCGTCCTGGCAAAGGTGCAGTCGAACTCGGCGGCGACGGCGCTACCAATGTCCTCGGAGAGATCCGCAATGATGACTTTGCTGCCCTCCTTGGTAAACTTTTCCACGATGCCCTTGCCAAAGCCCGAAGCGCCGCCGGTAACGATGGCGACTTTGCCGTCCAGCCGTCCGGATGCCATTTAAAATTTTTTTTCTTTTCTTTTTGGGGTTTGAAGTCGGACGAGTCAATCGAGACGTATGTTTCAAGAGTTATAAAGGGTTACGGGAATGACTTATCGCGATGGCTGGCATGGAGTGTGTTCCTTGTCAGGAGGGGCTAATAAAGAACACATCGCGGGGTAATATTCGCCGCAATCAGGGGAGGAAGCCGCATAGCCGATGTCGCCTAAGCCATCAGCAATAGTATACTAGCCGTATGGCATACTGCAAACTGCCTAATATATCCTGCATGGCCATTAGTTGGGCACAAACTCATAGGATGACGACTCCTGCTTTCAAGATGCGGGTGCTGCCCTGCGACCATGTCGGGCTCAAAGTGGTGCACTAGGCTTTGCACGTATTGAATGTTGTGCAGAACTGCCTGGCGACCGGATCCCAGATTCAACATCACCACCGGACTGGGAGACATCTTGTCCGACATCTTGGGTGCCATGGAACTTCAGATATGGGTGGTAAAGCATCTACCTCTGAGCTCGGCTCAGCTGTGCCCGTCGTCCTGCGCGAGCTGTTAGACTGTCACAGAGGCAACTACGTAGCTCTTGTATTTCAAAGGTCTAACTATTAGATAAGCGGGTCCTCCTTTTTTTTTCGTTTTTTTTTAGATGCAGACAGACATGGACAACTTTCGTTTCATCTCCATCCACAACTCTCGGAAGGCGTTTCTGTAACTCGGAATTGAAGACCCGCAGACGGGGGCCGTAGGATAATGACTCGATTGTCTGCCGTGCGGGGTAGCTAGCGGAGCTCACATGAATATAAATAAGCATCGAGTATCCAGATTAGATGTTCACTCAACAGACATTCTCCCTCGGGTAGGAATCAAGGTTGTTGCAATGACTTCCACCACTAGCGCTCAGACAAATGCGAAGCGCGTCCGCCTTCGGGAGCTGATTCCCGAAATCAGGCTGGGCAAGTGGGAGCGCACTGGACCAAAAAATGGCATCACCGACGTCAAAGGGGTGCTCGTTCATACGGAATCAATTCACGACAAGGAAAAGGGGGTCAATACCGGTGTGACGACCATTGTGCCGCGCAAGGAGTGGATGGAACAGGCATGCTACGCTGGCATGTTCCGCTACAACGGCTGCGGCGAGCTCACTGGTAGTCATTGGCTCGATGATACGGGACTTTTGGGCAGCCCAATTGTGCTCAGCAATAGTTTTGCAGTTGGCGCTTGCCATACAGGCATTTACCAATACGGCGCACGGCACTACCGAAATCAGAGCGGCGACATTGACTGGTTCCTGATGCCGGTGGTTGGCGAGACATATGACGGCATGCTCAACGACCTCTCGCAGTTTGTGGTGACGCCGGAGCACGTCATCCGCGGAATTGAAAAGGCGTCTTCCGACCCGGTGCCCGAGGGCAACACTGGCGGAGGAACGGGCATGACCTGCCACGGCTTCAAGGCCGGCACCGGCACCTCGAGCCGCCTCGTGCCCGGCCTGGACCAGGACGGCAAGGAGACGGACTACACGGTCGCCGCGCTGGTGCAGGCCAACTACGGCCGTCTGTACTCGTTTACCGTCGCCGGCGCGCCCGTGGGCCGCATCCTGTGGGAGGAGCAGGGCCGCGAGGCGGCCGCCAAGAAGGCGCGCGACGAGTACGAAAAGGCAAAGAGCATCAAAGACGGCAGCATCATTGTCGTCATTGCGACCGACGCGCCGCTCAACCCGGTGCAGCTGCAGCGCCTCGCCCGCCGCGCCACCCGCGGCGTCTCCCGCGTCGGCGGCTACGGCAACACCAACAGCGGCGACATCTTCATGGCCTTTAGCACCGGCACCGTTGCGCCGGGCCAGTACGAATCGGGCGCCATTGAGCAGGCGCCGGACAGGGCGGAGCTGCTGCAGCACAAGGCCGTGGACGAGCGCAAAATGGACAGCCTGCTCGAGGCCGCGGGCGAGGCGACCGAGGAGGCCATTCTGAACGCGATTTGCATGGCGGAGACGCTGACGGGGTTTCGGGGCCGCACCGTGGAGGCGATGCCGCTGGAGAGGGTTAAGAATATCGTGCAGAGGCACATTGATCTCGAAAAGGAGCTCGCGGCGAAGCAGAATTAGTGATGTAGCAAGGGGGACTATTTGTTTTTTTTTTTTTTGTTTTTCTTTTTCACGGACAGGCGCGCCACAGCAGCAGCGCTCGCAGGAAACCTCTATTTAAGCAGAAATATGTTGAGCTTCATGAGCTACATGGCATCGAATTTTGAACAATCATACATCTACCATGACTTTTGTTGAGCCAGCATCAGACAGACACGTAGAGTTTTCATGCCCGTTAAGCTCTACCTAGCGATCCCACCCTGCAGATTCTAGGCCAATTCAGTCAAGCTCCATCAACAGAGCAATTGATTCAATTTCTGATGTTGCTGAATATCGAAAAGAACTAGCTACTACAGCGCAGTCGGAAACAAACTTTTGGAACCAGGCCTCTACAACACTCCTTTCTAAGAGTTTGCGCCATCGGCCTGTGGAAGCTAGCCGTCAAAGGATAGGTACCTAGAGAGGCGAGAGACCGGGGGGAAGCGCCGGAACTCGGGACCCCGACCCCTATAGAATCAAAAGGTGGAGGTGGCTGGCATTGGTCAACTTGGAGTAATTAGACTTTACCCGGTACTGCGAATGAACGCGGTATGATGGCTTCCGCGAAACCAATCCATGACGCTACAATGAATGGTACTAGGGCTTGTTATGCCACCCATGCCTTTTGAATTTTTCTTGGAAAACCAGGTCAAACTTTGCAAAGGTTTAGGAGCTTGCGGCCTCTCGGAAATGCGGTGAGTAGTATTCCGCAGATGTTGCACGGTGCTGTGGAGAATGAAGATGTTGCCAAGATGATGAATACACGCGCCCTCTGGTATTGTTGCATGACTGATAAGGTGGGATTGATTTGGTCAAGATTACGCTGAAGCGATGGTGCTCTGCTCTCCTGGTCCATTGACATTTAATATGAACAATCCACGAATTGATGAACAAGGTTGCTGCCATCTCTTATTCATGATAATGTTCTTTTCTCGACTGCTCTGTTCTTGTCAAAGGTGCTGACATGTTTTGGCGAACACTAGCATAACTAGGGCGTGCTATCTGTAGGGCGCGCCACATGTAAACTTTGCTGATAGCATACCCGAGATCTCGAGCCCCAACAGAGAATCGGCCAACAAGACCTCCTTGATTGCAAACCGAATTTGAACGGCATATACATCGAGTGCGACTTTCGTAATGTATTGAGTTTCACTTTTGTGATTCATCGTTCGCATGTAGCTCATCGCCTTCAAACATGTCGTTATCGCCATACTTCCTTGCGCTATTGCTACTCGTCGGGTATCTAGCCTACTCATTCATCATCTATCCACGATGCATCTCGCATCTGGCAATCCTCCCTGTCCCTCACTGGTCCTGTCACTTTTCAAGCTTCTGGATCCTGCGGGCGCGAAAACGCGGCACAGAGAATGCATCCCTGCGAGATGCGCACCGGCGTCTAGGCAACATTGTACGGGTGTCGCCCGATACCATCAGCGTCGACGGCGTGGATGCCATGAGGGTTATTTATCAGGGCGGCTTTCCAAAGGCACCGTGGTACCGCATCTTTGACAATTACGGGTATGTCGCTCATTGACTGTCTGTCGCGGTGCAAGACTAAGAACATTAGGGTGCCTTGCATGTTCTCGACGCTTGAATCCAAGGCACATTCAAAACGGAAAAGAATGATTTCCAACGTGTACTCCAAGTCATTCGTTTTATCTTCGGAAGCGGCAAAGGCTCAGGGCCATACAATCATGTTTGGCCGTTTACTGCCGCTTTTAAACGACGAAGCTCACAAGGATCCTCCAAAGGGCACTGAAGTGCAATCGCTTTTCATGGCTACGACCATGGACATGATATCGGCTTACATTTTTGGATTGGCGCACAGTACCAATTTCCTACAGGACAAGGCTTATCGTGACCATTGGCTGGATCTCTATTTATCGCGCCACCATCATCATTTCTGGCCGCAGGAGCTTCCCTTTTTCACGGCCCTCCTCAAAAGAATTGGTGTCCGCTTGTATCCTACGTTTGTCGACAGGGCCAACGATGAGCTGCGAGCTTGGAACAAATCTCGGTGTGAAAATGCAGGCCGACAAGGCTCTGGAGAGGTTGAGCACCCTGATCCGGCGAATACCGCAGTCGTCTTCACTGCCATGCATCAAGGCATCGAGAAGGAAGAGAAGATTGAAGGTGACAACTCCATCCTGTTCCAGACAACAATTCAGCAGCGAGACGCGTCCATTGCGAGCGAAATTCTTGACCAAGTTCTCGCGGGCCACGAAACGGCCGGCATTGTTCTGACGTATGCATCATGGCACTTGTCCAAATCCCACCACTTGCAAGAGCAGCTGCGGCAGGAACTATCATCATCGCTCTCTTGCAGAGAACAGGTTCTGCCCGATGCAAAAAGATTAGATGGTTTACCTCTTTTGAATGCCATTGTCATGGAAACTCTGCGGCTGCATGCCCCGATACCCGGTCCACAGCCGCGCGAGACACCGTATCCCGGATGCCATGTGGAGGGATACTTTATCCCAGGTGGTGTTCGCATCGCATCCTTGGCTCATACGTTGCATCTAAACGAAAGTGTATTCATTAAGCCTGACACCTGGGACCCGAACAGGTGGCTCCAGGGCAGCAACCAGGACGTGATGAGGCGCCACTTTTGGGCCTTTGGCAGTGGTGGGAGAATGTGTATTGGATCCAACTTTGCACTACAAGGTCTGTAGTGAATTTTCTTTCCATCATTTTATAATCAAACTGACTTTGAAACAGAGATGAAGCTCGTTCTTGCCGTCATTTATGCCAATTTTACTACCAGCATCGTGAATGACAATGGCATTGAGCAGACAGATGGCTATTCTGCACGGCCAAAAGCAGATCAACTGTTTCTCAGATTTCACAAGATTACTGAAACAGTTTAATAGTTTTATTCAAATTGCAACGCATGATACCAGCTAGTCGAATTAATGTTGAATATTAAAATTTCAGCTATATAGGAAATAATTATCTACCACTTCAATGTCTCATTCTAGCGCGTAGCAAAGAATGCACATGTATGCTGTAGCCTGCTACATTACAGCTCAAGGAAATACGTCAGCCACTCGTGATAGTTGGGAGTACCAAGGCCAGAAACGGGATCCCAACCCGGGGCAGCACTGAAGCCAATATTGCCACAAGCGCTCAAGCCACGATCGCTGAAAATCCCGCCCAGCGCCTGGTTGCCCTCGGTAATATCGTGGTAGAAATTCTTATTCCCAACAGCATTGTATAGAGCAGGGTTGGCAAAACCAATGGGGCCTTTGCCCGCAGACCTGCGCACGTCGTTGATGCGGTTGAAGATGGCAGCAATAATGGGAGACGACATGGAGGTACCGCCGCTGAGACCGTATCTCCCTTGAGCAACAACGAGGCCGTTGTCGCCGAGGGCAGCGACATCAGGGTACGCTCTGCCGGCGCGGTTGTAGATGCCGCGAGTGTCGCTCGGTATGGTACCGTTGACAGTCTCGTAAGAAAAGTAGTTTGGATTGTGATGAAGCAGATAGCTGTTGGGTGATGTGTTAGCAGAGCTTAAAAGCAATTTGTCTGTTTTTTTTGTCTTTTTTTTTTTTTTTTCATTTGACATGTTAACGGGGGGGGGGGGGAGCATACTTCTTGACAACTTCCTCCTGGTAGCTGGGACGGGCGAAATAGTTGGAGAAGCCTCCGCCAGGTGAAAAGGACGTGGTGACGACTTCGGCCTCGCCAACACTTCTGCCCGGGGGAAGAACGGTGGAGCCAACCGAAGTGACAAAAGGGCAGACAGACAAGAAGGACGGGGTAAAGATGTCGTGGTGAGGGCCAGCGCACTCGTTCTGACGGCTGGCAACACCAGTATCACCGCTGGAGACGACGACGCTGACACCGACATTGCCAAGCTTCAAGAATTCGTTGCAGACACGCTGCAGAAACTGTTAGCACTTTTTTTTTCTTTGACCAAATTTCAACATTTCACTTCACTCTGGCTCTGGCTCTTACTTACCTCGACAACAGCAATGGGCTCGTCCATCTCGGCGTCGCCGTAGGAAACGGACAGGACGTTGGACGGCTGGTACTTGCCGCACATGAGTCTGCGGTCAAAGTTGGGGTCCTCCTTGCAAAAGTCCTTGTCGACTGCGCTCGCCCAGTCGGCAAAGAACTGGCTAAAGGCATTGCGAATAGGCTTGTTCTGGAAGATGATGATGTTTTGGGGCTGGATGAGGGGATAGGCAATTTCCAGGTCCAAAAGCGACTCGCCGCCACCGTCCTCTTGACGGACAGGAGCGGTCGCGCCGTTGATGAGGGCCAGCTGGGGCTTTCTTCCCTTTGGCACGTTGGGGGCAAAGTTGCCCAAGAAGAGGTCGAGATCTTCCTGATCGAATGTGTCTCCAGTCTCCCAAATGCCAAGGTAGTTGACGTATTCGGGGTTGTTCTCTAGAGTAATGTTGTAAATGTCCCGAATGCACTTGGGAGTGATGATTTGGTCACAACCGATTTCCGATTCTATAATGTTGTTCCGCGTTAGCAACCAGTACATGTTTACTACTGTTGCTCAACTTACGGTTGGAGACTAGTTTCTCGACCACATCTTCTTCGAGGGCTCGGATGGGCTCCTTGACGGCCCATTTGTCGGCAGCGCCCTTGATCGGCGCAATGCCATCACGGCGGTGCAATTGGCCGAGGCTGACAGCAGGGAACACAAAGTCCACAAAGTCGGCGATATCCCTGGGCAGGCGATAATCCTCGACACCAATATGGTCTCGGCCGGTGATTTTACTCTGGTAGAGATGGTATCTTGTCTGGAGGACCTTTTCCATTTTTTGGACCGTGGACTCAACATGGATGACGGTGCGGGTCCTGTCAAGGATAATGTCCTTGTGAGGGACACCAGCCTTGACGAGCCAGTCGGTGACAGTCTGGATGGTCACATCATCCGCGGCAAAGTAGTTGATGGCTTCCTGGGCTGTCATGTGCTTGCCATAGTTGGGCGACTTGGGATTCGAGCTGGCCCTTGTTTTAGCTCTCGGTGCATGCTGCGCGGAGAAAAAGCATTGTCTCTGCGGCGACTTACATGTCGTAGAGGCGTTGAGTGCCCTCTTCAATGTTGCTCTGCTTCAGAGCAAACTGCACAGGCAGCTTCGTTTCAGCATCGGCAGGCTCGCCACGGGCATAGTGCTGGCGAGGCGAGGTACGCTTCTCGTGTACGACGTCGGGGCTGTCGGCAGGGAAGCCGAGAGCGCCAAGAATTAGGCCTGATAGGATAATGCTCTTCATTTTGAGACAAACGCTGATCGATTGCGACACCAATCGTAAGCTAAGAGGAGGAAATACTACACTGAATCTTAGACTTTCTGAGACAGCGGGAGCATCCCATCTTATATACATCACTAGCAGCTCACGCTTCATCCTCGAACGGCAGTTCTACCCGGACCTCATCCTGTCTTTTAGAGACTGGCACTGACAGTGTACCTGACTAGAATGGTCCGAAGGATCATGATGGGGGATGTCTGAGCAAACTCAATGTGACTTGCCTATTCGGGATGGGCTGTGATGATGTTATCGCAGGCCAGGCCAGTTGCTGCCGTCGTGCGGAGCTCCTGAAGATTCGGCATGGAGGGGGTCCCAGTCCCTGGCGGGAGCATATAGTGGAAGAAGGGGGCATTGCCTCCGCGACCTTCCTTGTTTGTGTTTGTCCACCTCCACCATGAATCATCTCCGCCGCCTCCACGGGGAGCTCCGGCCGCTGCAAGCCCGGCAGTGGCTGCCGTGGTGATCTAGCACGCCAAAGTAATAAAGGCGGTCCGTATCCTGGTCCCTAGTTGCACTTGCGCTAAGACGCAAGCTCTCGGTCTACATGCATCAGGGTTGTCCTGCCAAAAGCATGACCGCCAAAATGCATTTCATTCAGATGGAAATGCACGTCGGCGGAGCCATTGGGCTCTCTATACGAGAATACAAGAGTCTAGAGCTGAGCTCATGGAACTTTGGTTGATGTCATCAGTAGCAGCCCTCCCTCCTTCTCGCCTTCCTTTCTCAACACCTTGCAGCAAGGTCCATAAATTTGTCCTCGGTGTGCCTCTTCACCGGACCAGCGGCGAACGGCGATTGCAGCTGTGTAGCAGTGATGATGAGAACGACCGTGCATCAGTCCTATCTATCGAAGCAAGCCATTATTCATTCTACTCTGCCATAGTAGGCGAGCTTTGTGACTTGCTAAATGTTATGCCTGTCTGAAGCTGGTTCGCGGATCGGGGGCTTGATCTGGCCGTGTCTTGGCCATCGATGGCCAAGCCACTGGCCAAGCCACAAGGGGGGGGGGGGCCTGCCTAGCGCATAACATCGAGGGCTGGAAAAAAGCATGGGCTGTCGAGGTTGCTTGTCCACGCTACCCCGGAGTACTTTGTCAATTTGCGGTCTAGAGTTGTTGCTGGTATAAAGCAATGCATCATGACACCCTGAACCTCAATGACACTACCCGGTGCTTGCCTATACGTGGAAGAACATGTGGCCTAAACAAAGTTTCCTGCTCTCTCTGTATATATGCCTTTTTTCTAGGCTTTGTCCAGGTACCATGCTCCTCTGCACTCTAAAATGTGATGTACTATCGTGTCGAGTGCTAAGTAGCTTACCAGTTACTAAAAAGGTTACGTTAGGTAGTAGCTCAAGGCTAAATGTTACGATTTTTGCCAAAAATCGCCCTAAAATCGGGTACACTAGTACGGAGTACTGCGTCTAGGATGTCTAGAAGTATTTCTGAGCCATGAGCTGGTGGCTGTCTACATCTACAGGCATCATCTTGTATTCACACCTTGAACAAGCAAAGCGGCAACTAACGAACTAGCTAGCCTAGCACGCGGGTGACAAAAAACATCGCCGCCCTGCCCGGCTAAGATTCGCTCTTATCAGCTAAATCCGTTCAAAATAAATATTTTTAAAATACTAAGAATTATAGATGGTATTAGAGGACTAATTCTTCTTTTTCTTTTTAATTATCTTATTCTATACGTGGTGTACCTTATGGAATACTCAGAGTCCATCGGCGATGTTTTTTGTCACCCGCGGGCCTAGCAACCTAGTTACTAGTTAGCCTAGATCCCCGCACCCACTTTTGCAGGGCAGTCTTTATCTAGTTACAAGGTTGATTTCCCTGGAACCTCTCTTGCCCCTGTCTACGCCTTGAGACTTAAGGGCTGTACGCTCTGTGCTGAAGAGTCGGTGGAGGACGCCTTAGGACTATTGGTACTTGGGATCAGAAGTCGCTTTGGCTGTGCAACCTTTTTAGAAAACGAAAGAAAGTGCACTAAAAGAAGGAAAACTTTGCCGGAAGAAAAGTGCACGAAAACGGGGTTCCTCTCTCTAGCTCTGATGGTCGCTGATGATGGTAGCATACTTGTGTTCAGCCGAGTGACCAGAACAAATCAGGTGAAAGGCAGTAAACCCCGCAGCGTTGTCTCGATTGATTCGAGCGCCCGCGGGGAGGAAGGGCGTGTACTTGTGTGGATGAGTGGGTGAGTGTAGTAGAGTACAGGCAGAAACTCCATTTGAGCAGCTGTCGTGTTCATCAGTTATTTCCCTCTTATTATTATCGCACCGCGAGTGCGCTTCCCGTTCACCCGCGAGCTTGCCCAAGGCCTTCTTATGCCTACAAGCTACGCCGGCGATGGCCATCGATGGCTAAGCCACTGGCCAATTGGTTGGTGCACACCACCTTTGGGGTTGGTAGGGGTAGTGAGAAATTAGTACTGGGATTAGTGATAGGAGGTTCAAGTATCTAAGATACTTGTGATAGTTTGTCTTCTACTTTTACTTATTCTAGTAATAGGAAAAGCGCAACCTTGCTTCCAGTCGGCCGAGCTTAAACTTCCTTCTGGAGAACTACATTACGGCTATTAATTAACTGCTAGTTAAAGCAGGCGCTAAGAGCGACTGAAAAGAATAGTGTCTGCTGTTTACCTATGCTGTGCCACACTAGTAAGAGAACGTATTGTGTGCAACGAGTATCGAGTGCTGACTGCTTTCTCGACCGCGCGGCCATCTGCGGGATTCTCTGCTGAGATTGATCGACTTCATCAAGAAAATGCAGCCTCTTTCGGGACAATCCCAGGAGCTGTCGGCTCTTTTGCCAAATGAGACTGAGAGCAAGGTCTGTGCTGAATGAGAAAACGAGGAGCTGCGTGTAGATCTTCAGGTCGCCGAGGACCAACTACATAAGCGCTTCTTCGGCGCAAAACGGCAACGCACACAAAGATTCGCGCTTGAGACTTTAGCCGCAGCGGGTACAAGGCATTATCTCCATCATGCGAAACCTTGACAACGGTCTTACGGTGTGACTTGGGTGTCTGCTGTCGAAAAAAATGCCAAAATTAATTCAACGAGAACGTCTTTCTCTAGGTAAAATTGTATGAATTAGATGTGTTTTGTCCACAATGCGTAGTCATTATGGGTTAGTTATCTAACTAGGCCAAGAAGAGAGGAGGCGTCACCGTGAGCGTATTGGTCGGCATGTTGTAAACGAGGATTAAAACTCTGCACCTTAATTCATAGCCTAATTTTATACAGTCGGGAATCTAAGAGGTTCTTCTACCTCTGCGGACGTCCCTCAGAAGCCGAGACCACCAAGTCCACCAGTCACGCTACCAAGCCCTTCGCTGAGCCCTTCAGTGAGCCCTTCACCAATCCCACCGTCGGAGAGTCCCTTGACAATGTCGGTCGGGAATTCAGACAGGAGACCTTGGCCGTCGCCCCCGGCCTCGCCGCCACCGCCGAGAAACGGCTTGACCAGCGATGCGGCGGGCGAAGCAGCTTCTTCGCCTTTACCCTCCCCGCTGGCGCCGGGGATGAACGCGCCGACAGCCTTTTCAATGGCACCTGCAGCGTCGCTTGTCGTGTCGCCTTTGGTTTCCTTGCCACCCTCGCCGCTGGGGACAACAGCCTGGACTGCTTTATCAATAGTTCCAACAAGGTCACTGGCGCCGGAGCCTTTGCTGTCGCTCGTGTCTTCCTTTTTGCTGTCGCTTTTGCCATCTTTGCTGCCACTGGCCTCGGTGGGGGTGATGGCCTTGAGGGCCTTTGTAAGCGTCTCAACAAGGTCCCCTGCATCGACGCCTGCGCTGCCGCTCTTGTCCTTCTTTTCGCTGGTCTCGGTGACATTACCTTTGCCGCCACTACTAGAAGAACCGGCGTTGTTGACGACGCCTTCACCGAGAGCGACAGCGGCTTGAGTGATGCTCCCGCCGAGGTTGACGGCATTCTTGGCAATGTCGGCAGGGTTGAGGCTGAAAATGCTGGTGGCCAACTTGACGGCGCTGTCGGCAATGTTGCCGATATTGCCAATACCGTTAGTGGCACGTTCTGTGACGGGCAAAACGTTAGCCACTTGATGATGATATGATGAAGAGCCTCCAGCCTTGATATTTGCCCCTTCTTTTCTAGGCAGTCTCAACGTACCAGTTATCGGCGCGCCAGCCACAAGCAAGGGCGCGCCGGCGAGGCAGATTGCGAGTGTTCCAGCAAACTTCATGATGATATAAATCGTAAAAGGAGAGATGTAATAAAGAGGTAGGAAAATTTCTCAATGGACGATTGTTTGATGTGACGACCAGTGTGAGGCTAGGATCATGAGAAGAGACAAATCTTAAGCCCTTGTCTGGCGAAATCCTTGGTCTATAAGGCTATATATATTCACACTTGGTCACGATATATTTCAAGGTGATTTCTTCCTTGGTCATCAAGGGCCCATCAAAAAAGATGCCGTGAAACAATTGCCCATGCGCGCCCAGAAACGAACGTGCGTTTATCACGATCCGGCAATTCGTCTGCTTCTTCGTCAATCATATCCAACACTAAACTAGTCTATTCTTTGAGTAGTTGAAGAGCCAAATCAGATGTTTTTGGGTTGCCAAGTTTTCTTTTTGTAGCACCAGAGCGAGTAGGGCTGGCCCCGGGCACCGAGTCTGTGCGAGCGCATCGCTTGGACCACGAGTTTACAAGGTTGAGGGAGAACAAGGGTGGATCATGAACTGTTCAGAAGTCTCGCCATCGTTTCAGAGAGGCGACTGAGAGAGAACGTGCGCTTGCCATGCATTTAGCCTTATAATTTAAATTTTCGTATAGTTCTCTAGGATAGATTCTAGAATACGCAGAGCCATGCCGTAAAAAATTATCATAACATTAGAAGACACCTAGGTAGGAGGGATAGAGCTACAGTGGGGTTCCAAAAGTCTATCACTACAACGCAATTTACACCTAAATACACCTCGAACACTCCTCTATATCCAGAGTGCTCAAGTTTTTCGGGTAACCTGGGTGGTGGAGGAAGACTCGGTGATCAGACAGAGAAGTGGTTTCGCTCGTTGGAAGGCCGTCGTCTGGGTGCTTTGGAGGCGGCAACTGTTCCCGCAGACGGTATAGGGCCGCTGCCATTTTCTTTTTCTCTTAAGTTGGAGATGAAGATGGAGGTAGATGATGTATTTTGCGCGAGCCACTTTGACAGTATTATTAGTGCCTGACGTAGTTAGTGCCTTGCTAGTTGTTGCCACGATAACCACCTAATTGATAAGATAGGAAGCTCGCACGAACTGAGCCGGCTGTACTAGAGCTTATGTGTGTATGCCGTTAATTCAGAAATGAATTATATTATTGATTTGATAAGGATTTATGTAAGGACGGGAATATAAGTGTTGGGTAATTTGCACAAGACATGGCGCAACGGCACAATGCTGCTACACTAGCGAGACGCTATATAATAGCTTACTAACGTGCACCTTATGATCTTATATAGTGAGCTAAAGAACTGCTGTGCTAAACCCTTCTATATTTGTTTGGCATAGAAGTTAGTGAATTTGAAAAGTTCTATCATTTCTCCTTCTCTGCACTGCTGACCTTCTTGCCGAATTTCTTGCCGAATTTCTTGCCGTATTTCTTGCCGTATTTCCTGCTGAGAGCCTAAGCAAACTTCACACTTGAACTAGAAGACCACTAACTCGCGCGGACTTCGCTATTCTTCAGCATCCACTTATACCCTGACTAAGACCATTGTTGCACCATTTTCCTGCAAAGAAGCATATGGCTTGGGGCTAATCGTCTACGCTGCGGAGTATCTATTGCGATAAGCGGATCTATCTCGTAGATTATAGACGGTAGTGGATGTAGTATTGCCATTTTAAAGTATATGATCGCCGCTTATGGCCTAATTCCGAGACTTTTTCTCAGTCTTAACAAGTATCGACCCACGGTAGCGTTTCTTAGCGTTTTACATAAAGATTAGAGTCAATCCCGCTACCGTTAATGTAGTAGATTACGCCCCTACTAACATAAAGAGGACTGCGTTACTATACGTAGTAGAACTAGGTTCGTCGAGAAGTGACCCTGGCTAGATTTAAACTAACCGCCTTCTCGTAAGTGTATAGGTCCCACGATAGGGCTGCCTACGACGGTAACCACTCCGCCACCAGGGCGAAACGCCACCTATAGGGCTATCGTGCTTAGACGGTATATCTATCTAGTAACCTCCTTATATAAAACGCTAAGAAACGCTACCGTAGGGCGGGACTACGCGCGACTATGACTTAGTCAGTCTTATTATTAGGCCCTAATAATAAGTGATATATAAATGTGATAGCTGTAGCGGACGGTAGGTGTCTTCTAATCAGGCAGGCAGAAGAACAACCCGAACCTGCAACAAACGACATCAGGAAGATTTACAATAACTAAGCCATATAATCGTCCTTAAGCGATATACTAAATACTAGGAGAGCGCCACTAGAGATTTTTATTATCGACTAACGGAAGAACAGGGATATACGTGAAGAAGCGTCGTTTTAGAGAAAAATGCTTGAATTTGACTTAAATTAGCATGAAGAAGCTATTTAGGAGGTGCTAGGCAAGCTACGGCAGCAACTCATTTATTTGGAAACCTAAGTTACACTGATATATGCAGCCATAGTCTATTCCGCAGCACCTTTGGTTATGACCGTCTGACCACACTCTCTACTCTACCTATCTCTAATCCGTACCTTGAGTTTCATAGCAGCGGTGTCCGGTTAGTGCACCCGTAGTACTTTATTTTAATTACGGCATTTACATACTCTATACTATTTCATACTTAATAGCATAAATAGTCTTCTATTTTATATCATATAATTTTATTCTATAGATGTAAAAGGCGGAAGGTTTCTTAGCAGTGTGTTTTACAGCAAAAGGACCCCTAGAGTAATATAATCACTAAGCTATAGCAATGAAACATATCAATCAAGGGCATCCCGCAATGTTAAACACCCCTCATATCAGCTATATTACCTTTAATGTCCATAACAAGACTCGATTCATGACGAGACTCGACTCATGACAAACCTCGGCTTGGCGACGGAATTCTTGACGCCTAAAGCGACCCTCGAGTCCATGACGAGGCCACAAAGAGTCAAAGCCAGACTTGATACCTGTGGCTTTGCCCAGGACAGTTCCATGGCCTCGAAAGTCCTCTTTACATATAAACCTGGCGCGAGTATAAGAGCCCCCACCGCTAAGATGAAAGGCTCATGGTAATGTATTCTCATATGGGTAAAGGTTTTATTTCAGTGCTGATCAAGAAGATGAGGCTTTTGAGAGTTAATTTACCTGTAATTGGGTAGTATTCTGGTATACTTAATTCGAAATTTCATTATAGTAGAGCCAAGTAATAGAGCTAATCCTGGCGCTGAATCTCGGACGTATATATAGCTCTCTAGCAACGCCATTCAAGACATTCTCAACATCGCAATCTTCCTAAAGATTGACAAGACGACTTTCATTTCCGATACTATACTAAGTTTACTCGTTATGACCCGTCTTTACCTTTTATCGGCCTTGCTGCCGATCATCGCTAACGTCTTGGCCATCGGAGCCACGAATGAGACAGCAAGCGCAGCCAGGAATGGGACCAGTGTCGTCGATGGCGCCTTCATCGTCGAGTGCAGCAGCCTCAGCGATGTAGAGTCTCTGAGACAAGAGATTCAGAGCCTAGGCGGCACTATCCGCCAAAACTACACGTCCGACATCTTCTTAGCGCAACGGCGTCTTGTACCGGCCTCGTCCTGTCTCATTTCACAATACTATGAAGATGTTATGGTTATTGCCGCCATGCCAGTGGGGTTCCCAGGCACAAGGGCTAGTAAGGAGGACTGCGAATGCGCCGTGATCTGCCAATTTCTTGGACAGAAGTATTGCTTTGCGAGTCCGCCGCCGATTACTTTTCGACAGGGCAGAAGCTGCAGTCCTTCTCACAGCTTATACATCGATTCTGTATCTGCGGAGATGGGACACAACGAGTTTTCCCGTGTCGGCAATGGCCTGTTGTGGGACACCCTCTGGTTAGTCGTGACTCGAGCAAAGTTTCAGCGGACCTGGGACGCGCGGCCGCTCATTTCACAATATTATGAAGATATTATAGTCGTTTATCGCTGGCTTTTTACAGGAAGATGAAAATCAAACAGACTCTGCATACGTAACGAACGTGCCATATACTCTTTAGGAGGCAGTACGTCGAGAGGTTTCTGAAACAGCAAGTCACGGCTAAGAGACCTATTATTACCAACTGACGAGTCAATCAGGAGAATTTCCAGTTCCAGAAGAACCTGTGTTATCAGGAGATGTTCGATGAGTCTAACGTAATACTTGAGTATTGGGACATGCGAGTACTTCTCTCTCTGGTGGGGACGGCCTCGTTTGCCCGCCGGCCTCAATCGCACTACAGCGGCCTCTACGCGCAGAGTTTTTGCAATTTCATTTTATTTTGTTATATAAACTTGCATAGTATATACGGTATGTACAGTGAAATCTCCCAACTCAGGCCTCAGTTCCGTCCCCTAACCAGTGTAGTTGCAGTAGACGTCGCTGCCACGAGTACCACAGTCAGTCAAAATCTCACCACTCTTGGTGCGGAGATCAATGACAGTGCCGCCGCTCGGGGTGATGGAACCCTGGCTGCCAGACGCCGACGCGTCGGTAAAGGTGATGCTGTCAAAGTCGGCAAAGGGAACCTGGCTGTTGCCCGACTGAAAGTCCTCGACGATCCACTCGGCGTTTGTCTCGCAGAGGGTCGAGGGGGGGTTGGTAAACGTGTGCTGGACCTTTTGGCCGGTGGTCAGGTTCTCGAGGACGGCGACGCCGCCCGTCTTTGACGAGGCGTCGACGTACATCTTGACGCTGTCGCCGACGCTAATGTCAATGCCGCTGAAGCTGTACGAGTAGTCGGGGATCCACTCGTACCAGGCGTCAAAGGAGCCGTCGCCGTAAAAGGACACGCCCGTCTGCAGGATGGCGCTCTGGCAGGTGTCGCCGTCGATGCCGACCCAGGCGGACGCGGCGCTGTCGGCGCCCCCGGACACGCGGGGCACGACAATGGTGCCCTGGACGTGGTTGTAGCCGCTGCCAATCTGCACGACGCCGGCCCAGTTGCCCGAGTACTGGGTCTCGGTGACGTTGCTGGAGGGCTTCTTGAAGTGCGAGCGCTGCTTCTGGCTGGGCTCGCGCTGGCGGAGGGCAACGCCTCTGGTAACGGCGGGGACGGCCGCAGCCAGGGTGGCGAGTGAAGAGAGGATGAGAGAATACTTCATCGTGTGACGGGAGGGAGACGAGCAGGGTGATGAGAGTTGGCCGGCTTTCAAAGTTTCAGGAGGTGCAAGGCTGGTGCGGAAAGTGCTTGCTTGTATGTTTAGGAATGAGCTTCGTCGTTGGACTCGGTAGGTATTCCACAGACTTTATAGTTATGAAAGGGCATGGTAAGAGCCGAGGCCCGTCTGCTCCCGTAGAGAAAATTTGAAGCCAAAGAAGCTATTCAGATTATGATATCTGAGGCGCTAGGCCGTCTTTCGAAGGTGGTAAGCCTTGGAGACGTATTTGCTTACTGTCGCGTTCCGCAAGGTCGGCATCTTCGGTGTTTTGGTTTCAACCAAAACACATGATTTTTATTATAGAGTTAAGACAGAGGTTGTCGCGATAGGACAACGCACTTTAATTATATGGTTACCTTCCCTTATTGTACTGAACACTTTTGTCACGCTCTAGGCGGTATGTGTTACGAAATAGGCAAGAGAATAAGCCAAGGAACCAATGATGTGGCCGCCGATAACAGTTGCGGGGAAATGGAGTCGCCGCCAGGGCAGATCTTACACAAAAGCAGGAAAGCGAACTTTGCCGAAGATTCCGCTCATTATGGCATCAGCCCATGCCGGATAGCCGATGAAATTACATCTCGTGCACCTGGTGGTGCCTCACGGGGTGTCGCGGTGATAAGTAGCACTCTGGAAAAATATTCCAAGCCTTTTTCCACCCTTCTTCCGCATACTCTGTAATTCTTGATCTACTAAAGGGGCTCTTGACAGCTGCCAAGACTGTCAGTTGCCAGCTTGCCGTGGCCGAAAAGGCGCCGAGTAGCCGTTGGTAACACTTGAAAGGACTGAAAGGAAGATTCATAATTTTTGTCTTCGCACATGTACATTAATTACAAGTGACTGCTCTGAAGGTCTCTTTGCATTTCATGTACACCACCCCGTACGCACGAGACGGATCCCCAATGTGCATCCATCGGAGAAGAAATCCCCCCCCCCTTCGACTTCGACACGGATGGTGATGCTGCGAGGTTCATTTCTGTGTACTTAGGTCCTGAGGTGGCACTGGTCAGGGTTCTGCGCTGGTCGGAATAAGAGTTCGCTAATAAATAGTGGGGTCTTTGAGGAAAGAAAGAATCGCTTATCTCGCGGAAGTAAGCAGGCTCAAGACTGCATGCTGTTACCGAGCAGTACTGTAGAGAAACTATTTGTTTTCCGCGGAGTTTGCGCGGCCGCATCACTTAGATATCAGCAGAGGTCGATTCCGATTTTTTTTCAGCTGTTCGACCGCGAAGCTGACTGTGTAGTTTGTCGGCCATCAGTCAGCCAACGCCCTTTCCCGTTTTATTATTCATGCTCGTTTGATTTGTTAGCTTCAAGAGGCTGAATTAGTCGATTACAGTTGACCAACAGCTGAGTGGGGGAAAATTTTATAAATGTCCTCTGTGCGATCCGATTTCAAGACTGATCATCATTCCTCATGACTGATACAGAACAGAGGTGACCAATTGGCAATTTTCAAGATACACAGCAGGGCAGGGCTGGGCTTGGGGTAAGCGAACACCAGCTCAAGGCCGCATAGTGGGATCATTGTTGAACTTGGCTAGGGCGGGAAAAGTGCCGCCGTAATCTCGACAGCGGCTTTTTTTTTTCTTATGCAAATTTTGCAGATTTTGCGTAATTGTTGTGTTGATCTCTATCGATTACCTAGGTGGCTTTATCGAACTGCATCTCCCGACAACGCCACTACCCAGCAATTAGTATCACCAATCAGTTAGTTGCCGCTGCTGGCGCCTGGTAAACATGTAGGATTTGCCAGAATGAGTTCTTAATTTTCGGGATTCTCAAACTGACTTATTACTCGAAATCACCCAACATTCTATTCGTCGCCGCGATTAACGTATAATGAAATAATCAAGTAAAAGCCTAATTGGAGCTGGTAGAACTGGCCGCCTCTTTCTACTTTCTTTTTATACCCTAATAAATGATTTGGTCTTTGTATAGCATGACTTGTGGATTTGATTAGAATTTTGGGGGGTTGCTTATTAGTAGTCACACTGTTGTAATTTTGCGGTGACTTCTCTGCCTAGTCATTGGAAGCAGGCGATTACCCTGCACGAGTGGCGGTAGAACTTGCTGCCGCCCTCTATAGTAAGGTGTTTTTGACACTATATATTCTAAGCCTGATATCTGAAAAAAAAAAAAGAAAAAAGTATCGTCTGAATCTTTCTGATGCTAGATTCTCCTGTGCTTGCTTGGACTTTTCGACAGTCGTCCAACGACTTTTCGATCCCACTGAGTTCCCCAGCACTTGTCAACCACCACCACAATCCATTTGCATCGAACCGAGCACACGCCGAGGTCATGACATGTGTGTTGGTCAAGTTTGCAGCTAGCTTTTAAATGGGCCCTCAATAAAACATCCGGAAGCCGGATCGCCAACGACGGCCATGTCTTGTTCCCATTACCGGTTACCAAAGTCAGAGCTTTGGGTCGATATCCTCGCCCACTCTTGTGCGATCCCGTGGAGACAAGACGCAAAGAAGAGACTGAATCCTGAGCGACGACGACGGCAGACTCGAAATGCAGTCAGCACTTTGTTGCGATTCTGATTAGGTGCTGACAGTGCCCTTGTGCCGACATGGCATTAACTAGTACCAAAGTGTGGCAGTTTGGCTGTCTTTAGCATCTTCAGCCGCACTTTCCCTTTTCTTTGTTTGAGTCCGCCACAGCTGTAGCCCACGATTAGGGAGAAGAAAACAATGTTCCCAGAAAGAGGGGTAACTCAATTGTCATCAATTGACATTCTTTTGCCATTGATTACTCGAAAACCTGCTCGTCCCTCTTTACTTCATAAACAAGACCGGAATTCAGCAGAACATGTCGCGAAACCCGGTCGGGCTCGCCTTTACAAGCTTGCTTCTTGCGGTCGCTCGGTTCGCCTGCGCCTCATCTAGCGACGATGCATTATTAATAAGCCCTCAAGTGGGCGAAATGTCCATTTGTCTTTCCACAAAACGACACGTACGCGGGCAGTCTCGCCGTTTCCCGTTATTTTCGGATACCAAAACGCGCGCGCATTATTGTCGTACAACTCGGAGCTGTCGTGGTCGATTCAGTGCGCCCCAAGGTTCGCTGTACGGCGCCGACACCATCAACGGATACAAGTATGCCGAGGTGCCATCGGGCGAGCACTACATTCTGAATTCCACAAAGACGCTACAGGATGCGCTACCGGACGGCAGCAAGGACCCCAAGGGCCGGTATGGCAACTGGCGCGGCACCGAGGATACCGAGGATACCTGTTCACTGACTTGGGAGTTTCACTATTGGACCGTCTGCTCAAAGCAGCCCAACGACGCGACCCTGATCCAGTCTGGCGTTGGAAAGAGGTCGGGCAAAATGTACTTTACGATCCGGCCCGGAGCCAAGCTGCCGATTGATGCGGTGCGCGATTACCAGGGCTTGTGCGCTAGAGGGAACCGCTGAAAAAAGTTGCCAATACTTCCATTGCATGCCCCCAATCTTCTTGCCCAGCCAGAGAGGCGCAGCCCTGCAACCTTGGACGTCAAGGCTGCGGCCAACAGCCTTGCAGATGCGGCAGTCTCGCCGACGACAATGGTATGCCGGCACACGGACGTCGAGCACAGCAACGGCAACGGCGACGGCGAAAACTACGTCTTCTGCGGGCCCGCACGGGACTGGCGGCAGCGGTTCCTCAAAGGACGGGTTTCACATTCTATGCTGTGGGTAATGACAATCGGCACTTGTCTTTTTCATCATCTTTTGAATACTTGGTAGCTATGTTGCAATAGCTGTTTCTTTCAATGTCAATACAAATCCATCATGACCGAGCACCCAGTCTAAAGTGCAAAATAATTGATTCTGTGAGAGACGCCAGGTAACGAGAGGCTAAATCCATCATAAACGAGCACCCAGTCTGAATCGCAAAAGAGTTGATTCTGCGAGAGACGCCAGGCAACGAGAGGCTAAAGCGCAGACTTGCCAAGCCTCGTGATTCGATCCCTAAAGCCCTGCCAAACCCACCTGCCTCGCCTACGAATCCTCTCCTAGGATTAGTCGTCGTTGACGAATGCTTCAACGCCATGCTGTATCGTCTTTTTTTACTAGACTGGGCCACTCGGTCAAAGACCTCGGCCTCAGACTTGGCCTCCGTGCCCATAGAGTTTTGTTTGGTTAGGAATACGTAATCCACGTCTCCATCTCTTTTGTCCTGTCCTCAATGCCGGCTGCGAATCCCGTTCCGTTATGACGTTGCTGTATCGGGACACGGCCTGGAGATGGCCGGTTTTAGCGCGGAGGGTGGCTCAGCCCAAGCTAGCGGATCGTTGTTGATGGAGATGTCGCGGGTCGACGAATTCATGATGTATGTTTATATATGTCCCGTAACTCCCACCTGTCTAATGAATGAAATGAAATACCTCTATACTCGTCTATATTTTAATTCGACATCTTTTGAACACTTATGACACCAATTACACCCGAGCTCTATTGCGATAGATTTGTTCACATCACTTCATCACTTACACAAGACCCTTCTTGGCAATGTTTCGCTTAACAACCTATCTTGTCGGCGCTGCGAGCCTATACATGGCCGCTGCTGCACAAAACTCGACCACCCCGCCAAGCGACGGTCCTCGCAACCCCATGCTCCAATTGAGCTCGGACGAGTCCTTTCACTTTGAGATTCTCCGCACACTATCGCTCTCCGTCGCCGAGGGCGCTGATCTCGGCGAGGTTCTCGTTGCCGCCCAGCAGATCAAGAGCTCCGACTTTGAGAGTTACTACCAAGCCTTTAACAGCCTCGCGGAGCACGTCGACAGGCAGGGCAGGGCGCTCAACGGCGACAAGTATCCCGCGTCGTTCCGAGCGATGCGCCTCAAGGCCGCCAGCTACTTTCGCGCGGCCGATTTTTTCCTCCACGGCGACTGGGAGGATCCCCGTATCGATAGCCTCTGGGAGAAGCAGACAAGGGCCTTTGACGATGCGTTGCCTCTGATGGCGAGCCCCGGCCGCCGCACGACTCTTGAATCAAGGGACGGCAAGTTTAAGATTCCTGCCATCTTTTACAGTACCGGCAAGCCAGGTCGCCACCCGACTATCCTAATGTGCAACGGTTTCGACGGCTCTCAAGAGGAAATGTTTCACATCTTTGGCAGGGCTGCGCTCGATCGCGGCTACAACGTCCTCACCTACGAAGGCCCTGGCCAGCCGACCGTCCGCCGCGAGCAGGACATGGGCTTCATTCCCGACTGGGAGCGTGTCGTCTCCCCCGTCGTCGATTACGCCGTCTCCCTCGACGAGGTTGACCCCAAAGCCATCGGCAGCATCGGATACTCTCTAGGCGGCTACCTCGCCTCCCGCGCTGCCGCGTTTGAGCCCCGCATTGCTGCCGTCGGTGCCATTGACGGTGTCTACGACTTTGGCGACGCCTTCATCAGCCCGCTGCCTCCCATCGTGAAGCAGTGGCTCACGGACGGCAAGCGGCAAGACGTCAACGATGTCTTTGCGCAGGCGGTCGCCGACCCAAGCACCCCTACCGGCATTCGCTGGGCTGTCCAGCAGGGCCGCTGGTCCTTCAAGGCCGACGACTTTTTTGACTTCTTCACCCTTGTGCAAAAGTACACCCTCGACGGCGTGGCGGACAAGATTAAGCAGCCCCTCTTTGTCGGCGACGCGGAGCTGGACCAATTCTTTCCCGGCCAGGCCCGGAAACTGGCCGAGGCCGCGACGAGCAGCTCGAATAAAGTCTGCCACCGCTTCGAGGCCGCGAATGGTGCGGGCGAGCACTGCTCCGTCGGCGCTGCCGTGTACCAAAACCAGATTCTGTATGACTGGTTCGAGGATGTTTTCAACGGGAAAAGCTAAACGACGACGTTTAGGATAGTGAAGGTGGGTTGGGCAAACTCTGTTTCATTGCATGAGCATTTACAGGCATGGGATTCAAAATTTTCTTTGGTACTCGGCGTGTTTCGTGTTTCACTGCAACATCATAGACTTACAAAATAATGTATACATATATCAGTAATATCGATTACTCTTTTCTTTTTTTTTTTTTTTTTTTTTTTTTTTTGAAGATTTGACAGTCTCAACTGCTACTTGCATTCCAAAAGAATTCCGGGCTGAGTAGCTGCTCCAAGCTGAGGTCCTGAATGTTGGAAAAATCCTCGGGCAAGCCATTCAGCCACGCAAAGTCGTCGGCCAGCGCCGCCGCCGCCGGGGCGGCGGGATTATTCGTCACATGCTCTGGCGCATTCACAACATCGTACACCTTGACAATGTCGTGCAAAGCGGCCGCCAGCATCTCCTTGCCGCGCTGATGCAGCATGATGAGCGACCGCGCCGTGCGCATGGCTTCGCGCGTGGCGTGCGTGTTGTACACGGCAGCGACGTCCTGGAGGCACTGCATGGCGTCGCGCAGCTGCGAAATGGACGACACGGTGTCAATGGCCAGCAAGACGCAGACGATTTGAAAGGGCACGTATGCCATGTGGTGCCACGGCGCGCGATCGATGAGGATCGCGCGCGCTGCTTGGATGCCGCTCGCTGTGAGCACCAGAATGCGCTGAATCGTGGCGTCGGGCAGGGTAAAGTCCATGGAGCGGAGGCGGCGGCAGAGACAGAGCGCAAGGTTGCACTGCCCGAGAATGGTGGGCGGCCGCGTGTGAACCCGGTCGAGGACAATCTGGAGCGCAGATTCTAGCTCAGAGGCTGCTTGCGGCGTTCTTTCTGGGTCTAGCTGTATGGTAAAGGGCAGGAGCTCCATCAGCTCGGTCGTGTATTCGCCTGGCCGTTTCGACGGCAGCGCGCATGTGACTCCTGAGAGAGACACGCGGCTCAGGCCCATGTCATAGGACATCCAAGTGTTGAGATGCTGTGAGACGGCGAGTAGTCTTCGGTTCACCTCGATGTTGCTCGACTGCTCGGTATCAGACCGCAGGGCGACTGGGTCTGCGTCTTCCACGGTCATGCCTGCGGCCTCTAGCATGTGCAGCACCGTGCAGCTTGCCATCCAAGCGGGATAATGCGTTCCGGCAAGCCGGAGATAGATGACTCGCAGAAGCCAGGCACTGATGCTCGACACCGAAGGCGGATCTGAGAAAGACTGCTCAAGCATACACTTTGCCGACTCGACGAGTTCAGGCTCTGTCCTATCGGCGTCAACCTGCGAAAACAAACACCCCAGCGCAGCGACACCGCACAAGACGGCATCAACAGGTTCGGCATGAGCACTACTAGGTCTTGCCCAGCGCAGACGAATATGCTGCTCTACCTCGCCCGCCTCGACGAAGCTGTAGGTGGGGTGCAGTTTCTGAAAGTACACGCTTGCGAGGTACGACATGCGCTGCTGCGACAAGAGTTCCGTCACGGGACGACGACGCGCCAGGGGGGGAGGGCTCTGCACAGTCTGCCGCGATCCGAGAAACGCGTTCCAGGCAAAAGTCTGCACGCGCGGACTGCTGCTGCCGCCCTTGGACTCGGACTTGAAGCCGAGCCGGCGCACAAAGGCCGGACCCGAGTTGGCCTCGAGCGAGCGGGCCTGGTGCTGGACCGAGGACGACGACGACGCGGGTGTAGTTGCTGTTGTTGTTATGGCATTATTGTCCACGGGCGAGTGCTGCTGCTGCTGCGACAAAAGACCTCCGCTTCGCGACGGCGGCGCATGGCTCGCACGATCCGGCTTGTTGCGCATCTTGCTGCCGGCCGAGTAGCGGCACGGATACTCGAAGCGGACGCACGTGCCGCACGGCTCGGCGCCGTCGCACTTGCGCTTCAGGTCCCGACATGTCTGACAGGCCAAACGCGAGCGCTTGCGCCCTTGCGTCGAGCTCATTGGATAGAAAAAAAAAATTTAGTAATAAAAAAAAAAAAAGGGCTCCGGCGGCAAGGGAGAGAAACTGGAATTTTGCCAAGCGGTGCGCCGCAGTGGGTGGTCGGGAGGTCGGGTATAGCGGAAAAGCAGGATAGTTATAGGATGTGGATATGCGAAACAGTGGAGGAGGAACACCAAAGGCGGGATCTGAGTCACAGCGAGTCGGACTTGATGATGATGATGATTGATAAATCGTTGGCAAGATTGACAACAAGAATTGTAGATGGTTTTACAGGTTTAAGATGAAATGCTGACATGTGTGGCTCCTGATTCGCAAATTGATGAAAAATTCTGCCCTTGATGCTTTCTCGAAAACCAGCACTACCCAGATAGACTTTGACCCTTATTACAAAGCGGAGCCAGAAGTCGTCTCTATCGGGCATAGTTGTCATCGGAAATGACGGGCATCACGGAAGTAGCGCATATCGCAGAACAGCTGGTATATGAATCAGAATCTCTATTATTGCCATGGTAAAGCTTGCCTTTTTTTAAGTTGCCCTGCATATAACAACATCTTGATGTGCTTTTCCATGACAATCTAAGATCAGATGCAACCCTTTCATTTGCCAGCATTTATAATACCATGGCGCGCACCAGCCTCCCAGACCTAGAGTCTGGCGCATCAACACCAGGCTACGCCAGTCAGTCCGACTCCATCGACCACCCACGACAGGCCGAAAAGGCAAAAGAAGAAGCCAGCAGCAGCACTGAAAAAGCAAAAGCCTCTGATGCTACTGTCCCATCTGATGATGATGATGAGCCGCCAGACGGCGGACGCGTTGCCTGGACGCACGTCCTCCTCATGCACATTGTCTTCTTCAACACGTGGGGTGTCGTCAACGGCTACGGCGTCTTCCAGGAATACTACACCACGGCGCTCCGCCGACCGCCCAGCGACATTGCCTGGATCGGCAGCGTCGAGACCTTTCTCCTCTTTGGCATCGGCGTCGTCTCGGGCCGCGCCACCGACGCCGGCTACTTCTTCCACGTCTTTTACGCCGGCGTCTTGCTCGAGCTCCTCGGCGTCTTCATGACCTCGCTCGGCACGCGCTACTGGCACTTTGTCCTCTCGCAGGCCGTCTGCATGGGCGTCGGCAACGGCCTCGTCTTTTGCCCCGCGCTCGCCATCCTCGCGCAGTATTTCAAGCGGCGCCGCGCCTTTGCCGTCGGCCTGTCGGCGGCCGGCGCGGCGGTCGGCGGCCTGGTCTACCCGATCCTCATCAACCGGCTCATCTTTCACGAAAAAATTGGCTTTGCGTGGACGATGCGCTGCATGGGCCTCATTATGCTGCTCAGCTACATTCCTTGCTTGTTCCTGTTTAAGCCGCGACTGCCGCCGCGCAAGACGACGGATTGGATAGACACGACGGCGTTTACGGATGTGCCCTTTTTATTCTTCACCGCGAGCATGTTTTTTGCCTTTTGGGGCTTGTATTTTGCCTTTTTCTTCCTCGGCACCTATGCGCGCGACCAAATCGGTGTCGCGCAGCCCATCTACCTCCTCATCCTGCTCAACGGCGTCGGCGTCATCGGCCGCATCTCGCCCACCATTGTCGCCGACCAGTGGTGCGGCCCGCTCAACCTCATCATCGCCATCGGCCTCGCCTCCAGCCTCTTGGTGTACTGCTGGGCCGCCGTGCACACCGCCGCGGGCTTGTACGTCTTTGCCGTCATCTACGGCCTGGCGGCGGCGGCGCTGCAGGCCCTGTACCCGGCCGTGTCCACCACCATGACGCCGCACCCGAGCAAGACGGGCACGCGCGTCGGCATGATTCTGGGCTTTGTCAGCTTGGCGAACCTGACAGGGCCGGCCATTTCGGGGGCTATTATCGAGCGCTCTGGTGGTGGCAGCTATCTGGGGGCGCAAATGTTTGCTGCTACGGCTATACTGCTCGCAACGGTCACGGCTGTGGGGGCACGTGTCGCCAGGGCAGGCTGGAAGATTTGCGTAAAAGTTTAAAGGGGGGGAATTAGACTGGCGTTTTTGGGTTGTAAATTAGGGGCATTTGCATTATAGACATATAGAACACATTGGGTGAACCTGGTTCTGCAGAGGTGCTCGGCGAGCTTATTAGCTACTTGCGCTTCTTGGATAGGTGGAATTGGCGCAAATTTACAATGAATCATTAGAATTATTGATCTTTTTGAAACAGTCTTCATCTAAAGGCCAAAGAAGCTTTCTCAACCTTTTGCTTTCCTGTCACAGACTTTCGAGGCGGGTTCTGTACTCTGTCCCCGTAAGAGGTATTGCAGTGACAGATTCTGGAACCGATTGTACTTGCAGTATTCCATATATACTAGTCATTAAATTCATATAAAATTCAAGGCAACCAGTTGATGCGCCTTGGTGGCCAATACTGTAACGAGGCTTAACGTCTGGCCCTACCTATCCATCTATGTACAATACCGCACAGCCCTGGCCCAAGTGAGCGCCTCCACGTTCCGAAAAAAACTCAACCTCCAAAAAAATAGGGAAAGAAAAGGGAAAAAAAAAAAAAACAGACTGTAAATGCCAAAACTTTTATGAGCGGTAATTGACACCGTAAATCTTATACGACGTCTTGGCGCCGTCAAAGTTGACGTCGCCAACGTCGCGGCACTTTATGTCGCCACGCCTCTTCTTCATCTTCTTCTGGGCGCGCTTGGAGAGGCTGACATACTTGCCGCTGCTGGAGTCAGATCCAGCCCTACGCAGGGTGTGGGTGGCGCTCTCGGGCTCATACTCAAAAATGAATGCCTGCGCCTGGTCCTGGTCCTTGGACAGAGTGCCCTTGGATGTGATGAAGCTGCGGTCCTCGTCGGCGGACTGAATGTAAAACGATTTGCCAAAGCGGTCGCCGTCCGAGTTGGTAATGATCCAGCGCTGCGCAGAGTCGTCGTGCTTGTCGGCGGCGGCGATGCCGACGACCTTGCCGTCCTTGGTGCGGCCGAGACCGAGACCGCCGCTCTCAATGGTAATGTAGCGGCCCTCGGTGATGGCGCCGCGAATCTCCTTGTGGCCTTCCTCTACGAGATTCTTCATGTCCTCGTCGGCGTTTTTCTGGCCGTAGGGGACCGCGGGGTGGTTGCCGTGGCTGTAGCCGCTGGTGCATTTGGAGGCGCCGACCCAGGGTCCCGTCAGGGAGCCGAGGGTGAGGTTGCCGCTCCAGTTGTCGTAGTCGAGCGCCTCGGGGGTGCGCACAGGGGTGATGCTGGGCCGAGAGTAGTCTGGCTTGTTAAAGTCAAAGGCGTTGACCATGTTGGTCATGTGGGCCCGACGCCAGGGCGTGATGCCCTCATTCTTGACGTCGTACCCGTTCGCCTGAGCCCAGGCCTCGATGAACATGAGATCAGAAGTGTGATCGCCAGTCTCGGCAAATACGTTGCCGCCACGGGTCCAGGGAGAGACAATGTAGCGGGGAATACGAGGACCTGTTTTTTCGCCCAAAGTTAGGAATCGAGCCGAGCACAATGGAAAAGAGAAAGAAAATGTCTTGACTTACCAGGGCCAATGGGGACAACGCCGCGTCCAGCATCAAAAGGGTCGGTGATCCATTCACCAGCCGCATCGCGAGGAGCAACAGGAGGAATGACATGATCGGCCCAGCCACCTTGCTCGTCGTAGCTGACGACAAGCGCGCTAGAGCTGTAGAGAGGGCTGTTGATGACAGCCTGGACGACATTGCGCTGAAGCCAGGCGCCGTCAATGGGCATGTTGGGAGGGTGTTCACTCTGCTCCGAGCCGCCAATGATCCAGCTGACCTGAGGCAGAGTGCCCTTGGCGCACGCGTCGTAAAAGGCATCAAGGCCCGGAAAGGAAATGCCCTTTTCGCGCAGGGCACCGCCCTGTGGTGTGTTTTGATACTGCTTAAAGTAGGCCAGCATATTGTCCTCAAAGTTGTCAAAGTCCTGCCAGACGCGCCACGAGATGCCCGCCTCTTCGAGGTACTCGGGCATCGTCTTCCAGGTAAAAGGGAAGCAGTTGTTGCCGGGCGAGTCGCAGCCCGGACTGGCACGGTTGGAGAGAATGTTGCCGCCGCTGCCGTCGGGGTTGGTGGGGGACCCCTTGGTATTGACGGTGCCGCTCATCCAGGTGATGCGGTTCGGGTCCGTGACTCCGAGGATGCTCTGGTGAGAGTTGTCCATGACGGTCCATCCCTCGGCAATGTCAAAATGCGTGGGCACATCCTCGCGCTTGTAGTAGCCCATGTTGTAGTCGGTATCAGACGTAACCCAGCCGTCGCCGCGGCCGTTGTTCCAGGCACCGTGCATGGCGTCCCAGCCGTTTGAGCCGCCCGTCATGCACTGAGTAGCTTCCTTCCAGTCACCCCCGAGGTAGTTGATGTGCCATGGAGACAGAGTGCTGACACCATTTTTTGTACCTTTGATGGGCCTAATTTACCTTGCTGTCAGGTCGAAGCTTTCATAGCAGAGGGAACATGTCTTCGTCGTTGACTTACTGCTTCGTGACGGGAACACCGTCATTCTTCTTGACGTTGGGGTCGGCAAAGTTGCGAACACCAGCCATGGTGCCAAAGTACTACGTGAGAGGGTTAGTCGTCGAACAGAGAAGAATATGATTTGAGTAGGACTTGCGTGGTCAAAAGATCTATTCTCCTGCATAAAGAGAATAATGTGCTTAATGTCCTTGAGTGAGCCGGCCTGCACACCCGTGGCCGAAGCCAAAAGGGTCAGAGCAAGTGAAGAGTACAACATTGTGAATGTTGTTGGTATTGGGATCACTTTGTATGCAATCTCGGTCAAGCCTTGTGAGACAGCAACGATTGCATCGAAAAAGTAAAGGAGCAGATCTGCGAGTTGAAAAAGCGACCGAGACAATATTTAACTCTTTTGGCAAGGTACAGCGATAAGCCGAGAAAAAAACCTGACGTATGATGGAAAGCTAATAGTAATAGGAAAGAGGCCTTTGGGGACAAGGTCGGGTGGTATGGGGCATGCAAGCATGGGGGCCTGTAGAGCGTGCATCACACTGCCCGATTTCCAAGACTGGTGATTTATTTTTACTCTGTCATTATTTGTTCTGCAGGACAAGATGCCGCTGTTCGGACGAGAACAGACCCCCCTCTGCCAGTAACAAAGCAAACAGCGGCGGCTGCCATGGATTCCCCAGAAGAGGCAACTTTCGGAATGGTCAAGCCAATCGGAGCAAAGTCAAAGCTCCTAGAGGCAAGCAGGTCATGAGCCAATAACGGGCCGAGGCTGCAACACGATGGCGAGGCACGGGTGCGGAAAGGGGGGGGGGGGTCATAGTGCAGAGACCAGCAGGTGAGGATGAAGCCAAAATCGGCAGTGTTGCAACAAGTCAACGTGCTGCCGTGTCTAGCAATAGAGATCCGTAAAAGCAGATTCTTGGAGAACAATGGTTGTGTGGAGAAAGCTCCAAGACCAAAGGTTAAACTGCCTGTCGCGCATGACAATGTGACGGAGATGCTGGCGGGCGCATGAGACTGGGGGCGATGACTTGGACCCATCAACAAGATCAAAGGGGGAACCTAAAAGAGTCTTGCTTTAAAGCACGTGTGGCCAAGAGAGAATTGACGTTGCAGCGAGAGAAGACGTATGGGGGGAAATATGTGGTGTGCGGTGTTGGTGGCCCCGGTGAGCGAGTTGGGACTGAAGAGGGCGGTGAGATGGAGCATGGGGACGCCCAATGTGCAAAGTTGCAAGATGGAAAAAGAAGCTAGATGAAGAAGGGAAGGAGGCAAAGAAAAAATACATACATGCAGTCAGAGAGATCAAGTTCAAGTGACATAGCTTGGTTAGACAAAATGCTTGCGATCTGGAAGTTCATGGTAACCTGCACTGAAAAGGGGAACTGACAAGTCGGGTAGTAACAGACAAAAGCGAGATTCGCGAGACTGCAGATGCATGGTACCGTAGTTACAGGTTGGCAGTCGAATCGAGAAACAGGCGGGTTTGAGGCATTATGACTACTACCTAGTAAGCTGCCAACGGCGAACGGCAAACGGGTGGTCATGGTGGCGTCGTGGGGGAGGGAGTATTGCACCCTGAAAGCCACTGATAAAAGCCGAAGCCACCAAGGCCGAAGCCGCTGAAAATGAAGCCGCAACAGACCACTGAACCCCAATTATTTATAAGGCGCAGGGCTCGCACTGGCGTTGGTGGCTTGTTTGATGCCGGCACTCGATGGGCCGAGGGGAACAAGGCGGAAGTGGAGGGAAACAACTAGGTAATTAGGGGCAATGTTTGCTCCATGTTTATTAGCTCATTTTATAGATTCATCATCAGTTATTATTATATTAGGCTCCTCGTTGCTCTTTGACAGGCTCACATTGCTTGGAAAAAGAAAAAAAAAAAAAAAGACATTGCCCAGGCCATCAAGGACGCGCGGTACAAATTTACAGGTGCTAAAATAAAAGCACAGCATGCCCGCTGTGGTCATGGACGAACCGGCTACCGGTTCCCTACTTACTCCGTACGCCAGATAATGACCTTGCCCAGTTGGGCGGGCTACAAGGCACCACGTGCATCACCCACGGGAGAGGCGTGTGCCAAGTGTTCTGCCAAAAAAAAGGTACAAGTTGGCAAGTCGTTTCCAAGCAGCAATGAACATAAATAAAAAAGGTTTCTTGCGTGATTAAACTAACTACTTTTAAATACCTGTGACTCCGGACAAGAGTATTGCCGCGCCGTCTAGAACAAATCACACGGTCGCTCCAGATTTGCCCCATGACCGAGGGCCGTGGTCAAGGTCACATAGGTACTGCATGCGATGGTTAGTGCTTGGCAGTGTTTTAGCAACTGTGATCGCAGGCCTCATCATGTGGTCGAAAATGAATACAGACGCACAATCCAGCGTCTTTACTTTAATAATGTGTGAATCGCGCAACACGGTTCTCTACCGGGCTTAATTCAAAACTGCCATGCCGCCCAGGCCGCCTGTTCATCTCCAACAATAAGCTCCGACTACAATCAGCACGACAGCATCGCTGATTAGTTAGTTGCGCGTTGAATGCCATCACTTTCAACTGCACGCCAAACAATTAGTTAGAGGCCCCCACCCCCATTGTCCTTGCCCCAAAAGGCCCATCCATCCACTTCCATGCATCTCAGTGTAGATTGATGGGTCCCCCCCCCTCCTCCGTACCCTCTCCCCTTGTCCCCCTCCATTTATTAGCGGCGCTGATCGCGACCCAGTTGTAGCCAAACTTTCAGACCACGTTTCTTCGCTACAGCTCTTATTAGTCGTCAGCAGCTCCCCCGACCATCACCTGCTAGCGCTGCGTGCTGTTTTCTTGGTGGTGTACAGTAGGGCCTAGTCTTGCCCTATGGGGCCCGGCCGGCCGTGTAAGTGTCAGAGGGACCAAGAAAAGCTCCGGCCAGCCACTTTGTAAAAAAGTTGCTGCATGATCCAAATAATCAATTGACTTTTTTTCTTTGTTTGTCTGGCACGCGTCCCTTGCCGAAATCACAACTTTGCCCAACACACTGGGGGGGAACTTGCTTGTTCTGCTACCAGTCTCCTCCTCGCCAATGCAGGATTTGGTGACCGAGTGGAGAGGGGACCTTTTTACGAACAGTTAAGTTCCTTATCGCCAATTGCCCGCACAACTCTATGAAACTCTTTCAACCTTTCCACGGCGCTGCATCATGGATGCACCGCTGAGTTACAATCCGGCGCGCCAGTCCAAGGCCCGTCGACTACCGCTCTGCGGCGGCTTGGTGCTGCTGCTGGTCACGGCTTTGCTGTATGCAGTCGTCGCACTGCGATACTCGCACGCGGCGCCTCTCCCATTCTCTTGGGCTGCGCCGCCGGCTCCTCCTGTCGCCGATGCGACCGATTCAGCTTCAGGCGGCGACATTGGCGATCGCTTTGCGCTGCACCCGGAGCTTCACGTCTCCCGCCCGCCTCGCACGCTGAAGCTCGACTGGAGCGTCACGCGACAGCAGCACCGTCCTGACGGTGTCCTGAGAGACGTCTACTTTATCAACGGTATAGCTTCACGCCACTGGGCAAAAAAAAAAAAAAAAATTTACGTCCCAGCCATGTACTGATGATGGCGCCTAGGCCAGTTTCCTGGTCCGACAATCGAAGCGCGCTCCGGCGATGAGCTGCAAATAACGGTAACGAATGATATTTTCAACGATACCGATGCAGGAATTGCCATGCATTGGCATGGTCTTTTCATGAAGGGTTGGTTGCGCCCGCCACTGTTTCGTCTTGTTTCGGGTATTAATGCGCCTCGCAGATGCCAACGAGATGGACGGGGTTACGGGAGTCACACAGTGTGGCATCCAACAAGACCATTCTTTTACGTATAAATTTCGAATCGATCCCGAACAGCATGGCACTTACTGGTACCATGCGCACTCTCATGTTAAGCGTGCCGATGGGCTATACGGCGGCCTCATCATCCACAAGCCCGCTGATAAGAACAGTGGCCAGACCGACCTGTCGCGGTACGACTACGGCGCTGAGAGGCTGTTACTCATCGGTGACTGGTATCACCGCAGCGCAGAAATAGTGCTGGGAGAGTACAAAAACTACCGAAACTTTGCGTACGAGGTGAGTGCAGGCAGCTTTCAGGTGCATGCACACCCCGACAGAAGCTAATTGACCTGCAGCCCGTGCCAGACTCACTGCTCATCAACGGCGTCGGGTCCTACAACTGCTCCAACGCGCGCCCAGCACGGCCGATAGACTGCGTAGAGACGAAGGTTCCGGTGCTCACCATGTCTGGCGACAAGGCCATACGGCTGCGCGTCATCAACACCGGTGCCGCCGCCGGCCTGTCGTTCCAGCTGCAAAACGGCACGATGCAGCTCCTCACGGTCGATGGCGGTGGATACGTCTCCAAAGACACTCCGCAGACGCCCACCATGGGGGTTTTGTACCCGGGAGAGCGCATGGACATGCTGCTGCTGCCGAGTGACACGCCGGCAGACGATGAGCACTTGCTGGACACTGAAGTGAAAATTGTACTTGATGCAGAGTAAGCATGTTTGCGCGGCTTTTCGTCACTTGACAAAACTAACATTGGAAATTTACTAGACTTATGCCCATGAAAAACTGGGCTCTGACGCGCATCCAAGACTTTCCTTTAAAATGGCGTCGATTGAGCGCATCTAGCCATGTGCGGCACGACGTTCGCGAAACTGTCGACGTTTTCAACATGAAGGATGCGCATGGTGTCGACGTACCTTCAGAGTCGGGCATCCATGAAGCGCCCGCCGAGACGGCCCTGCTGTACACCAGCCTCGCCATCAACAACTTCAAGCACGACGAGCCTTGGGGCGAAATCAACCACACGTCGTGGGTGTGGAAGGATCCAACGGCCAAGCCGTTGCTCGCCCTAGACCGGGACGAGTGGGCAAATGGCACCGAGCAGGCCAATACGCTCCGCACATTTCGTGCGCCGTGGTACAAAGATGGGCACGACAGATGGATTGATTTGGTGGTGAATAACGTGGATGACAAGGGCCACCCATTTCACTTGGTAAGAGAAGAAAGATTTTGCAAAAAAAAAAAATGTCTTTTGTTGGCGCCTGAAATTACGAATGCTAATTTATTTATTACGCGCAGCATGGATATGCATTTCATGTAGTTGGCGCCCGCCAGCTTGACCTGGGCCGCTCCTACAATCCCTACGAGCCCGGCGCGACGCAAAGGGAAGCCGAGTACTTCAACACCAAGACGCCGCTGCGCAAAGACACTGTGTATATTCAGTCCAGCGGCTACGTCGTTTTGCGGTTTCCGCTTGATAATGCTGGCGTCTGGCTGATGCACTGTCACGTACTCTGGCATCAGGCGGTCGGCATGGGTGTCGTGCTGCAGATTGGCAATGTTACAGAGTCGACGCAGCAAAAGGCCGGCCAAAGCTGCATCGCATAGGTTGAGACATATGATGAACTGCAAGCATACATGATTGGCAGGCTCAGACACGGCATGGCAGGCTCAGACATCGGCTAGCAGGCTACTCGCTTCTCTTTCTTAAGATGTTGCCCTTGTATGTTGTATATATTTTACAAAAGAAACTCTTTTATTACGTAGATGATGCATCGCTGAAATGGTTGAATGGGCTCAAAGTCTCATGATGAAAGCGTGCGTATTTCTTGTTCCTGGTCTCACCCCCTAAACCTAAAAGTTGCGACATGAGCGACGCTGACATCACGCTGCCTCTCTCGGATGTAGCCGTAATCTTTTTGGGTCATTTCTTCATGACTCGCAACTTTATTAGCTCGATTGGCGCCGCCCCCAATCCCGTAACTAGCCTCTTGACGACTTCTGGCCCGTTGTTGCCTTGTTCTTGCTCCAGCCCAAATGGCTTGCCGAGAAGGAACCTCTTGTTCGTATACAGTAGAGCGAAATTCGTTGCGGCCAAAGCCCTGTTGGCAAGATTTGTTGCATTTGCAGCGGGTCACGTGCAAATTTCCAATTTGAGGGCGCTGCTCGGCAAGGGGGCCCTTTTTGTATTTTTGCGGCTTTACCGATGAAGGCAAGGCAGCCCCGCGATAACTGTCAAACTCCGACCTCGTTGTCGCCGGCCATCAAAGCATTTACCCACGTTTTCTGTCTTGCGCTGACGAGACGCATCTCGAGAGACGACCCCTCCGGCATCATGTACATCATATTTAGAGCCGACTGCTGTCATCCTCCATAGGGCAAAGTCTGTGTCCGCGACTAGAGGCGCCATGGGCCCGAGATTCTTGGCTTTTGGTGGTGGCGAGGACTCGCACGGTCCGCCTCAGAGACGAGCAAACCACAATCCCGATGAAGCTGTTCCACGAATTAAGAGATGGGCTCCCAAAGTCAGAACTGGCTGTATAACCTGCAGGTATGTTGATATTTTTTTTCTTTTTTTTTCTTTCCTTTTTTTTATTTGCTTTTGGTATCATCGCCGATCTGCAGCTGAAAACGCCCAATACAGCTATAGAGACTTGCCCAACTAACGACATTTTCTGATAGAGCTCGCCGTGTAAAGTGCGATGAGACTAGGCCAGCTTGCACGCGATGCGTATCGGCCAAGCGAAAATGCGGCGGTTACCTGACAGCGACTACGCCGCCGCAACAGTCCTCGCCTGGAGCCTGCATCTCTGAGCAGCCTTCGTTATCGTCGGCTCCTCATGGGCATAATCCAACCGATCAGGAGAGGCAATTCTTTCACCTCTTGCAGACACTGACCGTGCGCCAGGTCAATGGTGGAATAAAATCAGACTTTTGGACCAAGAATCTCTTACAGGCTACATATGTCTATCCCGCCATTTGGCACGCGGCACTGGCACTGGCGGCCATGTATCAGAGAGCTTACATTCTACACAACGGAGGAGACTCTCGCGCTGCAAAAGAACATAACATGTTTGCCATTCAGCAGCACCTCATCTCATTCAGGTTCATCATCGCCATGAATCACAGCAAAGTGTCTGGAGCGGAACAGGAAATGCTGCTCACGGCCAGTGCGCTGTACACTGGAATATGTTTGCTGCGTGCTGACCTCAATCAGGCTCGCATTCATGCGGCGAGTGCTGCGAAACTCTCCAAGCAGTGGAATTTTTTGGACGACGAGGCAGAGCATCAAGCCACAGAAGGCGTCATCGGCCGAGAAAACACGAAGCAACTCCTTCGAGACGTCTATCATTCCTTTCACTCGATTGCCAGCTTCTCTGAAGACATTGCCGCTCACTTTCAGGCGTCAGTCTGGCACATTATGGAGCCGTTTGCCTCTGTCGACGAGGCGTACTACGCTTACCTGAATATTCATTCAGGATGGGCCAAGATCAAGAGTTGGGAGCCAGAGCATTGCGGCACGCGTGGGGCATCTCCTTCACCCGGCCAAATGCAAGTGCGACAGCACGCGCTCAACCTGTGGATGATTCGTTTCGAAGGTTTTTTGCAGCTAGGCAACTATCAGAAAGAGGATATTTATACTATTGAACTGTTGCAGCTGTTTTGTCTGTTTGAGGAGACCTTTGACATGATCATGATACACCGCACCCCAGAGATGTGGGCCAAGAATGCGCACAAATGGGAGCGCATTGTCAAGACGGCGGAGCGTCTGCTCGAGAAGCAAAAGGGTTGCGGCGAGTCTAGCGTTTCGACGCGGGGCATTTTCTACTACTCGCTCTCTGTGCAGGAAGTATTGCGCATGACGGGGTTCATCTGTCGAAGCGGCGCCATACGACGTCGCATCATCAAGCTCTTGCAGCAATGGCGACACTGTGACGGGTTGTGGGATAATGAAACCTCGTGGAAGCTGGTCGAGGCCAAGATGATTATAGAAGAAGAAGCTCTGGCGGCAGATGGACTGCTGTCGTGCGAATGCGTGCCAGACGTCTTTTTTTGCATGCATCACCGCGTCGCGTACGTCAAGATGGAATTGCCAGAAGAGGGAGGTATTCGAGCCCATATGAAGACTGGTGCAGAGCTCGAGCAGGGACTGCCAGGGAAGAATTGGTGGATTGAGCTAAAACGGTGACATGTAATATCGCTGATTTAATAGGAGCTTCGGGTCATGATGGGCATGAGACGGAGCCTTGAGCTTTCGTGTACAAAACAGTACATATATGACTTTATAGTATAGTATATACATTCAAAGCGGATGAAGGTTGCTATGTCGTCAGTTTTGCATAATGGAGACGCGGGCAGCGAACGACTACAGGAACAGCCTCGGAGAAGAAGAGAAACAAGACAAGCAATGGCCTAGTTTATGAACTGCAAAGTTACTCTTTTATTTGTGAAACAATACTTTTTCAAACCTCGTGCGAAAATTCATTCACTCGTCATACCCGACATGTTTATCCCTGACCGTCTGTACTTGCGCTCTCTCTATGTATATGATGATTGGTGTCTTGTGTCATGATAATGATGAGTGTGCGGGCGTTCCATTTTAGACAGTCACAACCAGCTTGCCCCCGCGAATCTCCCCATTCCTCATGCGGTCCAGCGCACCATTCACGCCCGCCAGCCCAACATGATTTCCCAGTATCCGCGGCGCGCGCAGCTTGCCACTCTGCAGCAGAACCTCCATCCACTCGCTCAGCACCCTGCCAACCTCTGGCACCTCGTGAAACAGCTTCAGCGGTACAGAGTGCATCTGCAGGTCCTTGTCGTCGTCGTCGTCGTGTTCCATCTTTGGCAACCCCGCGAGCCCGATTAAATGCGCTCGTCGCTCGGTGCGTGCTGCTGGTATCGGTGGTGTTGGAGGCGGCGATGGAGAGTGATATGGCGATTTTTTGCTGCTGCTGCTGCTGCTGCTTCGTCGTCGCTGCAAGGCTTTGACGAGGTAGGAGGCGCTTTCTTTTCCGTTGGTGTCGATGCCGAAATGCAAAACGTCGCCAATGGTGGCGGTTAGCACTTCGACGGCCCGGTCTGGGTTGCTGTTGTCGATGAGGAGGTCAGGACGGGCGTGGCTGTCGGTTGAGAGCCAGTGTCCGTGGCGCGCTTGGTCGACAATGACGGCTACTTTTAAGCCGGCGAGGCGCGCGAGCTGAATGGACAAGTATGCCGATGTCGCGGATCCTGGAAAACCATTTTGTCAGCTTTTTCTTTTCCCCAAATCCAGCAGCAAGTCTATAAGAAAGAAAAATGGGGGGGTTTAGTTTAGGAAATAAAGCTTATTACCTCCCCAGATGGCAACCCAGTCCCCCTCGAGCGCCCGCTCGTGATCCTGAATGGAGCGCAGCGCCTCGTATCGAACGTCTTGCGGTATCCGATCCTCGCCCACGCTTTCAATCACCGACTTGAGATCCGGGCCGCCCATGACGTCGCTGAAACTGAGGCCAAAGCAGCTTCCCAAGGCCAGAGCCGACGTCACAAAGGCGACGCCGAGGGCGGCGCCTTGATCGGAAGACAGCTGTCGGGGCAGCTTGACCACGTTGTAGCTGGGTGCGACGACGAATTCTTGGTAAGCTGCTTTTCTCGCGTCTCTGTAGTCGGTAGAAATTACAATGACCTTTGAAATGTCAGCCCAAATTATGATATATAGAAAAAGGGTTTTTGTTGGTGTGCCTTACCCTCTCACCAGGTCTAAAGCGTGATGCTGCATGGCTTTTTGTGACGGTTCCTACCAGCTCCCTTCCAGCTAAAAACGGAAAATGGGGTATTCCAAAATTATAATCACTTATATTATACAGTGTTAGCTTGGAAAAGTAATTTGTCGCCTCAACATGTACTTACGGCGATTTCCAGTCGATGGGGTTGAGCCCAATCACCTCTGTCTGCACGAGAATCTCTGTAGCGTCGTCCAAGGCTGGAATTGGATGGTTGTTGACTAAAGTATATCGTTCTCGAGGACCATGCAGCAAAAGCGCAGACTGCCTCTTTTCATTCTTCTGCAAACCTGTCTCATCGCCATGTATCGCCGGCTCACTGGTTGGTGTTATTGAGGCCATAGTTTTCCGCGAATAGAGGCAGAAATTAGATGACGGCCCTGACTAAAATTCATTCCATGGCAAACATGGCAAAAAAGTCAAATAAAACAAATGCAATTCCACGTGCAAATTCTCAATGCAAAGACTTTTTTTCCGCGCTTTCGGCATGTCTATCTGTGTATGCTTAATCGGTAGCATTTTGATACAGGTTGCGTGTATTGGCGCTGGATTGCGCCATCGAACCAAGAAACCTGCGAACCTGCGAACCTGCTCCCAGCGTAACAACCCAGCTTTTCGACCCCCACTAATCATCATTCGATTTTACAGAAAGGATATCTATCAAAAACGTTGGTGCATTGCCTTTTTGTGATTTGATGTTATACTTGATAGCTTGTTGACCTGTGCCCCGCACCCAATCTCCAAGTTCAACTGCATCCTCTTTACAAGATTCGCCGAGACCCCCGGGGATAAAGCGTCGCTTACGTATATGTTACAAAAGCCAAGACTTGACTTCTGAGCGATTTCTTTACAAATTAGGCGACATCGGAGCAGCCTGGTTCATGCTCTTAATAACATGGAAATTGAATGTTACGTGACCAACTCGGACGCTTGCCTGGCCTATCGCTGCCAACAACACTCGCTTCTTGCAGGGGAAAAAAGGGGGTAACTCGGCGATCATTGTGTATCAACCTATTAGCTTTCTCATAATTCTTCCTGTTCTGGCCTTTTTTTTTCCTTTCTAATCGCTAGCTTTCCAATGATGTTTAGCAGCTGGATGGTCGTTGGGTGGAAACGCACCGCCCTTGTTGCTAAACAGGTTTTCTCGGTACGTTCCTCCATCCACTGCGTAATCGTCCCAGAATAGGCCCCTCTCCCTCAATACCGGAAACAGCAAATCGGCAATATCCTGGAACGATTCCGGGAAAAGCGCATAGGCGAGATTGAAGCCGTCGACGTCGGCCTCGCGCACCCACCTCTCCATCTCATCGGCGATGCGGTCCGGCGTGCCGACCGTGGTGGCGCCCAGACCTCCAATCTTGATGTGGTTGGCGACGGTGTGTTTTGTCCACCTCGGCACCTCTGGCGTCGCCTTGGACCAGGCCTCGACCGCGGACCGGATGGCGTTTGACTCGACGTGCCGCAGCTCCTCGTCGTCGCCGTACGTCGACAGGTCGATGCCCGTCCACCCGCCAAACAGCGCCAGCGCGCCGTCCTCGGAGCCGTACTGGATAAAGTCCCTGTACTTGGCCTCGGCTTCCTCCTGCGTCTTGCCAATGATGGGGCAGAAGAGCGCCAGGAACTTGATGCCCTGCGGGTCCCGTCCAAACTCGTCCTGGGCCTTGGCGCGAATCTCTGCGATATTCTTGGCCACGGTCGACGGGCTGTGGCCGGCCACGAAGATGGCCTCTGCGTTCTTGGCCGCAAAGGCCTTTCCGGCGCTCGAGGTGCCTGCCTGCATGATGACGGGCGTCCGCTGGGGCGACGGCTGGCAAATGTGCGGGCCCGGCACGGTAAAGTATTTGCCGACGTGATCGATGGTGCGGACGAGAGCCGGATCAGTATAGACGCCCGTCTTGCGATCCAACTTGACAGCGTCATCTCGCCAAGAGCTCTGCCTAGTAAGCGTGTCAGTAAATACTGCTTTTTTGTTTTTTAAGAATGGAAAAAAAAAGCAAGTTCCCCGTTCTATTACCAAAGCTTGTATGCCACTTCGACGTATTCTTCAGCCACCGCATAGCGCTCGTCGTGCTTTGGCTGCTCCTGGAACCCTAGGTTTCTGGCGGCCGAGTCTAGATAGCCAGTGACGACGTTCCAGCCGATTCGCCCTCCCGTCAAGTGGTCGATGGTGCTTAGACGCCGCGCGAGATGGTACGGCTGCTCGTACGTGGTCGCGACAGTAACGCCAAAGCCGAGGTTCCTTGTCGCTGCTGCCATGGCAGAAACGACCGCCAGCGGCTCATTCACAGGCCACTGAGCGCCCGAGACAATGGCAGGGTTGGGGTTTCGAGGGCCTTTGTAGACGTCGTATGCGCCCTGCGAATCGAGTCAAGACTGTTCTTCTTTCTTTTTTCTTTTTTTTTTTTTTTTTTTTTTGTTTCTTGGAGAGCACTTGTGGTGGAACGATTTACTTACCAGCACGTCGGCGATAAAGACACCGTGAAATTTCCCCTCTTCGAGCTTTTTGGCCAGGTTTACCCAGTGCGAAACCTCATTGAAGCGCCAAGACTGGTCCCGAGGATGTTGCCATAGCCCGGGGGACTGGTGCCCACTGCACGATTCTACAAAGGCATTGATGATGAGCTTCTTCTGCGCAGCCATTGTGATTAAAAACAACAAAGATGATTGTACAGGAAGAAACGTCATTTCAATTAAGCTACAAGTTCAATAAATTATAATGATGAAATATTGCATAGCCGGAATACTTCCGAATGTGGCCTCCGGTCTCGCCCAACCCCCGGATGGCGCAATACCGAATGCACGGCATGCAATCTCGGCAGTGTTGCATTGACTGTAACCAAATTGTACCTCCATCGACCCAACGAATCGGTAAAGCAGAATAGGGGCATGTGAAATAATGAAGCTGTCCGTTTTTCTCAGCTTTTCACCCAAAACACAAAGACCCAATTAGGATATGGCGCATGTCGTTTATACATTTGCGCCATGCTTGTTACAGCCTAAATCACGTATTAAGCCACAAAGAACTCGCTTGGTTCTCGAACAAGCCCATATAGAGCTTGGAATAGATAAATCAACAACTTGGTCTACATCTTTTTCTGTGCATTGCTCAAAGAAATTTCCATCATTCAAAAACCATGTCGGCGGCAGTCTTTGTATCTCGGGCTGAAGAGCCTAGCAGCGCGGTTGAGCCGCCGCTTCCACAGGTCGCAGGCTACGTGGTCATTATCGTAATGGGCTTCCTAATTGCCATTATCATGATGTTCATCACACGCATACTCAAGCGCACGGCAGGCGAAGACAATGAAACCACAGAAATGTTCATGACGGCGAACCGCACAGTGGGCACTGGGCTCACGGCGTCGGCCGTCATTTCGTCTTGGCTCTGGAGTACGGCAATCCTGGCCAGCAGTTTAGTCGGGTACAATTTTGGTGTCGCTGGTCCTTTTTGGTTTGCCGCAGGGTGAGAGAAGTTGCCGCTCCATTCGTGACTTTTGAGTTGCTAATAATTTGTTTCGCCTACTAAAGTTGCTCGCCCATGATTGTCTTCTTCGCGGTCCTGGGTATTGCATGCAAACTGAGGATCCCCGAAGCGCACACTCTGTTGGAGATTGTGCGGATTCGATACGGAAAGGTTGGGCATATCGTGTGGATTGTGCTCTGTCTGATTAACAACATTATTGCCATTGCCAACATGCTGCTTGGCGCGAGCGCAGCCATTACAGCTCTGTAAGTCGTAACACAAATATCGCAAACTATCCCTATGCTCGAGACTGGAGCTGACATGCGATGCAGTACCGGGATGCACATTATTGCTGCTACTTTTCTCTTGCCTGTCGGAGTAATCATGTACACTTTTGTGGGAGGTATCAAGGCAACCTTTTTGACCGACTACTTTCACACTTTTGTCATTACAGTCATTGTCTGCTTCTTCACAATCAAAGTCTGGCTTACTCCTGAGATTGGTTCTCCGGGAGCACTTTTTGATATCATTATCCAGTTGGCTGTCGATCGGCCCGTGCCCGGGAATCAAGGGGGCTCATACTTGACCATGACCAGCCGCGATGTGAGATGCGACTCTAATCCTGTTCTCAAATGTACGGTTCTAACCTCCATCACAGGCCATCTTCTTTGGCATCATACACACTCTAGCCAACTTTGGGCTCGTCATCATGGATACCGGCTTCTTTGCCAAAGCTTTTAGCGCCGCACCGCACGCTGTCGTACCGGGCTACATTATCGGCGGCATCGCCTACTTTGCGATCCCCTGGTGTCTGGGCACCATCATGAGCTTCTGCGCGCTGGCCTTGGAGACGCAGCCCTTTTTTCCAACATATCCCCGCCTGATGAACACGGCAGAAATCTCGAGCGGGCTGGTCCTGCCATATGCCGCCGTCGCGACAGCAGGAAAAGGCGGTGCGGTAGCAGTTTTGCTAGTAGTCTTCATGGCAGTGACGTCGACCATAAGCGCGCAAGTCATTTCCGTCTCGTCCATCATTAGCTTTGACATTTATCGACAATACATAAACCGCGACGCCAAAGATCGCGACGCCATCCGCTGGAGCCACATTGGCGTGGTGGGCTTTGGGCTCTTTGCCGCGGCATTCTCGACGGCTCTGCACTATGGCAAGGTCGACTTGGGGTGGACGCTGTACATGCTGGGTGTTTTGACCTGTCCTGGCATCTTCCCGACCGTGTTTACGATCCTGTGGAAGAGACAGTCAACGGCGGCGGCGGTGGCGTCGCCACTACTGGGCATGGCTACCGGGATTGGCGTCTGGCTTGGGACAGCCTCGGCATTGTACGGCGAGGTGACGGTGGCCTCGACGGGCCAGACGCTGCCCTGCGTCTACGGCACCGTTGCTTCCGCCTTTAGCCCGTGTCTCTTCTCCATCGCCATTACCCTCGCCAAGCCTGCCAACTTTAAGTGGGCAGACTTTCGCAAGGAGCGTCTCGCATTTAGCAAGTCGACGGCGACGACTTCTGGAGACTCGGACGAAGAGTCAAAGTCGCATGAGCAAATTGTTTCGCAGTATGCAGCAGATAAGCTCCGACTAAAGCGCTGGCTGCGTATTTCCTCGATTTGGGCTTTGGCGACGTTTCTGGGCCATTGGGTACTATGGTAAGATTTTAATCGATAACTTGTCAACCTGTCAAGACACATGACCTGTCGGTAACTAACACGAGGACAGGCCACTTCCGATGTATGCTTCGCACTATATCTTTGGAAAGTCCTTCTTCGAGGCCTGGGTGGTTGTGTCCATTATATGGGTTTGGGTAACGATGCTCATTGCTGGATTTTATCCCCTGATTGACGGCTGGGGGGCCATCCGGAACGTTTTTGTAGGTCTGCGTGGCTCTCGGCAAGGCCAGTAATTGTGGGTGTAGTTTGACAATGTTTTTGAAAAGCAAGCTGCCTCTGAATTGGTATCAATGTGTATTTTGTGGATAGAATCTAATTCCAGCAATGTTTTTCAAACCTACGCAATGGTTCAGCAGCATAGCGGCCATCCACTGTTTAATAAAGAGTGACTCGGAATAACCTCTTTTCGCCCAACCTGCCGCCCGGCTATGCAGAATGCAAACTTGTAATTCGAAATAATGGATCAAGCCTCAAGCTTTTTCAATTGCTGCAAGCCTTCCTTTGCTTCAACTTGTGGCTATTGTCGCGGCGTCGACTAATTAACCGGCTGTAACGGGTAGCGCGGAATATGAAGCGCCGTGTTGGCGTCATCGAGCCACCAGAGCGCGGGGCAGCTTATTAAATTACCTGCTACCTTCATAATCTCTCCTTCTGTATTTAATCATTATACAGCTTCATGGTTTCCTTTTAAACATTCGGCTCCTTGGCCAGACATTTCTTCTCTTCTACCTGGACGGACAACTGAGTAGCAAAATACAACGCCATGTGGGCGTCCCGACAGCGGCAGCACCTGGCCCTGCTTGCTCAGAGCTACAAGTGGCTCAAGGCTCCGTACATCATTGGCGCGCCAATGCGGGCTCTCGCCGGCCCCGAGTTGGCGATGGAGATATCAACGGCTGGTGGCCTGGGATTTATCGGGCCTCCCGTCAAGATTGCCGACGCCGCCGTCGACTTGGCCAAGGCATCGCAGCTTGCACGCGCCTCAACCTCACCAATTTTCCAACAACATCTATCAAGCTCAGAGACCTTGCCTGTTGGCATCGGCTTCCAGACATGGACCACTGATTTAAATGAAGCACTGAGCACTTTGCGGCAGAACAAGCCGTGCGCGGTCTGGCTATTCGCGCCGAAACGTGGCCAGGCAGAACTTGATGAGTGGACGACGGCGCTTCGAAATGCCGAGCCAAACATCCAAATCTGGATCCAGGTTGGCACATTGAGAGAAGCTGTTGCCGCGGCCACGAGCTCGTGGCCGCCCGATGTGCTGGTGGTTCAGGGCGCAGAGGCCGGCGGCCACGGCAGAGCGCATGACGGTGTCGGCTTGCAGGCGCTTTTCCCCGAGGTCTCCGACGCAACCCGCGAGAGCGGTATCCCTCTCATCGCGGCAGGCGGCATCGCAGATGGACGGGGCCTCGCAGCCGCGCTGTGCCTCGGGGCCGCGGGTGGCGCCATGGGCACCCGACTGCTGGCCGCCAAGGAGACTCGCATCCGCAAGGGCTACCAGGACGAGGTTGTGCGCGCCAGCGACAGCGCGGCGTCGACGGTGCGCACGCACTTGTACAATCATCTCCGAGGTACCTATGGCTGGCCTGAGCAGTTCGCGCCGCGGGCCCTCATCAATAAGAGCTGGACCGACCATCAAGCGGGCGTCCCTTTTGAAAAGTTAAAGGAGCGGCATGACGAGGCTGCCAAGTCTGGGGATGCAGGTTGGGGCCCAGAGGGTCGACTTGCGACCTATGTTGGCGCGGCTGTTGGCCTAGTTCGCCAAGTCAAGCCCGCTGCATCCATTATTGCGGAAACTCGGGACGAGGCTAGAACCATGTTGACCATGAATAGTAACATGTAAAAGAAATTCTAATCTTAGCAAAAAAGAAAACTAGCACAGCGGTGATGTATATAAGTAGGCACTCGCCTATGTGTTCGCGGCCGTCTTCCGTTTTCGTGACGTGCGTTCATCTATTTTTCGCCAAGAATTGCTGCAGTGCGTCAAGAAGACCACGTAGCGGGCCAAGCACACCCAGCAGAGCGTCTTGCGTCAGTGTAGTTTCTGTACCGTCTTCCGATGCCGCTATTGGTGATGGACGTAAGGTTTTCGTGTTCATTTTGGGGAAACACTAACTAGTTGATTCCAAGTGGACGGCGATATCAGACGATTAAGATGGAGAAAGAAACCCCGCCGCATAGCCTCAATCGCCTGATCGCGCATCTCCTTTTGCTTGGGCAGATTTCGCCAATACTGTCCATTTTTCTTTTCGAGGTGAGTAATCGAAAAGGCGTGCAACCGCCACACACTCAACAGGAATGCCTCCTTGAATGCGCGGAGACTGCTTGCATCAAGCTCGCGGGCATAACTTGGAGCAATTGAATGATTAAGATGTCTACTCAGCTTGCCAGACACGCTGAGGATGGGGTCCTCGGGGGTAGCCTTGAGGATGCGCTCGAAGATCGTTGATGAATGTGGTGTAAATGTGGCTGGCTGAAACTGTGACGGCATAATCACGCACATAACGTGCAGCTCTGCAAGGTGGCAGACCGCAGATGGAAGCAAAAAAAAAAAAAAAAAGGTCTTTGGTCGAGGCAGAGACTTTTAAAAAGGAAATTTTACTCATTAAAATGCCGTCTATGCTCGAGTAGACTTCAAAGGTCCTCCAAAGACCTAGCTTACCTACTGAACATGTCGCTGTTGGGAAACATGTCATTTCGGCAGACAATGGCCGACTTGTAGTCTCCCCGATGGATTTCACTCGGATATCGGATCACTCTTCACCCTACTGTAGACATGTCCCGTCTCGGGGAGCAAAACGACCTAACCACAATCCTCCCCGAGACTCCAACGCATCACGTGGTTCACAGGCTTTTTATGGAGCTACTCTAATCTGGCCATGTACTCGGGCTCGCCTTCTTCTGCTTTTATTCATCTTCTTGGTAATTTCGTCCACGCAACTGCGTTCCTCGAACCTGTAGTCGTCAGGTATACATGGTACCAAGTAGTTTTCCTTGTCGTCCTTGAAGCAAAAACTTTCACAACTGATGAGATGACGTCAGTGGCACCGGGCACCGGGCATTGGTCTATTCGAGTCCTGCATGGCTTCCATGGTTGGATCGTCCTTGGGTGTGGTCGACTGTATCGATTCTGCAAGACACAATGCACGACGAACAAGGACGACTGCGTCTGGGGTATATCAAAGAGTAGACATACAGCATGGTAACATCTTGTACATGAGCTTGCCATACCCTGCTCAGAAAGGCTCCAGTTGCTCACTGAACTGATTATAGCAGATCAGTCGTGAGGCATTCGCAGAATGACCACCAAGCGGCATCGAACTTCTCATTGCATCAGATCTAGAACCCATCAGTAACACTAGAATGCTCAGGTGTAGCTGAACAGCATTGCTCCAAGCCCTCTTGCCGAGTGGATCATCTTTGGTTGACAGAGGTCAACCAAATCTGGCCCACCCTCGCGCCGTCTTACGCAAAGCCATGTCACGCAGCAGTCAAACAAACTGCAATCACTACCTCTTTGCATTGTAGGCTGAGAAAAAGTAGGCTTTGATTCGATACTACTCTGTTCTCACAATAGTTCTGTAACGTCACCGGCGCAGACATCCTTCAGATTGTCGTACGTCCATCTATGCCTATCACCACTCATACCTTTTCTTATAACAAGAAAAAGTTGGCTATAAGTAGCTCTGTACATCCCTCCTCACTTTCATCACCTCCCTCAACTCCCAATCGCCGCCATTTATATACAGACACAGTGTCGCTACTAGACTTGGGACTGATTATTCACTCTATCTGAAACGATGTCCTTCATAACGGTATGCTATCATTGCCCTCATCTATGGACAAGAATTTTTGCTCATAGATACTTTAATTTAGAACATTGCTAGTTGTGATACTGGCTACTTGGGCCACCGAATCTTCATGGTCAACAAAAGCAATCATCTCGCGATTTTGCATGTCAAAGATCCAGAAGAGGCCCACGGTCTCTCTCCGAAAGAAATCGATGTCGGCGGCGATGCTGTGGAAGCTAATCCTACCAACAACATTGGGGTAATTGCATGGTTGAGTGAGAAGGATAGGTGGGAGGTACTGTTTCTCTAACAGAGCCTGAAAATCGTTTATTCTAACCTAACGTTCCTTACAAGGTCCGCGTCTACTTCGCCACCAATACCAAAATGTTGAGTGAGCTCACTTGGAACTCAGTTGACCAAGTTTACAAATTTGGCCAACTCAACGGCAAAAGATACGAGGTCATTGATAAAAGTACCATTACAGCCGAAATCGAGGCAACCAATTCTCAGGCAGCCAAACCTCATGAAGCAGTCAGATATGTCTACTGCAACCTGAAGAAGTACAGCAGTGATTTCAATGTCGTTTTTGGGAATGACAGAGGTTGGAATGATCGCAACATGTCTTAAGTCGCAGAATGGAGAATTGTCGTGGATGGAGCCTGTTAGTATCTGCAAGAATGGGCCTTGGTATAGGTTTTTCCCTAGGCAATAGGTTTTCCTATACTGTAATGCGAATGCAAAGGCGTATTATAACTTGATTCACCCTACTTCAAGCTTAGCTTATCTAGTGCTTAATTCTGCCATCTATTAGTCTGCCTCAGGCAAATTTTTAACTAGATGAAGAGTATTGATCTATTTCGTATTGTAACCTTCTCCTGTTTAACTTCTATGAATTTTCCATAATTCTATGTTCTAATACTTTTGTTAAGTGCTAGATAGCTGTCCTATGAAAATAGGATAGTTTCCTTACCCTAACCCCCCCTAGGCTATCCTCAGAGTCCTACCGGGAAACCCTGCATAAGTATCCACCTACTCCAACCCGTTCTGGTCTTCTCGGGTAGCGCGGAGTCCGGTTAAACTCGGTCATTCAGGAAGAGCTTAGCCTGGACTCAACACTAAGGGCAATGGAATCATTGCGATATACCTGATTTAGATGGGTTTTAGGGCGATGGAATTATTGCAATGCACCAATCCGTAGTTTAGATAAGCTAGGACAAACTGCCTGAAGCCTGCCTAGGGCTGTGCATACATATGTTAGCGATATAGACACTGTTAGGTTAAGGCGTTGAATACGTATTCATCTGTTGGTATAAATCAATAGTTTATTTATTATTATCTTGTTCTTGTTCTTGTTGTTTTAAGCTATCGCCACCACTGCTGGTGGTGATCATAAAAACTAGATAAATGGGCCTTAGTCAGGGGCTAGCTAAGCAGAAGCCAGAATCCCTACGGATCCGTAGATGTTTTCTAGTTATCAACTGCAACACAGGATATATCAACTAACTTATAGCGTCACTCACAACTCAATGCATTCGCGAACAACACAACAAGTTTGATTACATATTAAAAATTATAGAAATATAGATTAATTATTAAAATAACAGTCCTATGATCTCTAATCGATTTTCCATTAATTAATGGTGTTTTTGGTGTGAATTAGGCCCCTCCGTGTCAAAACGCGTCCACGCGCGACACAGCCACTACAGACAGACCCACTACAAAGCCGCAAATTGCTTAACGATTCCAGGATTTTGGTTGACAATTAACGTATTCTGCCCTCTGTTGCTGCGCATACCCACAACTTAGAGCCCCGTCGAGTTTAGCAACGCTGCGGTTGACAGAGCATAATGGAATCAGATGAACGAAATGCAGCCTGCATACGCCATTTCCAGGGTCGCTGATCTCCCATGGTTAGCGACAACGCTAGTCTCTGGGGGAAAAAATCAATGGGACACCAGGTGGAATACGACATGGTCCTACTGCAACTTCATGCTCAATTTGGAAAGTCTGGAAATCTTTTGGAATCAATGAGTTACAGTTTATCGTTGTCGACAAAGTGTTGATACGTATATAATGCCTATTCTTCGCCGCGCCATGAGAATAGCTCCAACGCAAACAAAGAGTTGAAATTCAAGTCATCACAAAGTTTTCTTTTTCTTTTCTTTTTTCCCTTCCTGACTTTCGTTCAAAATGAAGTTTTTTACAAGCTTGGCCGTGCTAGTTGGGCTGGCTGGGGCTAGTCCAGTGGCAACTCTTCAGGGCCCGCCGTCCAACTTTACTTTGGCGAAGCACAACCGTACATCAAGTACCGTGCCAACTGGACCCCAACCAACTCGGCTCCCTACTCTTACGGATAAAGAGTTCTTTACCCTCACACCATCCTTTACCCTCGAGATCCGCGGTGGACGGTGCGACATCACCAACCTGCCGGGCCGCACTACCGGCTTCTACTGGCGCCTGGTGTACGACCTGGACCACGCAGGCAGCTTTCGCTTCGAAAAATGTGGGCAGGATCAGCACAGCCTCGTCTTTACCAAGATTCAGAATCAATATGTCCCCGGCTATGCTGTCGAGTACAAACTCGTCACGTCAGGCGCAGAGCTCATCTGCGACAGCGGTGTCCTCAGCAAGGTCAAGGTCCAAGGCTCCAGTGTTGTAGCCACCCCCGCTACCGAGACCTACATTATCGAGAAGTATGGCAAGACTATGTACGCGTGCTCCAAGGACGCTCCTTGTGTTCCGTCAAAGTGTGAGAAGGGCTGTGAAAAGGAGGCCAAGGGCAACGACGACGTCAAGGGCAACGACGACGTCAAGGGCAACGACGGCGTCAAGGGCGTTGACCGTCCGTCATTCTGTGGCGGTCAAGTCCCCAAACCTGCTTCTTCTAAGCGGGCACTTTACTTCCTTGACAGCAATCCAGCCAACGCATCTATCATCTCGTTGCCGATCCTGCAGGACGGTTCTTTGGAAAAGAGCAGAGCTGTGCGCACCTCAACTGGCGGGCGCGGGTCAATTGGCCGGAATATGAATGGGACAGTCCTTGTCGGTACGTTTGCTTAAACTTCCCCAGAGAGCAAAACCTCAAAGAGCCTCGGACTAACCCAGCCCCAAAACCCAGACCCCCTATTTTCCCAGGGATCCGTCGTGGTCAGTGGTAAATACCTCTTCACGGTGAATGCTGGCTCCAATACGCTGGCCAGGTTTGAAATACCAGACGCGGACCCTGCCAGTCTAAAGCTACTGGGCGAGCCCGTTCATACCGGGGCCGAGTTTCCCAACTCGGTGGCGGTTTCCGACAAGAACAAGATCGCGTGCGTCGCAAACACGGGAAGAAACGCAGGTGTCCAATGCTTCAAGACTCTTGACCAGCATCTCGAACCTTTTGACGAATACATGCTGCTGCCTGTCAACCAGACGTCACCCCCGATTGGTGTTCCGAATACGGTGTCTAATGTCGTCTTCAACCCTTCACAGACGGCCCTGTTTGTCACCGTAAAGGGCAATGGTGAGAGTGGTTCCACCGGACGGGGATATATATATGCCTACCAAGTCCTAAATGGCCAGATCAACTCGCAGCCCGTCATCTCGCGCCCGCCAGGCTTGATGCTTGATTTCTCCCTGTCCTTCCTCTCGGACTCGGCTGCCGTCGTGACAGACCCGGCATACGGTGCCTCGTACATTTCTATTGCGAGCAATCTCTCCGTCACGGTCTCTAACCAGATCACTATACCTGGCCAAGGCGCTACATGTTGGTCCGTTTTTGCTCCGGAATTCGACACCGTGTATTTGTCTGACGGCGCATCGCCAAACATCACCGCCCTTGATCCCATGTCCGGCAAGACCAAGTTTGTCATCCCTGGCGATGGTCAATCTACCGGCTCTTTTGATTCCGCGGTGGATCGCTCGAGCCTTTATGTTCTCCAGGGCAGCGCGGCCGTCTCTGTGTTTGATCTGAAAGGGTCGAAGAGCGGCGACCAGACGCCTAGCCTCTTTCAGTACCTTGATCTGTCCTTTCTGGGAGTAAGATCAGGATGGATTGGCATGGGTATCTATTCCAACTAAGGTACCCATGTTTACGCTCGATTACATTTCTTCCTCGGTTCCCACGCTACCACGCAGAACCGAGCTGTGACACGGGACTTTATTGGGTCAAAGCGTTGAATACATATTCATTTTTTCTGGCACAAATGGATAGTATATTCATTGTTGTTCTGTTCTTGTTGTTGTTCAGCTATGTAAGTGCTTCATGTGTAGCACTGCTGCCTGCTTCAAGTGGTAGCTACAACAGACTCAGTAACTATACTGTGGCACGATACTGCCAAGCTTATTTTCTTATATAGCATAATTAGTCGCATGTTGATCAGTCTTCTATATAGTCTAATATATTTGCGACACTTCTTATGCTGACAATCGGGACAATTTTACGTAGTGTTCTCAAAAGCCCATCCTGATCCCTGCCCGACCTAAGCCTTGCTTTGTCTTCTTTTGCATTGACCAAGGAAATACAGGGCTGAGCGTTCCTCGGGCTTTACCAGCTATTCGGTCAGCCTTTTCTTCACCAACAAGGGATCAGCGGTCCCCGCTGTCGCGTTTTCAGATGCTTCAATCAGGCCACTAATTTATAATGCTATAGCATCCCTCAAAAAGTCTAGAATAATTCTCCATTTTCCACTAAAACATATAAACTTTAAAAAATTATATTAGATTAATACTAACGTGGTTAATAAGCGAGTCACGCAGATAAGCGAGTCACGCACCCACCCTGACCCTATAACATTTAACTATTAATA